TCCCTTGGCAACCATAGCAACTAAGAAGTATTCGGCAATAATTCCTATTCATGTCCGATTCATTCTTTTTAGGGTTTTAAAACGCAGAGCTTATTAGTATAGTTCCTTTGGAATTTAACCAGGTCTTGATATACTCATCAAAATCTTTAAAGCACAATTGCTTAGGTACTCGTTCGACGCGCAATCAAAAATTCTTTATTTTTTAAAAGAGTACTTTTTAAATCGAAAAAATCTGGGTTCTTAGACTGGTTCTCCTATTGGTTGCTTGTAATAACAATTATGGTTTTTTCATGTTTGAAACTATATATACAAGTAATAAAAATAAAAACTTTTCTCACATTTTTCGCAAAATATTTCTCGTTTCGATCCTTAAGTTGCTGGCCTAATATTGTTTAAACCAGTCACCATTTTTTCCACAACAGTTCTGGAATGCCAGACATAGTTTACTTTACTTAGAGTAACATACATTTTGAATGTGATTTACATTCAAACCTCCACCTGCAATGAGGTCCATTTTTTGGGCCCTGGTTACAGAGCTGTGGTCCGGTACGACCCGCGTGTCGTGTCCCAATCTTAAATGGGTCTATGAAATAAGTTCTAGGGCAAATCTTTGGTTGAGAAACTTAATCGTGTAAAACGTCCTTTAAGTTTACTTAATCTGGAGAATTTTCCTCTCAAGTAATTAAAACCTTCTTCTCTTAATATTTGTTCATAACTTTAACACAGTTATTCATCACTTCCAGCTGTAAGTGCATGAGAGGGGAGATGAACAGCTTTTAGATCTATCAAAATCTGATTTCAGATATTTTTATCACCAGTATAAAGGATTCTTGTTGGCTACTCACCGTTTATGAAATAAAAATTTGTAATAATATTAAAAATTTAACAAAAATTGTCTCCTGTATAAAGCAGAATGAAGAACAAATCCACAATCAGGAGTGCCCATTCCTAGATCGATGGCGCTTGAACCTCTCCTCCCCTCCTCCCAAGATATTTTATTGCTCTCCTCTTCTTAAAAGCAGTGCAATCAAATTAGAATTTTAAAAATCACAGATCATATAACATTATACTTTCAGTGGTCTGTTCAATGTTTTTCTCTAGTCCCCTCGTTTGAACTTTTTTATTTCGAAAACTGATAACTCCTTCGAAATGTGTTCCCCTCAAAAATTCAAAACTCCTTGAAAATGTTCCCACCTCAAAATTTTTTATGGTGCACCTTGCGCCGAGAGATCCCCTTGTGGGCACCACTGTTCATGATTGAACTACTTGCATATGAAAGCTAAAAAAGAAGTCGCTTGCATCAAAAGTGAATCACGAGAGCTGCCAACGGCAATAATTGAACATTTTAGCACAATACAACCAACCTGCCAACACTGAATTTCCCGCACACCAAAACTTATAACTTAAATGGTCATTTTATAACTGTTTCTCCTCATTGTAATGTGCATTGTCAAGCTGAAGTGTAACCGTTATTGTACTTTATAAATATTCAATCAATCAACCTCAGTAACAAGAACTACTTAACTATATTTATTCGTTTTAAATTTTTTGTGTTCAGTAGAGAAATATACATTAATACAGTTAATTTTGAGCAAGAATAATTTTCTCTATCGGCCAGTGTTATTGATATCGTACTTATCGCAAATTCATATTTTTTGTCACATCATTTTTCATTACAATTTTTATGTATTTTATTAAAACAAACCTTCATTTTACATTAAACCGTTTTGTTCAGGGGGCATGCGTACAACAAAACAGATAAAATAAAAATAACTTTATGTAATTCCCACTCCCCTACTGTCTTATGGGAATTATGGGTGTTTTTAAGTGCAGTGTTATGCAAGACCGTGCAAAAAAAACAGCGAAGTTTTTTATAAGGCCTAAGGGAGATATTATTTTTCTGAGGTATATAAGTAAGATTTATTAACAGTATTTTTTCTCCAACAATTTTCCTTTATTTTATTATGACGTTTCGATCCACTTTCTTATCCCATCTTCAGACTTATCCTAATATCATCTTACTTTTTTTTTATAAGATTTGTCATACTTATATTTTTTTTTATATTGTCATAATTCATTCCTTAAATAATAGTGTGGAATCCTTTACGAAGAGCCTAAACAAATACTGATAATGTAGAGGAGTCTACAATATTATTTAAATCTTACAACAAAATAAGATGATATTAGGAGGAGCCTGAAGATGGGATAAGAAAGTGGATTCCGAAACGTAATAATAAAATAAAGAAAAATTGTTGGGGAAAAATACTGTTCTTAAATCGTACTTATATACCAAAGTAAAGTTTGAAATTTATAACGTTTACGGTACAGTGCTTATAGTTTGTCATTGTTTTTCCCTTCTTAAGTATGATGTCTCACAGAGAAGAATGTCTTCCAGAATTTGAAGATCTTCTCTAAGAATGGGCCGTTCCAGACGGAACGGTTTGTGGAACAAATTTCACAGATTGAAACGGGACGAGAATCCAGGAAACTTCGTCCAGCTGGAATGTGATCTAAGAACATAATGTAAAAGTCTTTAGGTTTCGATGGGTAAATGTACGCAGCAAAGTCAAACAGATACAAAATAGATTGATAGCAATTAAGGTTAATACGCTATAGCAGATTACCACCAAAGTTGATTGACAGAATAGTTGAATTGGTTATTTGCTTCAAAAATGAATCATAACGACTAAATTTAATTGAGTGTTTGATGAAATATAAAGAAACCCAATGAAATTAAAATATAATAAGATCCAAACCATGATTTTAAGATAGCAATTTGCAAATTTTAAAAATATTAATTATAACGGAAAGATTCAGGTAACCTATTAGAATAAAATAATTATTTTAATGAAATTTTATTATAATTATAATTAAGACCGATAAACATGTGGCACTGTTGAGCAAATAAAATTTGTCATAGTAGTTTTTACATCATTGGTTTCTCACAGATTATTTGGAATCAGAAAACCTCACACTTCGCATTTTTATTTCACCCTTATTTTACTTATTTAGCCACCTATAAGAGTCACAAGAGATGTCAATATTATTTAAAACTTTTGAAGGCTAAAAATTATAATTATTTATATTAAATTTTGGGCTTTTTTTATTATTATTTTGTTTTTAATTTATTTTTAAACCACATCCCAATGGCAAAACGAAGAAGAAACAGAACTAGCAGTATCGTTGGTCGGAATGAAAATGCATTGGACCGATTCGAGAAAAACATTCCACTCCTAGTAGAATGGTTCCAACCAGAACGAGCTCTCTCGTTCCGAGAGGCTTTCGGAATTTCATTCCATCAGAATGTTTTTAGGTTCCATAATGTTCCAATAATTCCCTTACCTGTCATGACGAACTTTTCTCAGATCATAGTCCATTAATACTTCAATTATCAATTGCTCATATTCCTAAACCCCCTCCACCGTCCTTCATCAGAGACCCAGTTAACTGGAAACTCTTTTGTCAATTCCTTTCAGATAAAATTGACCTGAGAACATCACTGAAAACCCCAGACCTTGATAATGCCATACATTCCTTTACCACCACTATTCAACAAGCAATCTGGACTGCTTCCTCTCCAAATCTCTTGGTATTGGTCTTGCAAAAGTCAAGCAGTCTTGGTCTTGCAAGGTGAAAGATGAAGACCGATTTTGGGTAGCTGTTCTATGATACATAGGTCTACCTTACTCTCTTGTAAATTTTATATACATATATATTTTTACATGCCAAACTCAATAAAAAAACAATTTAAACAAATAGTTATGCCCCAAACCTAGACATAATTTAAAGTACAATGATTAATGCCATGTACTACTAAAATTTAAATTTATCTAATAGGGTGCATAAAAAAATTATCAAAATTATCAAAAAATCGTTTTTCAACCAGATATTTGTATTATCATTTCTTTGATATAAAATACAATTAATACTCAAAGTATAGTCCATTGTTATCAACCATCATTAGCCATCTACTAGCTAATTGCTCGATCCCAGGCTGACCATTATTAGGGATGGCTGTCAAAGAACTCATGTACTGCAATTTCAACTTCCACAAAATTAAAAACAAATTTCCCTTGAAGAAAATTCACCTTTTCCATGGAAAGTAGATGGCGACTAACAGTACCTTTCGACACAACACACTCCCTGGTGGCAAGTTCGCAAGTACTTGTGGACGGATTTGACTCAACAGCTTCCTGCAGAACCTCATCAATATCCATTAATGGTCGCACAGAGCTCTTCTTCCTTTCCAATGTTATATCTCCACTGTTAAATTTTTCAAACCAACGCCATACAGTGTGCTGGTCAAGGACACTTTCCCCTACATATTTAATAATTTCATGAGTTGCTTCAGCAGCTGTGAAATTTTTTTTGCAGTGATGCCTTAAAATTACGAGAATTTCGTAGGACACTGTTATATTTCTTCTTGGAAACAAATAACTAAACTGATGCTTTTTTTAAAGAAGTCGAATGGCATTAGACAAGCTTAGAGAATGCTCTAAAGGGGCTATGAAGTATTGGTAAGCATTAAATAGATTGAAATATTTACAGTCCTTTGAAATCTTGAATTTGATAAAACAGTCTATTTTTTTTATACATCATAATACTAACACCAAGGAAGTTCTCTTTCAGAACTCATATTATGATTCAAACATTTATTGTACATTTTGATTATTTTCAACTAAAAGAAAAAAAAGTTTAATTTATAAAAAAAAAGAAGAGTTAGGAAATGAGAATTGAGCAGGTAAAACATTTTCTTAAACAACAATTACAATAATATATTTGTAGAAAATAACTAAAAATTATACTTATTACAAACAAATTATGAAAAAAATATTCTATTGAATATTATTGCGTACTAAATATACAACATCAATGATGTAAAATATGTCAAACTTCAGAACACGTTCAAACATAAAATATTCAATTTTATCACAAATACTGATGTGCATATATATTGACACACCGAGATAAATAAATGTATCACAAATGCAAACACTCACTTAGATATTACACATGATAGCCAATGATAAATAATCCAAATGTTTACAAAAATCTTTATACCTGGGATGCCAAGCTCCGTATGATAATTCCAATATCAACTTACCTCTGTGTCCCAATTTAATACAATGTTCCAAAATTTTCCTGAAATATAAAACTGATATATCAACTGTATTTAAAAAATAAAAATAAATTAAACCTATACTATTATACAAAGCTGAGGGGTTTGTTTGTTTGAATGGTAATCTTAGCATACCAGTCCATTTTAAAAGTTATTTTTTGCATTAGACACAACGTTTACTGACAGGCTTTAAAGAACCAAGCCATAACTTAAAGGAACAAAGCAGTCTGTGCACCTCCCATCCTTACATCCCTCACATCCTAGACTAGTCCATCTCCCACATGTTATATATGTGTGTGTCAGTTTTTGTTCTTTTTCTATGAGTAAATATACCATATATATTTGTGATATATATCTAATGTTTTATTTCAATTTTTAACGCACTATTTTTTTTTATTATTAATATCTACCTCGCCATTCATGGCATATACAGGGATGGGGATTGTTCTAAAACTATAGTCTCCAAACTTGTTGGCCCATGAGCCACATTGAAACCTCCACTAAGTAATAACCTCTGCAAGCCCTGGCTTGTGACGAAAATAAAGAACTTGTTTCATGAATGACATTTAGGGGTAAAATTAGATTTCTAAGAGAAAAATCTCATGTAGTAAATGTTGTAACCTGGTGTTTGGATGATTTACTAAATTCCATATATTTTTTATTTATTTTACCTTAATTTTTTAATTAAAATTTTTGTAATCAAAGAAACTTTCAAGGTAGTGGAGGTGCTTGTGAGCCGTAGTTTCGGGACTACTGTTCTAGAGGTACAATCAAACCTGTTCAAAACCGAGAGGGAAGGCCAAGATTTATTCTGTGAGCACGCCATAAAATAAATTTCAATCTATCCAGGCCAGATTCGAAATGGCATCATTAGACTGAAGAACATTTAACTTTATGTTAACATGCTTGGCCATAACTTCCAATTTTTAACAACCTACAAAACATTATAAAATCCAAGGTGTTTTCACTGGACCCATTAAACAACAGGATCCAGTATCCTATGTCCGGCAATCTCCCTCCTTTCCTTCGTTTGTGTTCTCTCTACAGTAACCAAAAACAACAATCAATATAAAAAAAAATGTCCAACTCCTATCTGTGGAAGTAGATTAAAAATACAAACTTTTTAATAAGTGTGCAATTACTTGCCAGCCCACAATTTCACCAGCATTAAATTTGGATTATATGTGCCTGTTTAATAGACCTAATGAGTAGGTAAGTAAATGCATCTGATGAACTGAAAAACATCCTAAAGTTATATGGAAAACTACAAGGGCCAATCGTTAAAAAAGCTGACCCGACAGAAAGCCTCTTCAGTTTATACTGACAAAGATTTTTAAGAACTAGGTATTTTTAATATACTCAAAGAAAATTTAAAGTACTTTAGTGTAAACAATATTTTAGTTCTTTCCCACTTTTTAGTAGTATATATTGGAATTTATATCGTGAAGAAAAGGTAATGGGCAGTTATCAGAGGGAAAATCTCAGATGCTTACCCCTCTTTATTCAGCATAAGTTTTTTTTTTGTTTTGTTTTAAAGGCCTTTTAGTTTAATATCTACTAGTAGGCCAGTGTGAAAAATTCGCACAGCATATTGTTATCAAATGACAAATTAATAAGAAAAGAAAATAATGCAACGTATCAAAAGGTGAATCAATTGTTACTTTATCCATAAATATAATCGACAAAGGAAACAAAAATTACTTTAAATCTTCATTCATGTTTGGAACAAACATGTTTACAAATTTCAGTAAGCTGTATCTTTGCTGAAAATTGCCCGATTTCGATGATTTTTTTTCTCTTCCTTTTGTAGGGAATTGAGTATTTTCTCTTCCTTTTACATAACCATGGGCATAACCAAGGGAAAAGTGTGAAATTTTTTAGTTATTCGCCAATAAAGTTTGTTTTCTTTCATAACATGTTTGTCTGAAATTTCGGCGTGATTGGACTATTTTGTCAGCATGAAGGAGAAGGAAGCCTTCGAAATTAGTGGTGAAGAATTAACTATGATATGGCTTGTCGATAAAAAACACCAACGATAAATAATATAAACTCCTCCTCTCTTGATCATAGAGGCTTTAAGTCGACGAAATGAGACATGTATGCAATGACATTACTACAATTAATGTAAGATTGTGTGGATGCGAACCGTGTGCCTTGCGTTATCTTGAAAATAGTACGCTTTTGGGTTTAAAAACACAGGCTCTGATTTTGATCTGGATCTTGCTGTACGCATCAAAATCTTCAAGGTCCAATTTCTCCCGTATCGATCTACAGACCTACCACCGTTCCAGTATTGAAGCCTAGCAAAATGTTTGTATCGACTTTATTTATTTTAGAAAGAAAAAAAAACGTGGAGAATACGATTCGCTAACCCCCTCTGAAATTCGGAATGTAACGGTACCCCATTCATGGTATTTCAACATGGCAGGACCTTATATTTGGTACAAAACCGATTTCGAGCCTTACTGTAATAATATATGTGGGGATTCTTAAAACAATAAATAAATTCTAAAACCAGCAAACATTAGAATAGTATAAATTAAATTTAAACCTGTTCTTAGAGGATTGTTTTTCATTTTTGTTGTAGATATTAGTAGCAACTGTTAGTAGTTTTAAGATCTCTTGACCTAATTCGACAGCTCCCTCTCCATATATATCTTCAATACAAACAATATTCTGTATTATATATTCATATGCTTCTTCTTCTCGACCTGGACAAGGTTTGAGTTATATAAATCTTAAAACTAAATCAGAAAGCAGTCTTAACTACAGGCCTAATCTTTAATTACTAATAAAGCTGCCAGTCTATTATATTATTATATAATATACATACAATAAAACAGATTAAGGTCATGACACAATTGTAAATATTTTACTTACAGCAGCAGATTGTTATGTATGCATGCATAATACTAACTGCTGCAAACATCGCTATAAGACAGAATAAAATAATAATCCTGGACAATAAAATTAAGCAGGTAGTTTGATCCAAGACTACAATAGAACTTAGCAGTGCACTTTTTCATTTTGAAGTAAGAAATTCAAGACAATAATGGGTAAGCATCCAAACGGAATGTTTATATCAATAGAATAATCCTTTATTTACAAATTTGTAGGACGCATATGAAAAATGAAATATCAAACATTTTTAGAGTAAGATCTTTTTGGACCATTAGGTCAGAGGAAGCAGCCAAAGCAGTTCAATTTCTAAGTCTTGCATACCATTAAATTTTAACAGTTATATAATTGTCAAAGTAGTTATGTAATCAAACGTGATAGAGAAAGAGGTAAAATAATGCTTAGTGAACAACTAATTATCGACTATCGGGAAAGTAAGAACTAACTTAAAAATTATCTCAATACATATTTTTTTTAAAGCATTTAGAAGTTATATTAGGATATTAAAGCCAACTCCTGGCAATGAAAATGAGCTTTTTCAGTATAATATAGGTAAAAACAAGCAGAGATCAGATCGGAAACACAACAATCAGAAGCAATAAATACTTGGCAGTATAAAAACCAATCAAGGACACAAAAGAGGATAATAGGCTATGTTGGTTTGGTCATTCCATAATAATGCAAGAAAATAGAATGAGCAAAATCATGAATGAAGTGAAAGTGAGAGGAAGACCAAGAAACACATGTGATTGTGTTCAGAGAAGCTTTCAATAGGAAAAGAATGGACTGGAATGGATTCAATCAACTGGTGCAAGATCGTAATACATAAACAGGATCTTCAACACTGATCAAAAATAGAAAAGGACTCAATTAAAAAGGAGATGTTAGATTACCCAAATTTAATGACTTCACTTACTGTTAAAGCATTATTCAATAATTACACAACAATATAAAATATGTATATAAGGTTTTATTTAAATTACCTAAATTTGCACAAATACGAGCGAGACTATCCCGACATTGTAAATTCTTTTGATGATTTTTATGACAGTGTTTCAGATATTTTGCCAATGATTTTTTAAATAAGTCATAAGCATCAGAGAACTTTCCAGTTCCCATCAATTTCCTTCCTGAAAGATAATTAAAATACTTAAAAGAAAAAATACAATACTTACAATAAAGAAAAAAATATACATAAGAAACTTATTTATCAATTTGAATGCTACAAACCTTCCTCGAAATAATCTCTTGCAGTATCCAATTCAGACTTGAGAACTTCTATATTAACTTTTTTAGAACAATTATTGCATAACTTGGACCCGAACAGCAGTTGAGCAGAGCAATAGTGGCAAATTATACTGTCTGAGACTGGACCCATTTTCTTATCACAGCCTTCACAATCACAGACAAACATGTATTGAGATCGTAGAAGTTCTTGCCTCTCTTCATAATTCATTTTTTGTACCATTGGTCCTTTAATATCACAGAACAGAAGAAAAATATCACAGAACAATGAATAATAAACCAAAATTTAATATAAAACAATGACACAACCAAACAACAACAAAATTTTTAAGACTATTTTTAATATGGAAACATTTACATAATATAATACTTCATAAAATAATTGATAAAAGAATAATTCATTAAAATAAAAAGCTTATCAAAACAATATTCCATTATCAACCAGAACATATATTTTTAATCTAAATTATAAATACTTATTTTGTCATCTTCTATCTTGAATTTTAAACATTTACTACTTTCTCTTCAGCAAAAGTCATTTCCCTTTTTTTTGTTATTGATTAATCGAAAATTTTATAATTACTGCAGTAATTGAAATATTTATTTAAGAGGTGATCATTTAAGATTCTAATTATGAATGTCAATAAATACGCTCTTTACATTCATTTTTTATTTTTCCCCCAATATATTCTGGAAGTAGTATGATGCATCTCAAATATTTGATTTGATATTAATTAAAAATATTTAACTCTTGAGTAACAATTATCACCATTTATGTTCCTTTTAGAAATCAGTTTTTATTGATTTTAGTTTATTTTAATTTTTAATAAATTATTTTCTTTAACATTACGTTGGAATAAGGTTGTACCGTTAACCATTGGGTTTCTTTCATGAGTAAGGTTAATTTTTCCACTACAATTTCATAACCCTATATTTAAACAAGTTGTTATTAAGAAGAAGCGAGCAATCAAACATCTTATGAGAGGTATGTGAAATCTTTTGAGGGAGGTGGAAGGCAGCTCTAATGGACACAAAATGAACGCTATGGTAAATTGCATAGCACAATTTCAATGCATTGCCATGTTTGATATTTGAAAATCTTTTACATTGAAGCAGTATCTTAAAATATTTTGAACAGCATGTGTAGCTTTTACATCCAACTGATGGAGCGTTTATAATAAATATGTATAGTTTCACCTTATATTTTATAATAGTAGGTTTATTAAAGCAGGCACACATTTAAATGCAACATTAAGCCAAAATTTCAAGGCAATGGATGAAGAACTTTCCGAGATTTAAGAGTTTGAACAAACGAACATTACATTTTTATTTGTAATAATCAATAATCCATAAAATAATCAACACAAATTTGAAAATTAAACAATATATTAAATATAGAAAATTATTAATAAAATTAAACATGAAAATATATGATTGGCTTAATCAAAAACGGATCTCTGTCATTTTTAGAAAGCAGAGATAAAGTCAATTACAGAGATAAAGTTCAACTCAAAATGTTTCTGATGATTAAAAATGATGGTGTATTCACTCTGATTATTAAGAATGTTCAAGTTGAATCATGAAAAAAATAAATAGAATTAGTTTAAATTGAAGCCATTTTGGAGACAAATTTGTTTCCCAACTTTTTAAAAATGACAGATGTCCTTTGGTATTAACCCAATCAAATGTGCTTCCTATTTTCTGTCTTTTCCATTTTTCTAGACTAAGCCACAGCAGCACATAGCCGGGTAAAGCTAGTATCTATAAATAATTACATCTTCACTATCTAAGAGTGGAGTGAGCCTTTTATGTTATAACAATGTTATTACCCCATTGCAGTGGAGCTACAGGGAAGGTTAGGTGTTCGAGTTGTTCAGTAAAAAGTATGTGACGATTTTTTGAGGAAACAGCTGCACTAATTTTTAAGTTTGATGGCTCCAATTATTTAATGAGTATTTTGGCTCAAAAACATAACACATTATTATATAAAATGCTGTATATAATCTTTCTGTTGAAAGGTATGTAACAATTAGTGAACGGCTTGACAAATTTTGAAAGTAGATTGTTCAAATTACACTGAGATCTTGTGAATGTTTTGTAATAATTTGAGCTCGATATACTAAAAAAAAGTTGTTATATCTGAGGTACTCTCAAATTTTTGTTTGTTTTGTATCATATAGCTAATGTTAGTACAAAAGGTCATATGTAAAAATTTAGTTTTACTACATAAACATGTAAAATTGTTGCATACAACTTTTTGTATTAACGGTAGCGATACATACTTTTCACTACACATAACGCTGCTGGCAAGAGGATTTCATCCCATGTATAAGGCACCTGACTACTACACCAATTTTAAATATTCGAAGATGCCAATTTCTCTAAAATCTATCTCGTAAATAGGTGAGTATATTCACTTAGAATGGATAGGATTTCATGGTTTCTGCAGTTTTCTTTTTTAATTAAATATTTTATTATAATTATGTAGAAAAATTATTTCAGTACTACTTCACTAGCAGGCCGGGTCGAAACCTCACTTCTTATCTATGTTATCTAACGTCACGTCACATAACCTCCCTCTTCTTATCCCGCCAAACCTTTCAGTTATTAAATTGTTTATTTTTGAGTTATTCCCTTATTATGTTCATTTATTAAATTCTTTATTTTTGGCCCGTTTGTGTTTATTTTTCATTTTTTTAAAGTTTATTTTCATCAAATTATGAATCTTGTTACATTCTGGGATATACCGTCTTTAGAAGGACAGGCTATTGAATATTTTCAAAACGTTGGGATACTTGCAGACGTGAAATTGTGTGAACAAGGTCATCAAATGAAGTTAACCAGGAATGCCAAATGGAGATGCTGTCGTAGCACTTGTGACATAAAACTTTCAATGAGGAAAGGAACCTGGAACATGGAACTCATATTTATGCGAATTTTTGTGGCAACGGGTTCACAAAGAAGAGGACCCGTTCCTCGCTATTTTAAATAGCATAAAACTATTCTGCCTTCCAAAATAAATAAGACGAAGTGAAAATAAATTGTACATATGTCGTTTATAGTGTTGGTATTTTTTCTTTTATATGTACATATGTTCTTTAAGTGTTTTTTTATTATTTCATTTTCATCTTTTATATTAGATGGTAAATCCCAGAATGTAACAAGATTCATAATTTGACGAAAATAAACTAAAAAAAAAATGAAAAATAAACACAAACGGGCCAGAAATAAAGAATTTAATAAGTGAACGTAATAAGGAAATAACTGAAAAATAAACAATGTAATAACTGAAAGGTTTGGCGAGATAAGAAGAGGGAGGTAATGTGACGTGACGATATCTTCTTTAAGTCTTTTTTTATTATTTCATTAATATATGTGTCGTAAAATAAAAGTTTTTTTTTGTTATTACATTTGTTTTATATTCTGTTTACACTTTCAATAATACGAATACAATACAATAATACAAAGATAGGAATTACGAGAAGGCTTTTCACTGCCTTATCGGAATTATCAGTTTTCAGGTTACAAACATTGGCAGATAGCAGTCAGTCCCACCCTCCTAGTGGAGAAGTACCATTATTTCTAACAATAAGCCATAGATTATTTTAATGCTAATTGAAACATTATATGATCAAATAAGGTAAATTTTACCATAACAGTTGTACACCTCATCTCCTTTTTTCAAATTCTTTGAGGATCTGACGATAAGAAGAGATTCGAAAAAACTAAAAGAAAAAAATTAACTGTATTAAATACTAAAAGTGAAACAATGTTAAAATTTATTTGTACAAACTGCTACTGCTCATTTAAATACAATATATCAGCAATCCAATATAAATTAACGATTTACATTTAATTACAACATCGATAAAATACATTAACTAACATTTAATTTAACTTATGGACACAGATAAGAAACAATATCACAAAGCAAGTAAATTCATTATGACAAAATGTATGACAAATAAAAAATTACAGCGTATACCGGAAAAAAAAGTCTGGAGCGGTGTGCGCATCACACAACTTTCACTTAGCAATCTTAAGAGTAGATAGGTATTTTCTTATAGGTAGTCGAAGTGAAAACGGCTAGATAACTACATTTAAAAAAATTGATTACCATATTTTTCCCGCCCATCGATTAAGTTAAATTTGTACATTTTCATTTCTTTCTGTTTCTTTTTACAACTGTGTATAGTATCAAACAATATTAATGATTGTGGGAAAATTGGATATTTTCGAAAAATTGTGAGTTTTATTGGAAACATTTATCACAAAACTCGTAAAAAAAAAAAAAATAAACTTAATGTTAGTAAATATTGCATATTATTAGATTTATATCAGTAAATCCTCAACATTTCACATGAAAAACTTTTTAAAAAATTATGAATAAATGATACATAAAAGTTAAACTAACAATATGAAAGCCCTGTACAGAGGGGTACCGGGGATCTGTATCCATAAAGGGTGAGGATTGGCAAAGGTAGGACGCTCCCGGCTAAACAGCTGAGCTTCCTACATAGCTTATACCGTATAGCTTCCTATCTTTACTTTCCCTTTAGTCACCAATCAGTATTCTTCATTCACTATATTTAACCATGTTTTATAGAAGGTTGAAATGTGAAATGATTAATTATTTCAAATAAAAAAATTAAAGGTACTTTACAGGAAGACATTATGAAAATGTCTGGTTGCTTCAATGACGATAAAACCTAAATTAAATTAAAAACCACTTAATAATAATACACTGAGCTAGTGAATTTAATCAAAATCGTTAAAGCCGTTTTTGAGAAAATTGTAAAAATGTATTAAATCGATAATATAAAGTACCATTTCCGGTGTGCCGAAAATGTTGCTGTAACATTTCAGGAATATAAAAACTTTAGATACACAATTTCAACTTCATACGACTTTTCGTTTTTGAGCTAGGCTGTTCACATACACACACAAACAGACCATTTTGTGGGACTCGGTTATTTGGTCTCAGGGGGCCTCAAAACGTGTATTTTTGTTAAAAACTCAGATTCCAAAATTTTCATGATCACAATACTTACCCTTACTATATATTATATATAGTGCGTATATTACATAAACATATAGTAAGTGCAAAAAAAACTTGTACCACTATAACCCATGAAGGGTCTTGGGTTCAGTACTATTTAGGAAAAGCACTGTTTCTTGGTCTACGGTTGTGCAAGGAGAGGTGATTTGAACGAGATCACGCTCAACCGCCAGGTTTTTCCACTTATCCAATTATTTTAACTAAGGGTACCCACTTTATAGAGAGTGGGTATACCCACCCAAGGTCGCCCCATGGCCATTGAAACAGAATAAATGATTTTTCTGCCATAAGCCGGGATTCGAACCTGGGACCTTTAGCATTGGAAGCTCAGAACCTTACCACTGAGCTACCCCACTCCCTACATGTAAGTGAAAGTAAAAATAAATAAAAATACTTGCCTATTTACAATGCTTGGGTCACAGGAATGGTTCATCATACTGGCAGCAGGATAAATTGCCGTGGCGACGCGTACTTGATCTTCTATTAACAAATGGGAAACTGAATCAAATTGTGACTCAATGTCTGTTATAGCATGACCATTACAGATCAACTGGGAGATGTGCAACAGAAGAATTCCTCCAAAATTCAATAGTCTTTTTCTCCTTTGAGGTCCTTCAAACAGCTTAGTATATTCTTCAAAATAAACAATCAATAAAGTAGCAGTCTGCAAGAACACAAATAAGGTTTATTTTATAATAAATTTATTAATCAACCTAAGAAAAAAATCAGCATATAAACCTAAGAAATCTTTAATTGGATACTTTCTCATTTTTGAGTTACAGTTGTCTCTAATCCTATAGATCAAATACTAAAATTTTTCTTTGTACAGACTGACTAGTTTATGTGCATTTTAGAATTAGTTCACTGTTATTATATTGTATTACTCTACTATATTGTATACAGTCTACTATCTATTATTACTATTGTATACAGGGTGTTTCAGGGTTAAGTGGCCAAACTGCAAAAAGGAACTAAGGATCTCAAAACAAGAAAAAAATTACCTCTGAAGGTATGTCCGCAAATGCTTTGTTTAGGAGATATTCCCAGCTAAAGATTTTCGTTGTTATGAATTATTCATGTTATCTATATAAATAAAATAAAGATTTTGTCTGTAAATTGAATAGAATCAACCTGTTTTATGATATATTTCCGTTTCATACATTGCAGACACCAAATCCACTTTAAAAAATTGTTTGTAAATTTTTTTCTTAATGCTCAAGAAAATCACTTTGAACAACATTTAATATGAATTTAATGTTTACGTTTAATTAATAAAGTAGTTGAAACAAATAAATAAGTTTTATTTGCTTAATATAATCTAAATAATTCATAAAAATGAAAATCTTTATATACGAATATCCCCTAAACAAAGCATTTGCAGACATACCTTCACAGGAATTTTTTTTCTTGTTTTGAAGTCCTTAATTCATATTTTCAGTTTGGCCACTTAATCCTGAAACACCCTATATATTCTACTATATATTATATTATATTGTAATACTCAACTATATTATATATTGAAACTGTAGGAAAAGAAAAAAATGTAACAATGTGAAAATTCTTTATTTATCACTAATGGCACCAACCGATAGATGTTGCCATCTGGTTGGACCAAATTGTAATTATTGATTAATAAATTTATAATAAAACATTTTTTTTTCTGGGATCAGAATACTAACACATGGAGAAGAAAGACCAATAAAGAACTGCTTACAGAAACTGGTCAATCAATATCCCATGACATGAGGGCATTTAGTTTAAGATGGACGGGAAATGTAGCCCGTAGCAATCCATCTGGAAGGCTCTACTTAACAACGAATGCCTTAATAGAAGGGAGGAGACTACATGGAAGGCCAAAAAGCAGATGGGTAGATAGAATAAACAAAGATGCAACAGAGCTGCGTGCAGATAAATGGAAAGAAATAGCCCAAGACAGGAAGAGATAGAGCAGGCTTGTTAAGGCGGCAAAAGATCTACATGATGTATAATGCCAACACAAAAAAAAATATATAGATATATATAAATATAGAACAAAGCAAGTGTATATATACAGTATAACAAGTTTGTATAGATCTATACAGAGTACAAAGAAAGTGAAAAATAAGAAAATTCAAACCTTCTTAACAAGGTCAGACATAGCATCAAAAGTTCAGATTGGAATAATAATAATAACAACACTTATTATTATGACTAATTATTACTTGGATAATAATATTGTCTTATTTTCTTAACAATTGCCATATATTTTTTTTAATTTTAGGCCCTAACTTCATAACTTATAATTCAGAATACATTAATTAATCCCCAAATTCATCATTGATTTAGTCAAAATAAAAAAAAACGATAGCAACAAATTTTAATACTTTATTTATTGAATAATTATTGGAAGAATTAGAAAAACCCACTACTGCATAGTTGAATATATCAGTTCCACTGCTTTCGTCCAGATGAGACACAAGATCTGAAACTTCTTTGTATTTCTCCTTATTCTCATCAAGCATCCCCAAGAGTGCGACTCTTAAAGCAAGATGAATGATCCCCGTACTATAACAAACTTCAAGCCCTCCGCATTCCCATTTGTGGAAAGTTTCTTGAGCTGAATTTCTACAAGATTCATTACAGAAGCAAGCCAATGGACAATTTTCACATCTAAAAGAAAACAAATGAAATATAAATCAAAGCATAACATATTAAGAAACAAAAAAATTGTCATATGATGAAATTCATGCAACATTAAGGAGTTTATCTAGTTTTTATAATTATGAAAAATATAAACCTTGGTTTTAACACAATTCTTAGAGATTTATAAGAAATAAATTTTTGGAAGGAACCAGGTTTTGAATACCCATTTTAAAACAAAGATATTTAAATAAAAACAACCAAGATATAGATAGGCTGTAACTATAAAACTACTTTGATAGGTGCTGTATTCTCACTAAATTTGAGGTAACATAGAAAGTTGTATAAAAATAAAAATGTGGAAGTTTTTTGGTTATAAATCAATATCGTCATCTGGAACTTAATTTTCTTTCCCAATAATGTAATAAAAAATGGCGAATTCATTTTTCTTATTTAACTGGATCTTCTTGTAACAATAAAAAAAAAAAATTAAAAGTTAATTGAGACATATACCAACATAAAGTAATAATGACAAAACCTAACATTTTGCAAAAAAAAAACTAAAAATGTCATTGATAGAATAAATTTCTGGTTACTCTGTTTGCTTTCTCGGTAGCTTCATGTTTTTCAGGATTAATTAACTTTTAATTAAATATTTAATGTAGCCAAAAAATTAACACTTCAAAAATGGATTTGAATAATCCCTTTTTGCTAACACATGCCTCAATTAAACGATTACACTATGTAACCAACGATATCAATTAAAATCCAATAAACAAAACAGTTACATAAGAATGCATGATTTAATAAGTTATTTTAAAATCAATAATCTTTTGGTGCACAAAGAGCTTTGTAGTAACCTAATAAATAACTATTTATTTTACATAATTAATTTCTTTTGATGAGAAAATAATTAACCTATTCATTATATTTATCTCATAGTGATATTTAAATACATTAATTGTAAAATTGCAGGAGTTGGTTCAGGAATATAGGCAAGAATGAAAAAATGTACGCAAATAAGTAAACTTATTTTAATGTGTGTCGTATCAGCATGTTTTAGATCTTCAACAGAGCGACAGGTGGAGAGATCTGACAAGTGATAAAATGTTGGGACACTTTAAAAGATTACATTTTTTTTTTTTAATTTCCATATCTGACTGCAATCCCTAATCAAATTTTCCTGGAATTAGTTTCATAGTCAATGATATCTACATCATTATAAAAAGTATTATTATAAATATATTCACATTGATAGATGCAAACAGTTATTAAAATCAAACAGACTCACGGAACAGGAACATAAACTGCCTTGCAGCAATAAGAGCAGTATTTATCAGACATTTCAGGAAGCACTACAAAAGCAAATGGTCTCTCCACAAACAGAACATCACCAAATTTAATGTCACCATTGGCAATAACATGTCTTCCTTTAGCTGCACTTCTCCTATAACACAAAGCAATTAGTAAACAAATAATAATAAAAAAATTAGCTAAATAAATACAGTGTACAGTACGTCTAAGATAAATTTGAATATAGAGAAAGGGAGCTTGCACAGCCTTTCCTCTCTCAATCTCCCCTCCTCATCCTAGCAATCACCTCATAATGGGAATGGGAATTTTTCGATGTTTGTGTTGAGGGAATAACTCTCTTGATTGAGTCGTTATAAAATATATGTTGCATTATCTTCTCTGGGTATGAGTCCCACATTGTTCATATATTGTATTGAGTGTTTGAAAATAAAATGTTCTTTTTTTGTGTAAATGTTTATTTAAGCTTAAAATTAACATGGTATCAGGTCAGAATTAAGCTAACTCGTGATGTCCAGTCTACCGATTCAACGTGCATTAGATCTCTTGGATCCTGACCAAAGCAGTGAAAACTGGGCAGTTTTCAAATGTCAGTGAGAGAACTATTTGATACTGCTCGATGCCGGTAGTAAGAAAGACTACTCAAGCAAAAAAGTACGCACTGCATTATTTATATCGATATTGGGCACTGAGAGCTTCAAGCTTTTGAATAAGATCGGAGGTTATGAAGGGAAAACAGTTGAGAGTATTATTAAGACATTAGATAAGCATTTCGATGTGCAACGAAACATTATATTTGAGTGCTTCATCTTTAATAACATAAGACAAGCGGAGGGTGAGTCCATGAGAGCATTCGTTGATAGGCTTAAAATTCAGGAAGCAAAATGTGGTTTCTCGGAGCTTGGTAACAAGGAGCAAATGGATATAGAGGTGTCGCTAATCAGGGATAGGTTAGTGGCTGAGCTTAAGCAAAATAGCCTGAAAAAACACTTACTTGTTGGCACAAAGCTGACTATTGCAAGCGGTGAACAGCTGCGCTAGCAGATCACGGGTGAAAGAAACATAACTGACAAGGATGTATATGTCACCAAGAAGATGGCTGGAAATAAATCTGTTAAGATGCACTGTAAGTTTTGTGGACTAGAACACGGGAAGGGTTATGGTAACTGTCCAGCGTTTGGAAAGATTTACAGTTTCTGTAAAGGGAAAAACCATTTCAGCAGAGCCTGATTTTAGAGGAAAGTTCGGAATGTTACAGATGAAGCAATGAGTAGTGAAGGGTCAGATAAGGAGAATGCGGGAGAGCCAGTTTACAGCGCAACTCTGAAGAGCAAACGATAACTGTTACTTGATCTTGGGGTTCGTATCAAGGAGAAAATTAAATTACTCAAGTCTCAATTAGATTCTGAAGCAACTTGTAATGTTATAGGCTTAAGTATTTTAGAAGATTTACTTGAATAAAAAAAGTGGAAATAGTTATCTATGGTGGTGCTTCTGCACGTTCTTTAGGATGAGTGACGATCAAAGGATACTTCGGAGGAAGGATTCATAAAATTAAATTCGAGGTGTTAAATACTAATAAAGGCACATTTCTCGGAGCTGAGGACTGCTTGAAATTAGGTTAACTGATACCAAATGAAGAAATGTATAAAGCTACAACAGAGCCTAATTTAGTTGATTTGTTATCTGATGTAAAAGATCGGATTGTCCATGTCGAGAATGGAAGAAGATATCTCGTAGAAGTGAAAGGAAGACTCTACAGAAGAAATAGAAAATTTATATGAACTTAAAGATGGAGATGTTGAGGGAATAACCCTCTTCAGTGAGTCTATATAAAACATGTGTTGCATTACCTTCTCCGGGCACGAGTCCCTCAGTGTTAGAAAATAAAATGTTCTTTTTTTGTGCAAAAGTTATTTAAGTATTCTAATTTCGTAAATTCTAATTTCGTAAAAGAAATGAAAAAAAAAAAATTTTTAATAGTCATTTCAACTTGTAAAAAAAATTGTAGAAGTACCTACTAATGAGTGAAGACAAAAGAATGGGGAATCAGTAGGAAAACGTTTTACCATTACACACTTATCTCTCCCTTTACCTACCGGCAAACTTATCTTAGACGGACCCTAATATAAAGTCAAAACTATACTAAAAGCATAGCCTTAAAATTAAAAAATGAGCTTACACTAAACTAATGGCTTTTGAAGCACTTCTAAAATTGGGATTTTCAACAAAATTTAAAGTTGGTTCTTTCCTGACAGAATCATTTTCAACAGAAGAAACTTCTTGGTTTTCCTTATATTCAGTTGAAATTTCTTTCAACAAAGACTTTATTTCGGCCAATACTTTTTGTGACTCTGAAAAAATATATATATAAAAATATTATTAGCAATTTTCAGAGAAAACGTAAACATTAAATTAAAGTAACTAACTTCTCTTAGAATCGTCACTGAAGTTATTGCTAAGAGAAATAGCTTTTTCAAGAGTTTCTTTTGCTTCAGAGTATTTAGTGAGAGCCATCAATGCTTGACCCTTTCGAGCAAGTAATTTTATTTGCCTCAAAGCAGGCTGGTTTTTCATTATTGCTCTATCAATATCTTTAATACATTCCTATAGTAAATAAATAAAGACTATTATGCCATGATAGATTAAAGAATAAATATTTATATATCATAGTATTAACTAATAAATGGCCGTGATAAAACAGCACGACAGCAAGCAGTTATGCTTTATTTATTTGTAATAAGTATTAAATTATAGTAGAAATCTAACACAAAAATGATTTACAGACTACGCGGTTTGATGATAGTTATTTATATATTTTAAAAGTAAATATTTTTTTTTACTTTACAGACTTGTAGATCTTTAGCTGTCTTAACCAGCCAGATATTAGTTGAGATTAAATTCCTGATGATGCTATTTATTAAATGACAAACATTATTTTCCATTTATCGTAATTATAAATATAAATAAATAAAAGAACTTAATAAATAAATTAATAACTTTAGAAGCTATTGCATACAAAGATTGACAGTGAGGTGAATTGGTGCAAAACTTCCTGGGATAAGCCTGTAGTCAACAGTTTTAAAAATATAATTAGGTATTATTCATGATTTAATTCATTTTAACATATTTTGACATTTAAATGCTTGATTCAGATAAACATTTAGTAAACTATTGCATGAAGATTGTTTAGTTAAAAAGGGATTCCTGTATTACTCCACAAGTGCTAGCCACGAATAAATAGCTACAGGTAAGCCAAGATCACATTCTTCATGGAATGATGTATTTTGTACAATAGTTACTCAATTAGTCAAATTGCAGCCATTTGTTTCACTTTTCAAACTATATATGAACACTTGTAAAATACATAAACATATAAATATATTTATAACAAATGTAATTACCGAGTAATGTTTCATTTCCATCAATATATAAGACCTATTCCCATAAGCTGATCGCAATTCATCGGAGTCTTTTGGAGCATAGAATAGAGATCTATTGTAACAACGCAGTGCTGTTACATTATCACTGGATTTAATACAAGCATTGCCTTTCAACCTGAACTTTTCAGCAACTGACGATTTCTTTGCAACTATAGGTCTTTGAAGACACCGATGCAGCCACTCTTTCAAAGCATCACTATTAAATTTTATAACAATATTAGAAGAAAAATGAGATACCAATAGAAGTATTTAATTAAAGTACCATTCTTACTAAATAAAATCTGTATCATAACAGAATTGGATTTTATCCTGTAAAGATTGCCGTTTTTGCACCTCATCTATAATCCCAGTTTTATCTGCTTTTGAAGAAATATGATCTAAGAAATTTTGCCAATCATCCAAAGATTCTGATTTATCAGAATTTTCCATTTTTTAACCAAGATATTTGGATTTGACAAATCAAAATTTAATTGATGCCCAAAATATACTTGATTGATTTAATTACCAGAAGAAAACTGATAAAAGGGTTACATTACAACAAAAAATTTAATATTGTTTACTGCTATTAAACAACCCAAATTTAACCTACCACCATTGAAAATTCTTCCAACGAGGTAGTTGAAACCATTTAGCTTTTCATGAAGTTGTTTTTGTACTCCTAAAGATACAATTTAGACATACATCTACATCTTACACTACCGCCACCACCTTTTACACTTCCACAAGCTCCTCATGAAACTAAATAATTGCTGAAAAGAAAAACTCCTGGACATGACTTGATAAATGCTGAGGCGCTTCCCCCAAATGCCTAGGTAGACTATAGTGTTTCTTACTACAATCTTCAATTGCATTCTCAAGACCACTATATTTCCAATTCAGAGGAAATACGCTTTCATAACAATAATTAAAAATGCAGACGAAAACATAAATGATCCTTCATCTTATAGGCCAATTAGTTTGCTGCCAATATGTTCTAAATTATTCGAAAAATTGTTATATCCACGACTATTATAAATATTAACAGACAGACGAATAATTTCTGACCATGAATTAGTATCCAGAAAACTAAAATCGACAACAAAACAACCACATAGGGTAACTGGCTACATTTTGATAGCACTAAAGCGCAAAATATATGCAACAGGATCAATGCCAACGTATGACATTCGGCGCCCCCGGGCAATGATGTCAATTCACTCCTTTAAAAAAATATATTTATTGAGCTGTTTTATATTATGTAATATTTGAATTTTACTGCATTCAATATTTATCTAGTGCAGTTGCTTTATTAGTAAGCTAAAATTAATTATTTTAATACCTTTTTTTATTTATTACAAGTGACGTGCGCCTCTGAAAACCGGCTGGCGTCCCCAATGGGCGCCCCTCTATGCCGGCGTTCCAGGGGCAATTGCCCCACCCTAAGACGGACAATGAACAGGAGTATTCCTGGATGTCGTCCAAGCATTCGACAAAGTCTGGAACCAAAGGCTTCTCTTCAAGCTTAGGACCGTACTTCCACAAACCTACTATCTAATTTTACATTATTTTTTCTCAGACATATTTTTCTCTGTACGACAAGGTTCAGGTCAATCTTCAATTCTACCAAATTTAGCTGGTGTGCCTCAGGGATCAATCCATGTCTCATTACTGTGCATCACATACACACACGACGTTTCTCAAAGTATACACTGTCTTGCAGCAACCTACGCAGAAGACACTGCAATCATTACTTGACACGGAAATTCTTCACTGGTATCAGTTAACTTACAATATCACTCACAAAAAAACACAGGATTGGTGTCATAATGTGTATTAATTTATTTGAGTGTTGGAAGACTCAAATAAATTATCAAAAGTCACAACATATCACCTTTACTCACAGGCGGATCTAAGGGGGGGCTTTCGGGCTGAAGCCCCCCCCCTAAAATGGTAAAATATAACCATGTTTTACAGAAAAAATATTAAAAACTATCTCTTAAAGTATTCTTGTTCGTGTAATTATATTTAATAGGACTTCAAGAACCACTTAAACACCATTTCATAAAGGTAATTAATTTCTTTATTTTTTTTCAAATTTATTATCGTTATATGTATATGAAAAATAAATCATCCGGGCTGAAGCCCCCTCCCCCAAAATGAAATCCTGGATCCGCTAGTGCCTTTACTGTAAGACTTGAAACATGCACTTCTCTATACTTACATAACAAATCGATTTCACTAACGGACAGAGTACAATACCTAGATGTTTGATAGGAAAATGACATAAAACCACATGTTTCGAAAAAAACATGCCACTTTAAATCTAAGATTTGAAACATTGTACTCACTGATAATACAGCACTCCAAATTAAAAGCAAGAATAAAATTAAATAATTACGCATACCTATTAAAACATCTCTGGATTTTGTAAAGCTGTACGGTTTGTAAAGCTGATACACATAAAAAAATTTCAAACTTTTCAATCTAAAATAATACGACAAATTACCCAAGCCCCCTTGTACGTGATTAACACTTTACACACTAATTTACGCGTATTAACTGTCAAAGAATACATACGGACATACTACAAACGATTCCATGATATGTTGAAAGGACACTCCAACCAGCTAATAAAAGTAATGTGATTATACTGTTATACCGAAGAATATCAGAAGACGTCTGAAAAGGGTCTGAATGAGAGACCTACTTGCATAACTTTGAAAGTAAAATAAAGCCGTGGAAGGGATACCGCAGGATATTACTTTTCCTCATGCCTATCTAACCTGTTAATATTTTATTTATTTATTTCTCTCAGTTCATTATTTCGTCATCTGCTGATTGTTAATAAATGTAATAAACAGGTGCGGATTGAAAAATAAAAGTGAAAAAAGTATATATCTTCAGGAATAAGCCTATTCTGTAATATGCATAACCAGCAAAAATTTATCTGATAGATGGATAACAGATGTCTTGATCAAGATATGGTATGTCTAAGATCGTTAAGATGAATAAGATATCGTTAAAATATAAAAAAATACATCTCATGTGCCGGTTTTAGCCATCTTTATGGTACCCAAAAAAATATATCAAAAAGATATCTAGTTTGAGATACCCAAATATAACTTCATCCATAAGACATTTAAAACCTATATGATGTCTGATTAAAAGCTAGATGTATGATTAAATTCGAGATGTCTGAAATTTATCATTTTGATTTCGTCAAAAAGATCTTTAAAAAATATTTATTGTTTTATAAGGAAAAATAAATATTAACGTCTTTGTTAAAATATTATTAATTTATTTAAAGGCATATTAATAAATTACAAAGTATTGACTAAGAATATAACGGTAGCTATTATATTATTTTATTTTATTCGATGTCTATCGGCTTTTTGTATCCAAAGTTCAACTATTTCCGTTATCTCTTCATACGTTACTTTGTCGGCATTACTGAAAACTGTATCTAAAATCATAAAATCTATAAATGAATGATTCTGTAGATATTGATGAAGATAGAAAAAAAAATTTAAGATAGCGATACTTGTCACTTTTTCATGATTCCGTCCCACTCTTTTTAATGAACAGTTATAATGAATTTTATTCAAATTCCACCTGAAATTGTGAAAAATTCAAATTAAAGTATGTATGCTATTTTTCAAATTAAAAAAAAATTAAAATATGCTCACATATGTAATTGAGAATTTCTTTTAAGTTATCTATTTTCAAACTTCCCCAACTTTAAGGCTCCAACAGAGTGCGATGTCTCTGCAATACTCCTGTTGGCGACGTTATGCCCATGTTTTTGTATTACTATATATATTGAATTATAACAGTCACGACGCATAGCGTGATAATGCGCAGAGATGCCGACAAAGGATATCGTTTCTTCAGGAGAAATCACAATGTTTGTAGGAGCTTTTAAAGTTAGAATATCAGAGTTCGGTTGTCAGTTTTCCAGATTCAATCCCTACTTATAGAAGAAGAAAATATTTCCATTAGAATGGAATGTCATCTCAATTTTTATGTGGAACCTGAATTAAGTTTATGAATATATATTATGGCCATATTATTTCAAGCATACAATTAAATTTTCATTGTGAAAAAGATGTCATTTAGTTATCCGATCTTTAAGCCATTTGGTTAAAGAGATCTTTAAGACATATTTTTTTCACCTATAAAAAGTCATCTAGAAATGGTCGCCTGTTATGATATCTCGAAAGATAACAAAAAAAGATAATTTTTAGATGTCTTCCCGATTGATGCTGGGTGGGATGGATGGTCGAATTGGTCCCATTATTTTATCGCACAAATGCGTATGTTCTATAGGTATTTGATAGGATTATATTTAACTATGATATACCATAGTATAGATACGGTACCTCTAACATTAATCTCACGCCCTCTCCCCTGGTCCGGCAAAAACACATTACAGCTTAAAAACGAGGAAGAGGAGAAAAAAAAAAGTATAAATATGGTATAACCAATAACGAATTTAATAATTAACTAAAGGAGAAAAAAGTGAAAAATGTTTTCAAAGGCTAATTATTAATTTTCAAAAATAAGAGTAATAATATACTTATGTTACATTTTTACAGTAATACTGTAAAAAGAAAAGCTCATCTCAACTGATTTGAGCAGCAGATTTCATTTTAAATTAAGATTTTGGCTTCCATAAATATAAACTGAATTTTTTATCTAGTTCAATTTACCTCAATAGAGTACCTTATTGTTACATGAATTTAAATTAATAAAAATACAAGTAAAAATTCAATGTATACATTCTTATTTGAACGTTGAGCTGGCTGCTGAAGAATTACATGAATTTATTTTAGAAAAAAGTGATTGGGAGATTTTTTTTTTAATTGAGAACAACTTACTTGATACAAATGAATTGCCATAAGGAAAGTGTAGAGATAAATTAATATAAATGAGTAAAAACTTAACAAGAGATAGACAATATATGGTGAGACATTATTGGAAAAATCCAAGAACACATGTCTCGAAAACTACTTCGTTCTTTATCTGCATTTTCGAGAAACATTATTGTGTAGTTAGATTTTTCCAAATATAATTTAACAAAACAAAATTATATGTAATAAAGTAAAATTATATATAATTAGGCCACAAATGACCCGATTGAATAAAAGGGTTAATTATTACTAAAATAAAAGTATATAAAAATAGCAAAATAAAAAAAGGCACCGGCGAGATTCGAACTCGCGATCTCCTGTTTACTAGACAGGCGCTTTAACCAACTAAGCCACGGCGCCGGTACGTCCAATGGCAGTCTATGATTCTACTTACACATTAAAGAAGAATATTTCGGATTAAATTCCTTAATTTAATGATACTTATAGGTTTTAAGTAATTCATTTGTTGATTTAATGGTACAGGTACTGTTAAATGGTAAGAGAGGGAACTAATCCAGCAAGTGTGCCTCCTCCATTTTTGGCAACTCCAAATTGCTTGTGTCAAAGGAGACTATTTTTTCTCCATCTGAAATCTTTCTCTTTTAGTTTTCCTAATGAAATCCAAAAGGGATAGCCATTTAATAGAGGAAACCTTTACTAAAATTTTTTTTTTTTTTTATGAAAGTTAATAATTGTATATAAGTTTTTGTTTTCTTTATTGGTTTTGTTGGTACCAAATTTTAATAAATTGATACTTTTCTTTGTATAAGCCATAGATAAATATTTAATTATGCTAATGAATATAACTTCAATTCAGCATTACTCCTGTCCTCTTCTTTCAAAGATTAAAACATCAAGGTCCAAAATATTGATATTTTTAAGGATATTTCAATATATTTGATAACTATCAATAATATATATATATATATATATATATATATATATATATATATATATATATATATATATGAATATTATTGTTTGATACTTACATCTCTGTACAAGAATAATAGGAGAACTACGAAAATTTCAAATTATAAATTAGTTTTAGGTTGATATATATAATGAAAATTAAAAGGTTTTTTTTTTTCAAATTTATGGACATTAATTCTTTAGTTTGAAAAATTGACAATATTTTTGGGTAAATTATTGAAGTTTGAAAGCTACTATATATCACAACCTTGTTGGTTTCAATAAAAGCGATTGAATGTTTTTGTAATATAATACAAATAAGACTTAGCGAACCGGAAGATTTGATATCGACACCACTAATCATAGTCTACATTCTTCTATGAATGTCTAAACCCCAAATGCGCTGTCTAAACTCAATTCCGCCAGACCAGCTTTAACGCAATCTTCCAACCTTAGCTTCAGTCTACCCCTCGGGCACTTACCATTCGACAGAGTACACATTGATTTTTTTAAGAATTCTTTCATTACTATTCCTCTCAACTTAATCATCTCCATTATATTAATCAGGTACAATTAGCACAATTCAGCGTTGTATAACAGCCTGAATTCTCCGTTTGACTCATCATTCTTTGGTCCAAATATTCTAGGCAATACTTTATTTTCAAAAACCATAAGAAATTGTTCATAAGTGGCCACGTTTCACATCTACAAAGAACCTTAGTAAGAATAATGATTTCGTTATTTCTAATTTTTAAGTTTCGGAACAACAGCTGCGAGCTAAGAAGTTACTTAACTGCAAAATAGCAAGCCGTCCTTCAATCTAGCCTTAACTTCTTCATTTTTCTTCTTTTTTTTTTGTTACTGACCATAAATATCATAATATTACCTTTTTATAATATTAAATAGCTTTTATTGAAAGGATATTGTATATTAAATGTAGCTCCCAGGACATATAACGTAACATCCATTCAATAATATGGTTTGTGCAGGGATTATTTTAAACAAAAATTATATAAACCCCTTGTTGTCTACCAAATTTCCATTGAAAAACATTTTATGAGATTTGGTTTTATGAAAATAGAGGAAATAACCAGCTTTTGTTTAAGTCTTGTTGCATAATCATTGTCACCAGGATGTTTCAATAGTTTTACCACCTTTTGATTTCAATTTTAATTTCAAAACATTTGTTAATGGGTCAAATAAAATTTCTACAACACAAAAATTTTGAACTATCTTTATTAACAGACAAAGTAAAAATATTATTTACAAAGGAAAAAAACTACATAACTTTAACATCAACTAAAAAAATATACAGAATCGAGTACTTTCTCCAGCTGAAAGTCTCCAGTAGATGGAACTGCACGAAGTACAGAATTAAGTTTTTTTATTGCTTTCACAACTACTTCTGGATGTGATTCATGGTCAATGCTGTAACAAAAATATATAAATATTTATTTTTTTTAGAAATTGTCAATATTTTACAATTTTAATAGTTCAAAATATAAATTAATAACTCTTGAAGGAAGTTAGTCGACTGTTCTACATATCATGGGTGATAAGTATTCAGGACGCAGTCTTTTTTAAATTTTTTATTTTATTTTTGCCAACGTTTCAACCCAAACATGTGGGTCATCTTCAGGGCGTGGTTTGAGCACTGAGGTTGTTCATGTACTCAACCTCACATAGTAAGAGTACATGAACAACCACAGTGCTCAAACCACGCTCTGAAGATGACCCACATGTTTGGGTTGAAACGTTGGCAAAAATAAAATAAAATTTTTAAAAAAGACTGCGTCCTGAATATTTATCACTCATAAATTAATAACCATTTGTAAAAATTAAAATTTCAGAAATTCTACTAAATCAATTTTTTTACTACCGCTAATAACATTTTAGCTGCCAATACAGATTACCATAGAACTAAAAGAATTCATAAAACATTTAATATTGACAAAACAATATAATTAAGATAATACTATATTCATAATTGTAATTAGGTATGATTTATTCTCTGCAATAGTTGAATAAGTAATTTTCATTATAAATAATTGATTGAATGGTAGATGAAATTTACAATATTTGGCAATTTCTTAGGAATATTTTAAGAAAATCAAATTATGAAACAGAGAATAACTCTTAATAACATAACTTGCATTAGAGATAACTTGAGATTGAGCCAATGGAGTAAAAACATCATTATACGAATAAATGGTGGAAATTTGATAAGTAAATATATTTCTAGGAAAATTTTATGTTTATTATTAAGTGTATTCATTTCATGGTTTTGAATAGTTGAATATTCTAGAAATTGATTTTATTTCAATAGAAAACTGAGCTGTTACTTCTTACGGCTAGTCCCCCAACAGCAAACCACCCCTATCAGTGACCCACCCTAACCCTAATTTTAAGCCAACCTTCACTCCTTACTCTCACACCGAATCATGGGTATTGCTTAACTCTTCGAGCCGGTAGCCTCGGACATTAAGGCCTCAGAATAGGAAAATTCATAAAAATGTTTTTATACTGCCTCATTTTTACAACAAACAATCATAATTGAATTTATTGTTTATTTAAATAAACATTCAAAATTTTAATATTTATTGTATTTATTATAAAATCTGTAAAACTATAACACAAGAGGAACTTTCAAGAATGCAATCATAATTAAAATTGTTTATCTTCAAAATGTTTCCTGTTAGTTATATTTTTTAAATGAAAAAAAAAAATTTAATAGTATCATAAGAAAATAATGATTACCTTTCATAATCGAATCCATACTTTGATATAAGGAATTCAGAAAGTTCCTGAAGAATGGGTTGTGAATGTAATGAAACGAACTGTTCTCGACAAATCTACATAAAAATAAATAAATATAATTTTTCATAAAAATCAAAGAAAATAAGTAATAAAAACAATAAAACAATGCAAATATAAAAAAAAAAATTGTAAACAATGTTTCAATATTATCTTATCAAATTAATATTTTGGTCAATTTTCAAGCTCTCAACTTATGGGAGGAGGATTGAAAAGCATATTTCAAGAAGTGTAAAAAAAAAACAAAATAAATACATTGGCACTCATAAGAATAAGTTGCTACATAAAAAATGGTCAAATAAGTTATGTTTAGTTAAACATTCAACACATTATTAAGAAGGCTTGAGAGATGACTACAGTATATAATACTCACTTCACCATTTTCAACTTACCACATCATTTTCTATGATTGTCAATATAATCTAATACTGAGAAAATTCCATATACTTACTTTATTCATTATATGAACAGTATCTGGATGAGTCCAAAAACAGTCATGCACAGATACAAAAGTGATCCCAGCTCTTTGACAATGTAATGAAGTCAGCATCATGTGAGTAGAATCCAAGGAATGAATGAAGTTTGGTGGAAATGCATTCTTTTGTTTAACGACATTAGGCCTTCTGTAATATTAATTAATTTTTCATTTATAATGCATGAAAATTATCTTTCTGGTATAAGGAACACAATCATATAATTTTTTTACTAAATGATAATATAAAAATAACGAATAAGTTAACTTTATATTGTGATAAACAGAATAGAAAACTGGATCCTTTTTATTTTAAATAATAGAATGTTAAATACATGAGAAAACATGGGAATGTTATATATTATTTTATAAACTAAATAAACAATGTACTTATTATTTCTTATTCCTGAATAATAAGTTTTAAAAAAATTAATTCCAAAATTTATTCTCATAAATAATCTATTTTCTGTTATTTTTTTACAAAAACAAATGTTTATTCAGGAATCAATTTGAATTTAAATAAAATTTTAATGGAAAAACTTTCAATACAAAAATAAAATTAAAAAATTTACGTAATGTCAATACATCTTTTTTTCTCTTTTTTCTCCCATTCGCCGACGTTATATTTAAGGCTTATGGGTTTTACCAAAGGGTGAGGGTGAGAGAATTAATGCTAGAGTTAAAAGCTCCCCCCACATTGGGAAACGAATTCTTAATTATTTTATGAAATTATCTTTGAACAGGTTGTCATGCATCATGGTGCTATGCACACACATAGCCCGTTTGGCCATCCTGCCCTACTATATATCACTACATCATAATTATTAAAGATGGATAAAAACCATATCATGTCTTCCAGCCATGAAGGACTCAGTTATCTAAACTGCTTTCTTCTACATCCCTCTTTAATGATTTATGTCCTGCATTGGTCCATGCAGGACACATCTTTCATTCCAATATATTTATATTCCTTATTTTAGAAGAAATTAGTCGGGGTAGTGTGGTCAAAAAATACTATATTATAAGATATAATAATATATTTCATTACATTGTCCAACGTTCCGACCAACATTGTAGGTCTTCTTCAGGGCTATATAAGATACAAATATATACATTAATTATAGAAAGTTACAGTATAGTTGTGCGTATTGGTCTAAATAATTGGTTAAAATTATTAAATACTCATAAAGAGGGTTGGTGGTATTAACAAGGAAATGGGTGAAAGAGATCATGTTTTTTCAAGTTGAATATATAAGGAGTTGTCTATATATACATATTTTTAATTAAATGTAAATATTAACATTTGTATTAAATGTTGTACAAAGTGATTTCCTTGAGCATCAAGACAGGCTCGGCATCTTTCTTCAACAGCAGCAGTGACAAAAAACATGACCTCTTTCACCCATTTCCTTGTTAATACCCACCCTATTTATGTGTATTTAATAATTTTAACCAATTACTTAGACCAATATGCACAACTACTACTTCAATAACTTTAGGTATAATAGCTCTTTCTTATCTCATCCACTTACACTTTTTCGGCAAACAGAGAAATAACTCCTTTTACAATCCCCTGGTCCCTTTCTACCTGTCAGTTTTCTATTACCTGATCGAAATCAGACAGCTAGTCACCTTACTATCTTTGATAATGCCAGACAGAACGATATGTTGTTGTCTTTTATTATTATTATTACTTTTCTTTAATGTATCTACTACCTATTATCTTTAATATAGTCCAGAATTCCCAATAATCCATTAACTTTCCAAATGGAGCTGAATGTCAATAGTCATCAACATATACTGTAACTTTCTATAATTAATATATATTATTTATATATAATTCAATAACTAATATATATATATTGTTTGCATCTTGTATAGCCCTGAAGAAGACCTAAAACATAGGACGAAATGTTGGACAATGTAATAAAATATGCTATTATATAATATAGTAATATAATATAATATTTTTACCGCATCCCCAAAAATTTCTTCTGAAATAATAATCCACGGTCAACCATCTCCATACCATTATATTCCTTAACTATTACTCTTTCAAAAATAATTTCTTATACCACAATAGTTTAAAACCAAAACATTTAAAAAAAAAAATACAATAGGATGGTTGTACATCTAAGAATAATGGAATTAAGGAACATTTCAAGTCATCATGGGCATAATCTACCATAAAATGTATATTTCTGGAGTCATATTGAATATTTCATAGTTGACCGTTGCATTATAAAGGAAGGAGATAGGTCCTAACATCCTGAACACACCTCCCTGAAGAAGACTTGCAAAGTCGGGTCGAAATGTTGGCTTTTTGAGCTATGAGCAAATAAAGTTTCCTTTTCTTCGTAACTATTTTTTTCTAACTTTTCTGGGTGATGTACTTTTTTTTTTCTTTTTGAAGATGATCTTCAAAATGATGGCTCAATAATTGGATGAAATAAAGAATTAATGATGATATAACATACCAACAATTAACACCTTAGAGAAATAATATAAATAGATCATTTAAGCATCTAATATTATTTAACAATGACTAATGAGAATAATGAATAAAAATTATTGGTCAATGGATAAATTGTTATTCCTATAATACCTAGGTCTAAAAAAATTACATTTACTCCAACATTGATATATTATAAGCAACATATATAATTTTTCGCATTTATTTAAACAATTTTTTTAATTGATGTAGAGATGGTTGACCGTTGATATAATATGAGAAGAAGTTGATTGGGGGGGGTGTAGTGAAATTAATACTAAATTAAATAAGTAGAATTATTTCATTTTTGCCGACGTTTGGACCCTCTTTGTAGGTCTTCATCAGGGCGTAGGATGTTGGGGGTGGGGTGGCCGAATGGGCTAAAGTGTGTGCATAGCAACGCGAGTTGCCTGGCAACCGGATTACAGATTCGAGAAGATTTAAAAAGTAAGAGTTCGTGTCCCGGTGCCGGAGGGGATTTTAAATTCTCCGTCCCGGGAAAATCCCGTATAGCCTAAAAGGCAAGGTAGGGAAGAACAAAAAAAAAGAAAGAAAAAAGAGGCGTAGGCATTTGAAACACTGCATCACACACTCCCAGTATTGAAACACGCTCCCAGTGTTTCAACTGCCTCCCGCAGTGCTACATCCTACGCCCTGATGAAGACCTACAAAGTGGGTCGAAACGTCGGCAAAAATTAAATAATTCTACTTATTTAATTTAGTATTAATTTGACAGCATCTCCTCCCCCCCTCTCCCCCCCCCGATTAACTCCTTCTCAAATTTTTTCAATGCATTTTAGACACTTATTTTTATTTGTTTATTCTGTTATTCTTTTCTAATTACATCTGAGGCTCGTAAAGTCCTCAATTCAGTAATTGTATTTCATTCTAAAAGGACTTGCCCTGTAGTTAATGAAGATTATTATTATGTATCCCCCCTCCATAAATATAAAGGGATGAAGACTTACTCAAACTTGTCAAATTTTACATTATGAGAAACCACTCCTGAGCAGGCGGCAGCTGCTGGATTGGTTTGAGTTACACTTTTGCTATAAGGTTGTACGACGGGCAGCCCCAATGGTGTAACATACTCCACATTTTCACCTCTTATTCCAGCTATCAGTCGAGCCGATTCAGTGAACCAATCCTAAAGAATAGACAAAATAAGTATTTGAAATAATCCCAAGACAATTATAATTGTTTAAGAGATACTTACTTGAATTTCTCTCGTGGAAGTGAACATCTCTGCAATACTGTAGAAAGTTTTATGAACTAAATAATGAGATCCCTGCCAGACATGTTCTTTTGGAAAATCTTCAAGATCTAAAAAAAAAATTGAGAGAATTAACTATTGGGAGGTATCCAATAAAAACCAATAAAAAAAAAAAAAAATCAACAATTGTAGTTATAATTCTTACAGAATTAAAGCTTTGAAAGATAATTTAAATTTATTTTACTGCTTTTCTATAAAAGGAGTGAAAGCTTGATATGTTTTTTAAATTATTTTAAAATTAAATTTTTTAAAATATAAACCGAGTAAGCTAAGTAACAAGATCCTAAACTGAAATAAATAGATGGTAACAATTGTTGTAGTGTAATATATAATATATGCAAATGTGAATATACTTCTACAGATCTACAGGAGAGATTGAAAGAAAAGGAAAAAGGATATAAAATGAAATAATAGACATAAAGGAATGTAGAGAAAGAAAAGAAAAAAGAAAACCAAAAAATAAATAAGTAAATAAAATTAGAAGAATAAAAATAGAGACTTACAGGTGTGTTCAGCTAGGAGTTTTACTTAGAACTGGAAAATTAGAGTAAGGATAGGTATTGGGGAATTAGCTGACCTGTTTGGATCAATGGGAGAAACAAAAAAATTACAGTATCTAAAATTTGAAGATACGGATGGATACAAAGGAAAAATACTATATCTATAAAATATAAATTATAAATATATACATATACATATAAAATAAAATTAAGAGATAATAGATAAGAGTACAATGTGAATAAAAACAAAAATGGAAGAAGTAAAACATACATAGAAGTAAAATATAAATATAGAAATAAGAGACCATACATTGCAGAACTAATTTAGAAGTATAGAGATAAAAAAAAATAGGAATAATTGTAATTATATTTGGTTGCACATATGTAAGAAAATTACATTTAAATATTAGATCATAATAAGACATGGTTAAAAAGTAAAATTAATACAAAGTAAAAATGGATGATCATACATTGATGTAGAATGTAAATATAAAATAAAAGAGAGATCAATACTTAGAATAATGAACAATTAAATTGAATTAATCAATAAAAATTGAAAGTAGATAAAAATAATATGATGTAATATATAAGTTATTTTTCACTTATAAGATTTAAAATGTTTCTGTTAAAGAAATGCAGTTTTTATCTAATTATTAATAACAGGATTCTGTTCCATGTGAATGTGGATGGATTCGGAAATGAGTCTTTTTTCATGGTTAGGGGCCATGGCAAGAATAGAGGTTCTTTCAAAATCAAATGAATGGTGCTAAAAAAAGTTCCGTTTAATGGAAAATAAACAGTGATTGGGCTTAGATTAGTGATATAGTTTTTCTTAAATGGATTACATATGATTCTAATGTGTCATTTGTTTGAGTAGTTATGAATAAAAGAAAGTTTTTAGCCAAATCAACAGAACTTTTACATACATTTTTAAAAAAAATAAAAGATCTGTAAAACATTTACTTGAAAAGTTGCAAGGTAAAAAATTCTAGATCCAAAAGAAATGAAAAACAATCGACAATAACAATGCTGGTGATACCAAAACCTTTTAAAATAAAAGGTTTCTTTCCGTTTCAGGTCCTGTTATAACATTGGGGTAAGGGTAAGTAAATCTGTCTATTTAAAGGGGTAAAAAATAAGGGTTATCCTTTATTATATGTTTCAAACAACTGATAATTATATACCATAAAGTATTTTTTAATAAATAAAAGAGGTTGTACAAAACAAATCAAGAATATAGTTAAAAATTTGGTGTGGTGCGAGCATCACACAACTTTCATTTACCACCCTCTTCTTAGCAGAAATAAGTATTTTCAGGCAAAGCGAAGTGAAAGTAAAAATTATAGACTCTATATTTATTTATATTTCATTGTGGGTATTTTTATTTTTATAAGTACTCACATATATACACATTTTAATATATATATCGCTGTAATCTATACAATTAAATATTAAATAATACTAACAATAGCATTTTTGAAAACCACATATGTATATTTATATAATATTATCGGAGTCCGTATTATGTTAATCCCATGATACATATGGAAGCATGTTCTAATCTATTCCTTTGAATCCTCAATTATTATTATTATTATTACTATTATTCTCCATTACGATCTCTTATTTCTCCTTCAGCTATTTATCAAATTCTTTCATATTTTATATTTAACCATTTTTCATATTAAAAATTAATGTGAAATGGTTAATTGTTTCAAATAAAAAAAACTTAAGATACTTTAGAGGAAGCTAATATTGAAAATTAGCCACTTAAGCCCTGTTAGAGAACACTAATCAGGATAATAACCACATTTTATTTAAAACTTATTAATTTTACACTGATATAATGAATTTAATCAAAATCGTTAAGAGCGGTTTTCGAGATAATCGTAAAAATGTGTTTAGTGAATTATATAAAGTGCCACTTCCGGTTAGCTGATTTTGAAGAAAACGTTACTGTAACATTTCTAGCATATAAAAACCTTAAATATGCAATTTCAGTAATTGTCATATAACTTTTTGTTTTTGAGCTAGACTGTTAACGCAAACACAGACCATTTTGCGGGACTTGGTTATTTGGACTCAAGGGACCCGAAAATGAGTATTTCTGTTGAAAACTTAGATTAAAAAATAAACTTACCCTTACTATATATTACATATATACATAAGTGAAAGTAAAAATAAGAATTAAAAATAAACTGCAGTATTAAATTTTTTTTTTTTATTGCTCTGTATGGTTGTTTTTATTTGAATAAGTTTTTCTCCTGCTCGCATTTGCTGCTTGCACTTGCATGCTGAACAGATCATTGTGTGACAAAACAGAGTATGGCAATTGTTTTATAGCTCAATATTTTGCAACAATTATAAAATACAAATACAATTAAATAATAAAAGCCTTAGTAAGAATTAGTTTGTAACACTGTTTAAAAAGCTGAATTGTTACCCTTCAACTGTTTTGCAATTTGTAATCTTGCGCCAAAACGTGTAACTCCGTATACTGTAGTCATCACAGTCTGCTTGATTACCTTTCTTCGAATGAATCCATCAAGATGTTTGGCGATTTCTATTCCATTTTGAGCATCCTTCGCTCTTTCTCTGTCAACCTAATTTGAACAATAAAAGAAAAAAAATAAATGATAATTTCACAAGATCAAAAAACTAAAAATGGAATATAACAATCAGTAAAAAATAAATATTATGAAATGAATGTGTGCAACTTTATAAATAGAGGTGCAAAAATACATGTTTCACACCCCTAAAACATTGAGCAAAAATAGTTCCTCATTTTTGCCCAACTACAAACAAGAAAAAAAAAAAAAAAAATTAAATTAAAAAAATTATTACTATAACCCATGAAGGGTTTTAGGTTCAATACTTTGTAAGGAAATACTGTTTCAAGAGCAATGATTGTGCTGGGAGGTGATTAGGACGAGATCATGCAAAACTGGCAGGTTGTCCCCCTTAATTACGTGATCGTATTCCTCTAAAAACCAGACAGCTCCTTGTAACCTCCCTTGTATTCTCCCACTTCAACTACGGCTGTTTAGTGTATGGAGGGCTATCTGCCAGGCTGGAAATAAGACTAATGAGACTCATGAATTGTTTCATAAGATACATTTTCGGGATTCCCAGGCATTCACATGTTTCACTCAGGTACACCGAGTTGAAGTGGCTTTATCCTACTTCCCGACGACAATTCCTCCTGGGTGTTTTCCTTACCCCCAGGTAGGAAAAACCCTCCCTACATCCTGGAACTCCTTACTCTATGTTCCTCTATCCACTCTCTCAATACTAGGTCTCAACCTATAGACTTATATATTCCCTCCCATAAAACTTCCTCCTTCAGCAAATTCTTCGTCATTCGTGCTGCTTCCTTATGGAACTCACTTCCTACCTCCATGCGTCGTCAATCCTCGTCCACAAATTCGCCTTCAAACAACTCCTGTTCCAACACCTACTCCACATTCAAACTTCCCCTAACATGCAAAATTACTTGCATCTGTACAATGTTTAATTTCAATGTATTGCACAATTGAAATAACAATGAACAGTAAATTAATTTGTATTTTTATTATGTCAGACTAAGACCCATAAATTTGTAACTCTGTTATTATTCTTAGGGGACAGTAGTCCCAGAATAAAATCATTTAAAAAAAAAAAATAATTATTTAATTAAGAGTACCCACATTATAGAGTCTGGCTGTGCCCCAGGAAGGTCTTCTGTTTCCAGGGTCAATCCAAGCCTGATTTAACAAAATAAATAATTACCTGCCAAAGCAGTACTCGAACCCAGGACCTCAAGCATAGGATATCAGTGCCTTACCCTCTTAGCTACCCCACTATGGCAAAAATAATAAAGTTTAGCCTGACTGTTTGTAGGTATGTAAATATTTTTTGAGCGAATGCACAACCAATTTATAAGTTTGATAGCTTAAATTACTCAGTGCAAATCTATGAGTGTTCTGAAACCATCTGAATACAAAATTCTGATAAATTACTGTATTGAATGTCTTTAGTCTGCTCATTTGAAGATATGATAATGATTTTTTAATTAAATGATTCAAATTATTCATCAAAATTCTAGAAGTATTTTGAAACAATTTCAGTTCAACACACCAAAAAAATGTTTCACTATATTTTATAATTTTGATTTTTGTTTCATATCATTTCGTGGGTAAGTTAATTATAAGGGGCACATAAATTGTCAATACGTGAAAAAAGCTTAAAATAACAAATAATTTAGTTAATAAAAAAAGACTACAGAAATAACTATATCCATTTTAAGGGCCAAAATTAACTTCCATATCTACTTAAACACAATGGCGGATTGTTAGTGATATTGATGTCTATGAATATCAAAAACTGGATTAGATTTATGATTTCTTGGAAGTTTAATCTCATGTATCTGTATCCATTAACGTACAAAAAGCTCTTTAATTGAGGGTTGACGGTTGACTGTTGTGAATAATTGAAGAGAAGGATGGTTGCGGTGATCAGTCAAAATAAAAATAGTAAAAATAAATAATTATATTTATTTTTATATTTGCTCTCGTTTCAAGAGGCAATATAAATTCAAGCCTTCATCAGGGCTAAGAAAAAGCTATGTAAAAAGTTCTTTATATCTTTTCATGCAAACGTACAAAAACTAAATCAATATTATGTAAGTAAATTTATGTATTGATTACTGAAATTCATTCAAATATGGAAGGAACCTGACAAATATACCAAGTTTAAATATTTATAAATGTCAAGTGCACTACTAAGTCACCAATATGTTTAAATTAGATATTCAAGTATATTCTGACCTTTATACGGTTATTTCCACAAAATAATTTTATTACTTCATGGTCAACAGGCGTAGGGAGGTGGCGGTCCCATCGCCCGGTCATTGTACCGCAACCAGCCACTGGCCCTCCAGGTTGGGGGAACACTTACACGAACACACACACCAAGTACACTTTATACAGCACACTACAACACCTAAACACTACAGACAAAGGTCACCTACAGTACACACCCTAGGGTCACCTTCCCTAGGTAGCCGCCCCGGATGGGGGAGCTAGTCAGGATGCTCGGAGGAGGCAGTCCCTCTACCTGACTCGGGGGCAGTGGGCTGATAACCCACCCCCTCGTAAAGTACCTTATTACGAAACCTCAAAGAGAAGAAGCCGGACTGAATTACGGTAACAGACCCAGGAAACGCCTAAATGACCTAAGAATTGGATTTTGGAACATTTTATCATTACATAGACTAGGAGCACTTTGTGCGCTCCTTGCAGAACTGGACACATATAGAATCGACATAGCAGCTATCCAAGAGGTCCGATGGATAGGACAGGGAATTATGGAGAAGAAGTACCATACACTCTACTATAGCTGCCATGAAAAGCATCACGTCTTCGGTACCGGATTTGTTGTGAGAGGCAGAGCTCGACAGCTATTCCTAGACTTTAAAGCAGCATACGACAGCGTTGATAGAACGCAACTATACTGTGCCTTGGAGGAGCTAAGCATCCCTCAGAAGCTCGTACGCCTAATCAAGATGACCATGGACAGCTCGAGATGTAGAATACGCGTCGGTTCTGACGACTCCGAAGAGTTTAAAGTGAGCAGTGGGGTTAGGCAAGGGGATGCCCTCGCCTGTCTATTGTTCAACTTGGCAGAGGAGAAAGCTGTAAGAGACTCCGGTATTCAGACCAACGATATAATCTTCAATCGCCTGACACAGCTTCTTGGTTTTGCTGATGATATTGACATAATAGGTAGGTCTGAACAGGCTCTCAGAGAAGCGTTTATAGGACTTGAAGCAGCTGCAAGACCACTTGGTCTAGAAGTAAACGAGAGGAAAACTAAGTATATGAGAGTTGGTGGTGAGGTGGATCTGAACTCTCCATTTGAGGTAGGTTCTTTTAAGTTTGAGAGAGTGAAAAGTTTTATATACCTTGGGTCTGAAATTAATAGCAAAAATGACATGGCTCAAGAAATACAAAGAAGGATCACGGCTGCCAATAGATGTGTCTTTGGACTTGGCCGACACTTAAGAAGTAGGTACCTCTCAAAGAAGACCAAGCTGATCATATACAAGACTCTTGTTCGGCCTGTTTTGACATATGGCTCAGAGGCTTGGACGATGACCAAAAACGATGAGATGAAGCTGAGTGTGTTTGAGCGAGGAGTCCTCAGAAGGATTTATGGTCCAGTAAAGGAGGGTGATGTCTGGAGGAAAAGAAAAAATAAGGAGCTCAGTTCTCTCTATGCAGACATCGACGTAGTCACCTATATTAAACTGGCCAGACTAAGGTGGGCAGAGCATGTGGCCAGAATGAGCACCGTTGAGATACCCAAGAAAATAATGATGGAGAAGCTGCACCTCGCAAGACGGGTAGGAAGGCCGAGGACGAGGTGATTGGACAGTGTGGCCTATGATGCGAGAACCCTGCTTGGTGTACGGAACTGGAGAGCTGCAGCAGAAGACAGAGCCAACTGGCGGAGGCTCTTGGAGGAGGCCCAGTCTCGGTAACGGGATGTCGTGCCACACATGATGATGATGATGGTCAACAGTTTTTGTATTCGTTATCAATTGATTTGTATTTGTATTTATTATGAATTCCTTCATGATTAGAGCTGGCAGCCCGAGGGTGAATTAAACTCACATTTTATCTTATCCTTAAATCTTCAATATCGCTTACAAATCTATACTATATACAATATGGCAGTACAGATCCCTTTTATGGTTAAGATACCAAATAAAAGGGAATTTCAAGAAGTATGAATCCCAATTTCAAAAATGTAACACCGTACACTACAATTACAATTAAACTCATTGAAAAGAATTGGAGGTTTCTAAGTTGGAGGATTTAAAAGTCAACAGATCAAGACAGAATAAATTTTGTTTTAAAAATTTTCAAGAGGACATCAAGACCCAGTATAGCTTCTAAGGCATTTTAAAGCTCTAAAATAATCCGTTTTCAAGATAAATAATTCTTGCCAAAAGCCTGTATTTCTTATAAATAAAAAAATATATGACTTCTATACTATCAGTAATAGACTTATATACTCTTAATAAGTGAAAAAATTACACATTAAGGCTCTTCTATACCAAACAAATAGGTCTTGAGCAAGTACAATAATAGATTATTGTAATTACGGAGATAGCTGTGTCATAACTATTAAACTGGTTCGATATTTTCCAATGGCACAAGCTAATAACTTATTAAGTTAATTGTTGCTTCAACAGTCGTGGTAAAGTATAAAGCTTGACCTAATGTGTTGAATATATGCCAAATACAAATAAACATCTTTTGAATGCATTATGGAGAAGGATAGCTATCTAAGACTTCTCGCTGGAGTATACTATTTATTTCTAAATATGTACAAATATTGAAATACGATATCTCAATCTTCTAATTTATGTATATATTTATAAATATTTTGTATGTTTGTATATGTAGTTTGTATGGATAGTTCATGAAAAAACAAAATGTTAGTTTCAACTTAATGCTGCAACCTCCAGCTGCCAACTTATTGTGGTCAAGCAATAGATATTCTAATATTCTGATTCAATTCATATTTTTATTCTAGGGTTAATAGACTTATTAAAAATTGAATATTTAATAGTTGAGCGTTGCATTATAAAGGAAGGAGATGGTGCGGGATGGCAGTCATAAATAGGCTAAATAGTGGTAAAACTATTTTATTGAAAGCCGACTTTTCGACCCGACTTTGTAGATCTTCTTCAGGGCTAGATCGGACAAGATACAAAAAGATAGAGAATTGTGGCAGTTACATAATATTTAGACAAAATGTATAAACAATGTGAATAAGCTTATTAAAATTATTAACAGTAAATACATTAAAATATGAAAAAAGTAAGCTAAGTAACAAAATCCTAAACTGAAGTGAATAGATGCTAACAATTGTTGTAGTGTAATATATAATAAATGCAAATGTGAATATACTTCTACAGATCTACAGGAGAAATTGAAAGAAAAGAATATAATTATTATTACTATTATTTCATGTTATATCCTTTTTCTTTTTCTTTCAATCTCTACAGTAAATCTGTAGAAGTATATTCACATTTGCATTTGCACATGCATTTATTATATATTACACTACAACAATTATTAGCATCTATTTACTTCAGTTTAAGATCTTGTTACTTAGCTTACTCTGTTTATATTTTAATATAATTACTGTTTATAATTTTAATAAGCTTATTCACATTGTTTATAAATTTTGTCTAAATATTATGTAACTGCCACAATTCTCTATCTTTTTGTATCTTGTCTATTCTATCCCTGAAAAAGACCTGCAAAGTCGGGCCGAAACGTCAGCTTTCAATAAAATAGTTTTACCACTATTTAGCCTATTCATGACCACCACCCCGGACCATCTCCTTTCTTTAATTATTAAAAATGTCCATCTCTATAGCAATGTAAAAAAATGTAAAGAAATATCCATTATTTATTAGATTAGAATAGATATTATTCAATTAGAAATCAAGTCCCAAGAATGACATAAAATCTCTAGGATTGGGATGGGATCCATAAAAAAATCTTCAGAAAACTGGGAAATCCTCCCCCGACCCTTTTACTTACCTACCAAATATGTCAGTACTTGAAAGCCTTCAGTGCTCGAACCACAGTTAGTAAGAGAAAATATTACAAATTTTTATTATTGGATTATATACACGAGATATATAAGATCTAAATACTATATATGTTTAAAAATTCCTGACCCAAACCATTCCAGTATTATTTATTGCACCGAATGAGAGTCAATCACTGAGCTGTAATAATAGATTTTAATAGTTTCAGTCTCTTGATGAAGAAGGAAAAAAATAACTAAGCCATGAGGTTTCCAAAAATTGATTTGAGATATAAGAAACTGTTAATTATGATTTTCATTACACTCAAATTCTTTACAGTAACATGCTAAACCCTTTGGCGATGGTGGACTCATATATAAGTTGAGACAAAATCAAGCTCAGGCAACAGTGGACTGGTATATGAGTCGAAAGCCTACTGGCCTCTTTGACGTTAAATGATGGGGGGTACTCTGTGATCAACTCTACTTACAAACTAACTTGCAGCCTTTCCATGAGACATCAGATAATTTTTCTGTGCAAGTGGTCAGTAGAAGAGATGAAAAATAAAAAGGTTAAATAAGCCTATTTCTCGTATTTACAATGACAGAAACCTAAACATTGTTTTATGCTATTACTTACAATAGCTGCAACACACGAATAAACATCCTGTGGTACATCAAATGGAGAGAGATTAACAGATTCAGCACCAGAACTATCCCTCCCAAGAGCAGCATAATGCTGGAGACCATTGCATGAGCCATCCTGGTGGACTGGGAAAGAGCACAGGTATGTTTCGGGAGCTCCATTATGGTCCAAAGCATTGCGTATTTCAATACAGGTAGCTAATGTTTGCCAAGGCTTCTCGCTCTCCATCCACCAAGCTCCCTTCTATAAATGAAACCAATCCAAATAAAATTAATGAAAAAATATATAATAATAAATCACATATCAATTTTTTTTATGAAAATAAAAATAAGTAGAAATAAAATTGTAAGAATGGTCATTTTAAATACAAACCTTAAATGGTTCATTAGCAGAATCGAGAATTGTAGGAAGAATTTCATTGGCATAATCTAATCTACTGCTTATAGATTCTTTTTTTTTTAAACCAGTTAAATTTATAGCATGGATCTGAAAAGTAATAAGAACATTTTATATAATAAAATGTTTCAAAGAATATTTATTAGTTCTTAATTTTTTTTTACTCAAAATACTTATTTGACCAATATTTCATATTTACCTTTAACCAGTTCAAACCTTCAGGACCCAATGGCCTAGGTTGTGCAAACACCAAAAGGGACCTATAAAGATCAGACCCTAAATGATTCAAATGAGGTGGGCATGGATAAACTCTGCCTCGAAAATCCATATTATGTGGTAACCAAAATATCCGATCCCTGAACTGAAAAAGAAAAAAAACACAGGCTTTGTTGTATGGCCTTTAAATAAAGAAAATGACAAATGACCCACAAGATTTGTTAGCAAATCTTATTTTGGTAAGTATTCAATTTTAAAGAGCTATGTGTATAATTTATAATACAGACTTATTAACTTCAAATTATTAACTGAATTCAATTTGACAATGTATATTTAAAAAAAAAAACATTTCTATCTTCTCCATATCTAATTTTATTAAAAATGTTGTCTCCTCCCCTAAATAAATATTTTAACGAACAAATTATATTTAAAATCATTAGAAAGGTAATTAAATTCTCTAAAGAACAAATAAAAAATTATAAAAATTCAGCCAGTATTAGCAAAAAGATGGCATCATAATTAACATATTCATGTTTTTAAAAGTATTTTAAATATATTTTGCTTAAGTTTCCATGAACCCTGTTCAATTTTTGTAGAAATGGTATCATAAAGAATTTAAGGGAGACTCTTTTGGAGCCCATGGAACCTTTTTTTATTAAAAAGACAATAAACATGTAATAGTGGACATAATTGAATGAATGTATAACTAACACATTTAAAAAAAAAATTCAAGATGGTAGGTTTGACAATGTTTAAGCATCATCTCCCAACCTAAACTCTCTCCACAAGAATCTTTCTTAAGTTATTTGCCTATATATTTCTTTAAATTATGAATTATAAAGATTAAATACTTACATGATTAGCTAATGATAACCTGTACAAGGCATCACACCACAAAGAATACATTTCCGCTCTTCTCCTCTTGGCCAACATCCTGGCCCTGAAGGCCTCAAACTTCTCTTCTTTTGTAGCAGCTTTAGGTAAATCCGACTGAGTTATAGCAGGTGGCATACAAGGAACACCAAGCTTTTCATGACCACCGGATTTAAATAGCTTTATGACAATGTCGAGCACCTAAAAATGATAATAAATTAAAATATACTACTATCACCTAAAAAAACAATGTAAATATTACAATAAAGCAATAATGACGTATACACTTTATATTATAATTTTTTAGTCATATTATTATCTTTGGTGGCACATTATTTTCCCATCTCTACTACAAAATAATATAAGTTCGTCAACCATAAATAGCTAATACCCTTATTCATTACACACTAATACCCTTATTCTATTTTGAAAAAAAAAATCTGGTGGGCGCATCACACAACTTTCCCTAACACTTCTACTTTGAATAGAAATTATTTTTTGGTGATATTGAGCTATTATAAATTTTTTTAAAGCACTTTTAATGAAGCTAAAGCTTAAACCTTACAGCTAAGAACTCATAAGTACCATTAAAATAACAAAAACCATACTTATTATATCAACGATAGCCAATAAAAACCTTGTAACTTCAACTGTTTTTGTAAACCACATAACTCCAGTTGCTGAGCAAATTTAAGCTAGCAAGATTTGAAAGTACATATGTATATTTCAGCAACAAATGATTATGGATTGTACTACTATTAGTTATTAAACTCTTACTTTTTCATTGTAAAGTTTACTCAAATGGAGTTCCGAGATTTTTGTTGCCAACTATAGATGGTTGAAAAGTTATCACACTAATTGTAAGTGGATAATGTTGTGATTTCACAAAAGAGAAAATTCATCTAATTATTCACTAATTTCATTTTCTAAAATGTTACATGATGAACTTTCGGAATAAACAGATGATCAATACCTAATTATTAACAAGTAATATTGGATCTAGAGTTATTAAACTACAATAAATGTATTTAAGGTTATAAACATATGTTTAACAAATCCTTGAAATATTTTTATATTTCACTTCTTTTTCCACACAAGTACAATGAAATAGTATTTTGAACAATGTCCTTGCCTTTATTCGGTGGATTTTATATACTTTTTTTTTCAAATTTGAATATAATTTTAAAAGTTTACATTTAGTAAGAAAATTTCATTTAATTTCCTTGGAAACATGTGGTTTCTGCTAAATAATTTTAGTTTTAACACATTATTATTTATAATTTTTTGGTCACTATCGATTACTTTCTACGACATTCTATATTAGATATAGTTTTTCTAAAATTCTCAGCTTTCCAACAATATAATATACGTAATACCTTCTGAATATTATTTCTAGAGATTTATTTTCAACCTAAAGAAATATTTTTCCTTTTTTCTCCTTTATTCAATAATTAAATTCTTTTGAAGGTTATATTGAGCATTTTTTATTACTAATAACAATGGGAAACTGTTAATTATTTAAAATAAACATAATTAACGATACTTTATTAGGAAGAACTATTGTACATTGGCCATTTAAGCCTGTAAGGCAACGTCAATAAAGATAAGACCTAGTTGATATTAAAGATCACTTAATAATACACTGATATACCTTGTTTAATAAAAATTATAGAGCCCTTTTTGAGGAAATTGTAAAAATGTGTAAAATCGATTATATAAAGTAACACTTCCGGTTAGCCGATTTTAATGAAAAAGTTGCTGTAACATTCCAGGCACATACCTAACTTAAATATGTATTTTCAGTTTCGTATGATTTTTCATTTTTGTGCTAGATTGATAAAATACACAAACATAGACCATTTGTTGGGATTTGGTTATTTAGACTCAGGAGACCTTAAAACGTGTATTTCTATTAAAAACTCAGTTTCGAAAATTTACAGTATCGCAATACTTTCACTTACTATTTATTACATATACAGGTAAGTGAAAGTAAAAAATTAGCCTTATACTAATATTTTTAGTTAAAGCAATCAAATTTTCCAAAGAAAGAAAACTGAACATGCTTAACAAAGGATAATTTTGGTTTGAAATGAGAGAAATGTAATAAACATGAATGATAGGTAATCATTAATAGAAATAAAAATAATTTAACTCAGAGATTCTAAAGCTGGGTGCCACGATACATGAGGGTGACTCAAGCGTAAGTCAAGGGTGTTAGGAAAAATATAATTTTAAATTCATTAACTCTTTGCCTGTGGAGAGGATACATGCCTTCCCGTTAGGAGTTGGGTCACTGGTACGGAGGGGTTATATGCCTTCCCTCCTAGGCTGTCATCACTTGAAGTGTTAGGGGCAAGTCCAGCCTTCATCATTTGACGTGTGGCTTGTTCGGTGCATTCATTAGTCCCCCATAGCTGACTCAGTGCGGTTGTTCCGGATTTTGACCATTTGGAAGCTATCAGTTGCAAATGTATTCTGAACCCAAGGTATTTCCTTTCTCTGTTATTTGTGTCATATACATGATCTTTTTTATATTCCATTTAAATGTTCTAAGCATCAAATAAATGTTAATAAGCCAATGTTATAACTTTTTCTATTTTATTTTAATTTAGGTTTTGACTGAATGCTGAATTTGGTACACATGAATCTCTGTCTACTAAACAAATAAATGTAAGTTTCCTTTATTTTATATATATTTCCTGACTTTGTGGGAGGATGAAATATTAACAGAGGAATGAATCTCCTGACTTAGTATATAGGAATACAAGTGGACGGATGAGCATCCAGACCTTGTATGAAAAGAGAATAGGAAAAGAGATTAAAGAAGCATAGTGAAATAAAAGGCAGTTTGATGTGGAACCAAAAAGCATATATAGAATATACTGATCAAACTGCTGGAAAGATGTACATCCAGAAGGGTGGAGTCCCGAGGACTTGTCTTTTTCCTCGGAGGGCTGCGGTAATTATTCCGCTATGACTAAATCAGCTATCAAGAGCAGTTAACAGTTATTTTTAAGCTATGATCAGTATACCTTATCACCATTAAACTTTATTAATAAAAAGTATTTACAATGTATATACATATTCCAATTAAAATGATTTGAGTATTTTACAATACAATAATGAGAAATAATAATACAATTTTTGGATAAATTGAGTGAGCGCGCACGTGTGGCACTGCCAGTAAACTGCATTCCGGTGAGTGGTGGCAGATGACTAGTTGTCCGCTGTAGGTTTGATGGCAGACAGCAATAGTCCGCTACAGGATCAACATTTTATGTATGTGTTTCATCACCTGGGTTCTACCACTATTCTTAATTTAGAATAAAACTCTCCAATTACTTTGCAACTAATATTTACGAGGTTTTTGGCATCTGATATTTCCCGAGACCAAATATAAATAAGTTTTAAATACCTATTCAACGTAACTTTACTTCCACTAAACAAAGAACCATACCTTCCTCAGATTGGTATAGTGTATTTACCACACTTTATATTAAAACACTTACACACAAATTCATCAAGTCTTTTTTTACAAGGCTGAAGAATCGTGTAAGAATCACTTTTCAAACACTTCATATTGGTATGTAACAATCCTAATTCTTGGAGCTTTCTAATTTGTTTTAGTGGTGTAGCTGAGGAAAACTGTTCAATTATTTCTTTCCAAAACAAATAGCCATGGGTTTAAATATTATTTTTTATCATGATCCCAAATTTATGTTATGTTTATTTTATCCAAAGAACCTTGTCAAACCAAGGTAGCGAGCGATATATCTAGTAATAAAAAAATAAAATAAAATAAAACATATGTTTATAAAATCTGATACTTTGTTAACCTCAAATTAGATTGTTTTATTGAATTATATAAATTTTCAATTTAATTTTTAACATATAATTTCTAAATTGCAGTAGTCAGTATATAATAATCAACATATAGTACTTTAATATATAATATATATATATATTGTTTTAATGAGAACTTTAATAGTAATAACTAAAAATAAATATATCCACATGTTTTTAAAATTATATGAATGGGTCCTCTAGTCAAATAGTGATAGGTTAATTAGTTATAGGAATATTAGTTTATCAATTAACATGCATTACGGATTCGAACATGTACAAATATTGATAATACTTATGGCCCGTGCCGGGATGCTCCTCATTCACATAAATATAATTCCTTCTACAGATGTAAACCTTATAACGATCCAACATATCTTAAGTATTACAGTGTCGACTTTCTGCTTTCTCTGTTTCGGTTACAGACTAAGTTGGCTCAAAGAAATGAGTGATTTTTCTAGTCGATGGATCATAAACAGTACAGATATAAATTTAAACGGCATAATAGATGGTTGGAGATCAATGATTCTTTGCGAGGGCCTAATGTCCATCAGTATAGCTGGTAGAGCACATTTTGCCACGGATTTACTAGTGAGCTTGATGGTTTCTACATTTATTCAGCCCTTAATGATGAACCTCATAACAGACGGAACTAGTTTGAACAGCTTAGGACGGTTAATTTTTGAATTTGAAGATTATACTAGAACATCGGTTGTCCACGTACTTCCGGCTGGTTTTTCATTCATAGCTTCACTGATATTCGGCCAAAGAGTTGTCAATATCAAACATATGGATCTTAGTTCAGTACCTGTTAATGCCCACTCATCAAGTTTTTTAGGGTATTTATTTGTTATAACAGGTTTTATGATGAACAATGATATAATAAAAAATCTATTTACAGTTTCGACAGGAATGCTCACGATGCTTATTATTTTTATACTTGCTAGACAGGATCCAGACTATTGGAGTTCAGTGTGGATTCTTCAAGGTGGACTGGCTGCAGTAATCAGTAATGTGGCATGTTTAAAACCATCCGAGACGATTATCTCAGCTTTCTGCACTACCATATTGTATGCAACTATATCAAGACTGATAAGATCATCCATCCTCGAAGATTACGGCAATATCTTAACCATTCATGGAATCGCTGGGTCTCTGCCTCTAATAATACAACACCTCTGCCAAAATAATTTGAACTATCGCAAAGCCTTGATAGGTGCTATTTTTGGCTTTACAACTTTTTCCGTAGGAATAGCAATTGGTATAATATTACTAATTCCTATGAAGATTATTGGAATGTTAAGAAGCCATTCTGAAGAGGAAGTATCAAATCCAAATTGGTTTAAAACAAAACATCGAACAAAAAAAAGGTGAGAACACAATTAAATATGCATCATGTGTACATTAATCATGTGGTAAGATAATTTGACAGTCAACATTTTCACAGCTTATTACTTGTGATTTATATCTTTTATTAGGTAATTCATCATTTCATTGGAATATTATAATTTTTTAATAATTAATTGATCATTGATAAAAAAATTAACCACTGTTTCTTCCAAAGAAAATAATAAATTTCTTGACAAAATTTTAATTAATTACATTATAACATTTATATTGCAACTCAATAAGACTCAAAAACTACTGGGTGTATTCATAATATTTCAGTTTTATATTAAAACTTTATCATATTATAGATAAATATTTAAAATTTAATGAGCACTTCCAATAGAGAAGTATGAAAATAGGAGAGGGAAATAGTTGATATTTGATTACAAAATAAGTGAGATTATTATAAATTATAAAGAAGGTTACACTAGCTTTCTTATTAAAACCTTACATAAATCCTACGCTTCTCCTTACCAAGGATCAGATTCTTGGGAAGGAGAAAAAGAATCAGTAATAGGGATTGCTACAGCTACAACCCACTCTCAAAGAAAGAGTAGATCGCTGAGCTTCCTTTTCATCATGCCTTCACATTGCACAGTATAGAAATGTTCCACTGTTCTCTCTTCTACTACTCTAGGTATCCAAATTTGTTTCTCGTTCATGACCCAGACCTGTTGGTCAGGCAGGAATAACTTAGACTTCATTTTCAGATCATGGTTACTGCTTGTCGCCATATTTGATTTTCTACTTCTCTCAAGTCTGGTCTTATTCTACGTCTTTACCTTTTGTACAAAAGTACTAACAGAAAGTAACAAAACCTACAATGACCAAACCAAAAGCACCAAAACTTCACAATATAAATGTCATCATTTAATAATAAAATTTTAATTTTAACCAAGAATTTCATTACTAATATTACAGTGATCCATTTGGTACAAGTTCTGAATCATCACTGGCGAGGAATGCCGAAGGTATCTTGATATTGACAATCATGCTCACAAACAATGACCATAGTGACAGAACTAATAAATAATGTTTAGGTTAGGTTGTAGGAATAAATAAATATAAATTTAATTTGGTTTGCAGCAATACTTCAAGTTAATTACTGTAGTTTAGTTTTATTCTTAATATCAGGATTGTGGTAATTCATAGCTCTTATGCTAAATAACTCAGTAGAATATAAGAGATAGTGATTATTGTATGTCAGAAACATGAAAGTTATATTTATTTTGATATTTGTTTTTAAAGTGAATAAATATTAAGCAGTAGGAACTAGAACTAACCTAACCAATCATTCCATCGTATAGCCCTGAAGCCAGGGCCCAAAAATCAACCTGATCGCAGGCGAAGGTTTGAATGCAAATTATGAAACTATATGTTATTTTAAGTCCATAATTACACAGGTACCTTTATACTTATAAAAAAATCCAGCAATAAAAGTTTAATATACCTGATCTAATGGAAAACATCACATGGAGAAAGAAAAATAACAGACACTTAATGTTTATCGTTCCACTGAACTTTGTACCCATCAAACATAACATATTGTTTTTGTCTTTCTCTATCAGGCCTCTTAAATCTTAGATTACCACTGGTGGGCCACATATACCAACAATAAACATTTGAAATCATTGGAGCAAAGTAACCCACCCACTTCAATGTTTATAAACCATTTTTACTTTCACTTACCAGTATATGTAATTTATAGTAAGAGAAAGCATTGTGATAGTGAAATTTTTCAAATCTGAGTTTTAACGGAAATACAGATTTTAAAATTTAACACTATTTCCACCTTTCTCCTAAAATGTATTCAATTATTATAAAAAACTATTCAAATATTTTTATTTTTTAGAGGGATTCAACCAGGAGAGCACACAATTGTAAAATTTAAAAGATTTATGGATCAAGAACCAGGATTACAAGAAGGAAGAGGAACAGAAATATAAAACATTATGTCGGGTCAATAAATGGCTATAGATAAAAATTACAAAACTTATCATGTTTAAACAAAACATAATAATTCATGCATTTCAGTTTCAACTATAAAAAGTAAAAGTATGTTATTCCAGTTTGAGATGCAACTTCAGTAACATCTTTAGGTCCATTTTACACAAAAAACATCATTATCATAAAAATAAAAAAACTTCTGAAAATATATTGTTGGTTTATTGCAAAAAGTCACCATGTAACATTTTATAAAATTCAATCATCACAATGTATTTTGATGAATATTCTCTCTGCAAAAACAGAATATTATGCACTGTAACTACATTTGGTATACAAAAGGTTTTGTGCATTTACTGTATTGAATCCATAAATAAGGTAGAAATTCTTGAAAAATTACTTAAAAATTTAGCTCCATTAAAAATGTACTTAGTCATTTTTTGCAATAAGCTGACAATATTTCTTTAAGTCTACACCAAAATTATAAGAAACTTAAATCAATATAATCTCAATAGTTAATCATATTGATCATTAGACTTTTTTTTTTATTCAACATTAATCCAGAAGGTTAAATTAATTTAACCATTTGCACTATGATGAGGAAATTTAATTTAAAATTTATATTATTGGTAGTTTCAAGTTCAACTAAATACAAGCTGTATTATATTATTTAAAAAGAAAGGAGATAGACCCATATGCTCTCTTAGAACAAGATATTTAATACAAGAATGGCACTAAAAAATTAGAAAAATGTGAAACTTACGGACTTATTTACTTTCCATGGTATTGATCCCAGCTGATTCAGAGAATCTAAACACGGATAGAGCAAGTTTGCTGGTCTATCTTTCAGCCTCTCCCGTTGTAAGATTGCTGATTCAGGTAGTCTAAATGCATACAGAAACAATACCAATTGTGTAATTTATAAAAATGATTCCAAATTAGCAAATAGCAATATTCGTTACTGATCATGAAGAATGAAACTTTATTATGTTAAGACACAAATATATCTTTAAACTTTGAACAAACATAGAAAACTTACCTAATCAGTGAAGACCGAGCTATGAGGTAGCCACCAGATGATGGTTCATTCCATGGCAATGGTGGCGACAACATTGGCAGATCGGTAACTGAAAAATACAGATATGGAGAACAAGCTCCCTTGTAAAGGCGTGACAGGATGGGATGTGGTTTGACTTCCTCAAGGCAAAGGTGGGATTCGTGACGAAATAAAGTATAAAACGCTGGGAGGTAGTGCCTACAACATAAAAAATGCAGCAAATGATTACACTATGGTTTAATATTCAAATAATTGCATAAGTTTTTAAAGAAAATAATGGGTAGTAATATTGAGTTAGTATTACTTGTGACTGGTAGTTAAAAAGAATTAATATAAAAAATATTTGTAGTATAAAAAATATTTGTACTTAGAAAAAACAATGATTGAGATTTATAATAAATAAAAAGAAATTTTCAACATAAACGTCAGTAATTCATGAGACTATAAATTAGACTATAGACTATCAAACTATAAATTAATTTTGGTTTTTAACGACAAATGAAAATTTAAAAAATACTAATTATCATATAATTATTTTATATGAATATATCTTCATATAAATTTCACTAACTCTTGACTCAATTTTTGACTAAAACGAGTTAAGTAGCTAACTGAAAGAAGTCATTGGTAACGAAATTAAGCAGTTTCTTTCAACATAGTGGATTAATAATTGACTGACGCAAATATATTTAAGAGAAGTTGGTTGGGATGTTCAGACAAACAAAGAAAAAATTAAAAATAAATAAAAAGGCTGAAGTGATAAAAAAAAACAAATATTTTTATTTCAAACCAACGTTTCGAACAAACTTTGCAGGTCTTCTTCAGAGCTAAAACTTAACTTTAATTATAATAATAATAGTAGTAATAATAATTACTTTATTTTAGCCCTGAAAAAGACCTGCAAATTTGGGTCGAAATGTTGGCTTGAAATAAAAATAGTTATTTCACTATTTAGTTTTATTATGACCACCACTCTGGACCATCTTCTTACTCAATAATATACAACGGTCAATCATCAAATATTCAATAAAAATAAATAAATTATATTTATTTTCACTTTTGTCAAGTTTTGGGTCTTCATCAGGTCTGATCTCATGTAAGGATGCCATAAAATCAGTTTCGAACTTTCATCAGGTCTGTTCTCAAAAACACCTTTTGTAAGACCAGTTTTTTTTTCAACCTCTTGTAAAGTAGTGAAAAAGGAGATCAGCGATTTAGAATTTATATGACGATATATTGTATCTCTAAATGATATAATGTTGTTTTGGAGCCCACATTTTTTCATTAAGATGTTAAAAATTTAGATGAATTTAATTTAAAATTAATATTTTTAACAATACTTACTTATTCTTACTATTGTGTTTCAAAATGTTAATATCTATTTTAATATCTCTCAATATAATATTGTACAGGAATTTCCCAATAGAAACCAGAGTCAACATAGACCAGGGTTCTGAATCAATTTCCTAAAAATAAAAAAAATAAAATTACTTGAACAGGCATTATATAATTATTGAATAAAATTAAGAAAAAAAAACACATTATTTACGCTATTAAATAAAATATTTGATACTGATTTTTTACTAAATTTAACTTACCAAAGATGGTCCTTTACAATATTGATTCTTTAAAAGTTGCCATGTATGGCGGGGATTATAGCCATATCTTATTGCATTAGGAGTTAGATACCATTTGGAATAAGAATCAAATACTTTTTCTAACTTTTGGAGAACTCCATTTGAGGTCTTGCATTTAATATCATACCTAAATTGAAAAAAAAAACAAACTACAAGTTATAGAATAAAAAAATGTTGCAGTTATTTAGCTATTGTTTACTAAAATTGATTTGTAAGTAACATTTACTTAAAAGTAATAATCATAATTTATTTAGTTTAATAATATAATGCTTTTGGAAGTCAAAAGTTATGAAAATAGCAAAAATTATTCTATAGATCTATATATTTTGAAAATAGGCCACTGCTAAACTTAGACAAAATGGCATAACAAGTTGTTCTTTAAGCTATTTCATGATGCACCCAGTTCAAGAAGCAATCTTCCTCTCAAATATGAACTGAGGTCTTCAGGAGTCAGAGTATGCTTAAGACCACACTGTACAAGTGAAAACCTCAACAAGGTGGGAATAATAATAATATGAAATATAATTTTTTTTTTTTTGTTAATCACAAAGTACATTTACAATTATAATTGTGTGTGTAACCTATTTTTTTATTCTATATTCACAAAGTAATAACATTTACAATATATACAATTATAACTGTGTATAAACTACTGTGGTAATTTTTGCTCTGACTGATTGTCATTTGTATCATACTCTAAAAATGAAACTCTGGTAACTAAAATATGTGATGAATACTTTTGATTGAAATCTATTTACTAAATATCTAACAAAAATTCTGTCAATCATTGTTCCACATTTTGTTGTGCTTTTATATGGGATCATTAGACTTTTCCATATCAAAACAATCATTATTTTTTTTGTTTTTTTGGCGCTATCTTTTTCCCTTTCCAGCTCTCTAACTCTGCATCAGGTCAAAATACAATTTTGAATTATAGTTCATTGCAAAGAGGATGAAATGCTGAAAATTTCTTTCACTTACAGTAAACAGGTCCAAATAATAGTTTTAAAGAAAATTTAATCCAAATATTAAAAAAAAAAACTCTTTATCAATTGCACTTTCTTTTTCTCTTCCTAACTCTCTAAAAAGGCATTGTGTCAAGATACAATTGTGGATGAGTGCTCATTACAATGGGGATGAAAGGGTAAACATTTCCCTAACTTACAATATGCAGGTCCATTTTTAGTTTCTGAAATATTTTGATCAAAATGCAAAAATTAGTCGACTTTATACAAATGAACGTTAAATAGCCAAGCAAGATGGCTCAGCCTCATTCAATACTCCCATAATAAAGTGCTAAGCACGCCTAAAGGAATTTTCACTTCAAAAAAGCTAGAAATAGCATGGCACACAATAAGCATGATGAGAGCCCCAGTATAGGATTTTGTCTACTTAGAAGCACTTATTCAACTTCAAAGGCACGTTATCATAAAAAACAATCAGTAAGCCATTAAAAACATTTCATACACAATATTCTGAAAGCAAAATTCAATGTCAACATCATTTTACTACTCCAATTTACTATTTTTACATTAAGGATGATTAGGGTGATCAGGTGACTGTTCTGACTGATCACCCCAACCATCATTCTCTTCATTATTCACTACAGTCAACCATCAACCCGCAATTATTTTTATATTACTATTCTATAATTATATATACTAATATATAATACTACTACTCTAATATTCCAAAATATAAAATAAGGGAAGGAAATGGTCCGGGGTGGCGGTCATAAATAAATAGAACTGTTCCAGTTCTAAGTGAAACTCCTAGCTGAACACACCTCCCTGGAGAAGACCTGGGTACTTATCTAATAGCGGGTAGCGTCCGACTGCTATCTGCCAATGTTTATAACCTTAACACTGATAAGCTCTTTTTATTTGGAATTTGATGGACTCCACTTGATGGATCAAAAAAATTATACCTGTGATTAACCTGAAAATGATTGTAGTTTGCTTCATTGAGTTGTTTGGTGTTGTATCCTTTCCAACAGTCGGAATAAATTATGCTTCCCTCTTCTACATTGTTTTTAATGGCTTCTAATAAAGTTGTTGCTTTTCTATCGTTTATTTTAAACAATAAAACACTCGTCTGTTTCTCGGCAAACTCCACCAAACATCCATTGCTCACGTAGGACTCTCCCCACATGATTTTTTCTTTTCGAAAAAATACTCTCGTCTACTTCGACGACTTTGCCAGGCCCTCCAATATTTTTATTCGACCTGTATAATATGTCATGGGCACAAACTTCTCTTAAAAATTTGTTCCATGCTACGACAGTTCCGATGGATAGTTTGAGGTGCTCTTTCCTCCACTGTGTTGTAGTTAAATTATGGGACCACCCATAAATGAATTTTAAGCCGTTAAAAAAAGAAATCCTCGACCCCTCTAACTACGTTCCTTTCCTTATAGAAACGGTTTTGTTACACCTACGAAAGCATCTCCATTTAATCTTTCCGTCGAACTTCATTTTATAACCCTCATCACAATATTTCACCTTATAAAATATACCAGCGTCTTGAAAATATTTGATAGCCTCTTCTTCTGAAGACGGCAATTCCCTCAACGTGACAAGATCCATAATTAAATAAATCCACACCTGGCACAAGAAACAAAAACTAAACAACAGAATAACAGGTTAGATGAGCTAAGGGAGGTTATCTGAAATGAGATTAGATAAGAAGGGAGATTTTGACGCTACCCGCTACTGGATAAGTACCAAGACCTGCAAAAGTCGGGTCGAAACGTTGGCTTTTAATAAAATAGTTTTGCCGCTATTTGGCCTATTTATGACCGTCACCCCGGACCATCTCCTTCCTTTATAATGCAACGGTCAACTATTAAATATTCAAAATATAAAATTATTGAATTATTGGGAAAATAATGGAGGATTTTGGTTTAAAAGGAAAAAAAGAAAAATTTGCAACTGTTTTATTTAATCAAAATAGTCTCCACTACTATCAATACATTTCTGTCAAAATGTTGGCAACTATTCCATTCCCTCGGAATAGAATTTTCTTTCTTTAGAATGGATAAACTTCAAAAATACATTTTCTGATTCCCTTTGTCCATTAAATTTTTTGTCGCATAAGTAGTGGTCCAGGTGTCTTTGTCGAGCCACTGTCCAGAATATCTACCATTATCGTAAACTATCCACTTTTTATCACAAGTAACAATTCTAGACAGAAAACGGTCGTTTTTGTTTCAGCACAAGTGTAGCACAAACTTCATACAACTGTTTTTTTTTTGGCAGCCGTTTAATGTGTGTGCAAACTAACTTTCAAGCTTTTTTATCTTTCCAATCGCCTTCAGGTGGTTATCAACAGTCGATTTGCTAAGGTTGTTACCTGCAAGTTCTCGAACAGTTGTTCTGGGGTTTTCTTCCACCAAAGCCTGCAGAACATTGCTGCTTATACGCCCCAGACTTGATTGATGTTTCTGGCCGTCTGGACTCCATTCTGGCCGAGTTTAAACTCGTAAAACAAAATTATACGAAAATCATGCATTGTAAAGACTAAATCATTTCTAAGCAGTGAAATGCTACAGAGGTAAAAAAACATTATCCTTTGGAAGAGGATTAATAAGTGTTGACATCCATACAAATGAATAATCCAGTAAATATAAACAGTTTTGTTATATAGAAGGGTATTTTAAAGAAAAATCATAATCCTGCATTATTTTCCAGACAACTCAATAATATACAAGACAAACAATCACAATATAGAGAAACCTGAATGCAGCACAGACTCGAAAACAATGATGAACAAGAAACCTAACAACCTTTAAACAATAAGTAATGTAACATTTTACAAAGGAACTACTTTTTAAAAATTTTGAAGGAGAACATTACTTCAGACTTAGTGTGGCATGAGTTTGCCCTCATGCTGCCAACTAATCATAGGCAAACTATATTAAATTATCATTCAACTCTTTGTATGAAAACAGCTACTAAGTTAAAATACCTTATTTTAACCATCTTTCCTAAAGATCGACAAAGACGAGGCACTGAAGAGCTGTACGTTTCAGACCCTGATGCTAACTTACGCACTTCCTAAACATGAAAAGTATTATCAACAAATAATAGTTAATTGCAAAAATTTGATAACTAAACTAAATAAGTTATTATGTATCTTACTTGTTTAATAATTTCAACATAATCCGCCTGGTCTAAAACTGTTAGATAAGGATAAATGTTAATCGGACATTGGGACCTGTGTAATCTCTGCTGAAGGTTAGACATGTTAACGAGATCCTTATGGAATCCGGCAGATATTGCTTTCTCCCATTCCTTCTCTAACTGTTCTAAAGCATTCCTCTAAATGAGTAAACAAAATTATTGCTTTTAAATTCTTAAACATAAAAAAAAAAATTAAATATAAATCTAGAAAAATCTCCAAAAAGCAGATGTACCTTCTTCTTCTTCTATTGGCACAAGAGACACATATAGCTGTCGTTAGCCTGCTCAACCAATCTTTCTCTTTCTTTTTCCTTAATTAGATGGCGACATAAGGCACCGAAATATAAATCCAAACTAACTCTTATCCCTTCGTTAAGTAAACAAAATTATTCTTAGTTAAAGTTTTCTTCCATGATTAGGACAACCGAAAATGGATTTTATTCCGGTAAATGATGATTTCATTACTTTGGTTTTTAGTCTGAGACCTACACACCGCACTTCTGCATTAAGCTTAATAAAACTCACCTCTTATGATAACCAGGGATCTTCCAATGACCACATCATCTGCATATACCAGTATCTGGGTCATTTTTGTGTAGATGGTTCCTCCTGGGTATAGCTCAGCTCACTTCACATTAGCTTGGAGGACAATATTAAAGAAACAGAGAGTTAATAGGTCCCTTTGCCTCAATCCATTTTTTCCTTCAAATGGATCTGAAGATCCAGTCGGTGTTTGAATAAAGCTTTCAATCCGAACCATGGTACACCTGGTCAGCTTGATGAGCTTATCTGGTATCCCCCAATTCTCTCGTAGCCATGAACAATAGACAGTGTCATATGCTGCTTCAAAATCCACAAACAGCATCCATACAGACCTTCCAAATTATCTCATCTTTTCAGAGATCTGCCTAATTAAAAAAATCTAGTCTATCTAGGAGCTGTTGTGTCCGAATCTCCCTTGGTAGTCTCCAAGTACTGTCTACATATGAGACAAGAGATTACTTCTGACCACATTTTATGTTTTTTATTTAATTAGTCTAAGCTATAACAGAATGGTCTAGACTACTATATAGGAGACACAACAACCAACAGGAATTATTAATTACTACTAATTAATCATGATAATATTTAATGGACTTTTAAAGTATGGGGGTTGGGCAGGGATACCATCAGGCTGAGGTAAATGTTTAAATGTTACCTTAAATGGTTTCAAATTAAAAAAAAACTTTACGATTCTTCTATTATAGTCAGCCGCCATCTAACATTTAAGTATAATAGTATTCATAATAAATACTCACACAATACTGAGTGTCTTTCTCCAGCCGGGATTTTTCGATTGACTGAACTTTTACAAAGGTCTTTTTTTCCATTTCTAATTGTTCCTTAAATAAATTATTGAGTTCGCTAACAGAAAACATGGATTCAGCAGGTGAAACAATTTTTTTCTGAAAAAAATAAAAAATCACTTTTCTTGTAAAGAGACACTAAATTAAAGTAAAAAATGTAATCAATGAAAAAAAAAAGACTAATTAAACAATCCATCCTGAGGGAATGTACCTGCAAATCTAGTCAAATAAAGTTCATAAATTGTTTATAAAATTAACAAATATGAAAACTTATACTAGTCCTACTTTTACTGATAAAGTGAAGATTACGAGTTCGAGTCCCAGTGCCAATGGCTTTTAATTCTGGTATTAATCTGCTTCTCTCTCTCTTGACCCGGGAAGGGGAGGTGAGGTAGGGGATAAAAAATAATAGTCAGGTGCCTTATACCCCCGAATGAAACTCAAGACTGTTTCGGAAATTGAAATGAACCGAGCTATAGGAAGACTGGTCAGGAGTCATAATTTTTAGTAGAAGGCACATGACTAATATATCAATTTTAAATATTGATAGACATCAATTTTCTAAGACATTTACCAAGTTACTATAATAAATATGTAAGTAAATTCCCTTAGAATAGATAGGGTTATTTCCATAACCATTTTCTTTTTAAATTAAATAATTTTTTTATTTTAACTTTTTTAGTTTTTCAAGTATTGATGTTTTATATATATATATATGTACGTTAGACAAAAGAATATAATAAAGATTAGCATAGAAGACAATCTTTTCATTATATAATACCAGTAATAAAATTATTTCTTTCAGTATTTTGAAGGTATATCGTTTCAAAACATTCAAGAGATTTTACTCCATAATTTGAACTATAAATTTGGTCCAGAAATTACAAATCTTAAAGCATTATACTCTTTGTGGTTTTGCAGTTGTCCGGTAAAAATACAGATAAATAAAATTGTGGATTGATCGTTGATGGTTGTAGTGAATAATTTATGTAAGAATAATTATGTTCAAGCTATCCACTACCACCAACCTGTGATTTATGCTACATTCAGTGAACAGTTTCAACCTAACACAGTTGATTAGAGATTTCATAAATCCTTAATTTTGGGTGTCAAGCTCACTATTAGAAAACATGGATTGTGAAGGGTGCAAAGAAAATGTTTCCATTAAGTCAGAACGATTCCAGATGACTAAATTCTGTCTTGTTGAACTGCCGTCCTCAACGGCAATGTGTTAACATACAGTACTATAACAAAATATCTTACAGGATTGTTGTTGAGAAGATTGACAAGAGCACAGTTGTATTTTGTGTCAGGCATCTTGACTGAAGGTATGAACTGAGGTTGAACAGCTCTTATAGCACTAAGAACTAATTCTCTAGAATCTAGTTTCCATTTGGTTTGTTCAAAAATTTCATTACATGATATTCCCTGTAAAATGAAAGAGGTAAATAAGAAACCTACCAATAATTATTGGTGCATCATTAAATAATTTTGCAGCAAAAAAGTATAAATAAAAAAAGTATAAAGTTGAAATTGAAGTTAACAAACAAAAAACTGATTTTTTTTATGATGGCAAAGAAATATGTAGAAACATGAAAGTATAATGACAGCCACATTGCAAAATCTTGCAAGAACAATCTGATGGAAATAGCAATATTGAGCTTTCCTGGACAATCTTGGCCTTGTGAATATTCAGAAATTCAAACAAATTTTTTTTTAATAATATTCGAAACACCAAATATTTGTGTTAAGCATGCAGTAATAAAAAATATGAAGTTCATAAGCTCAAAAATACATTTTTTATTCTTCAGAATATTTTAGTTTTTGTAGATAGAGGCTTTTTTAAGGAAGCAAGATGTGGGTTATCTCAGCAAAACATGAGAGGATTCTTGGAGTGTATGAGCTTACGATTCTTAGGAGGATTTAAGGGCCTGTATGGGAAGAAGGCGTTTGGAGGTCCCGATACAATCGGGAGTTGCGACGACTCTACAGGGACGCAGATCTCGTTAGTGTCATTAAGACAGGATGAATAAGATGACAGCGGACCGAGTACCGAGGAAAATATTATATGAGCGACCTGGAGGAGCAAGAAGGAGAAGGCCACCACTCCGTTGGCTGGAGGATTTGAGACAGCTTGGTGTCAGGTGGTGGAGAGCTGTCACATTGGACTGCGACGAGTGGCAACGTATTGTTGAGAAGGCCAAGGTCCGACGCGGCCAATAGCACCGAGGAGTAAGTGAGTAAGATACAGGCTTTTGTAACATGGCTGTCAATATTAAAACCATTCATTCAAAAATGGCCAACATTTTTTATTAATGGATTACATCACACAGTGTATATAAGAAAAGTAAGATTTGAATACTAATTTATTCCATTCTGAAAATTTAGTGAAAAGATCAATTATAAATACAAATTATCATGCTATTCCAAAGGAACTGAACTTACTTCGTCACGCATCAACCTCATAGTCGATGCCAGAAGTTGAGCTTTATCCTTCTTTTTACTCCTTACAATTGTTTCAAATCTGCAAAATTCAAAATATTAATTAATACAATCATTTAGGAACAATTTAAAGTACATTTAGGAAAAAATAAATAAAAATTTCTTGCGAAGTATCGAGGAAGTTCATTGTTCGCTTTTTGTTTTAAATGAGTTTTATGTAGTATACATATAATTTTATATGATCTTTTCAGTGGTATAAAACTAGAATGACAAACGTGCAAGCCTTTTTTAATCTTATAACAAATAAAGTAAAATTATCTTGCAACAAAGTTATGAGTTATTTATTATATTATTCAGTATGATTATATTAAAAAAAAAAAAAAAGTAAAATATTATAGAGGAAGGAGATGGTCCGGGGTTGCGGTCATAAATAGGCTAAATAGTGGTAAAACTATTTTATTGAAAGCCGATGTTTCAACCCGACTTTGCAGGTCTTCTTTAGGGAGGTGTGTTCAGCTAGGAGTTTCCCTTAGAACTGACTGAAGTCCAGTTTACCACTACTTAGCCTATTTATGACCGCAACCCCGGACCATCTCCTTCCTTTATAATGTAACGGTCAACTATTAAATATTCAGTAAAATATTATGTCTTTAAATGCATAAATTTATAAAAGTGAGAATAGAACTCTCACCTCTAGTTATAAAAAAAAAGTTATTTTACATTAAAAATAGAATGCACTGTAGTATTTTGTCAAAATGTTCAGCCACCACCAATTCCTTTGTTGATTTCAATATTAACCTACTTAAAAAATGGAAAATGAAAATAATAAAATCAAGTATTAACCTTCTGGCAAATGATACTGCAGATGGCTTGATATTGGCAGTTTCAACCATTGTTTTCCAAATTTCCATCAATCTGTCAATATTTCCCTAAATGATAAAATAATTAATACTTGTAAAAATATAAAAACAAGAAAAAAAAGTACATATATACTAAAATGTAAAGCAGCTGCATTATTTTTCAAAAGGTTTTAAAGAAAAAAATTAATAAACCAAAATAAGAATATATATAATTTTTTTAACTATGATGTCTTAGCTTATAAAACATTCAACACCATTAAAAACAATGAGATTTATTTATAAACAATCTTTAAAGAATAACAATTACTTTAATTATCTCAATGTATTTTATTAATAAAACTAACAGCTTACTTCTTAACTGAAACCAGTAATGATATGATTTATAAAACTAAAAATTATGGAAAAAATCAGTACAGCAAAATGTAAGTCAGGAAAATGAAACAACCTAATTATTTGAGGATAGAAACTCCAATAAATTTACATATAACAAAAAATACTTCAATTAATTCATTTTCCGCCATATCCTATAAGGGCAAAGAATTTTATATAAAGAATACTAACATTTTTAGCACAGCATTCCATTAAAATGTTGAACACTCTTTCATCTTTGATGACGAATTTCTTATTATTCTTCAAGTAGTACAGAACAGTATACCATCCCCTGTTTAAGAAACCGCAGTTCATCTGAAATAAAATTATTCAATTTCAGAAACATTATTTCTAAAATTTTAATCTTCATAACAAACAATTTCAGGAAGTATTTTATAAAAATAAACAACTAACTGATAGATGAATAACCCATAGTCCACCACTATCTCTTATGCAGACTTCAAAGATTTTATATTTTGAAGCTTTTAAATAAATATGATTGGCTTCATATCAAAGGCGTACATCCGTTACTCTAGAATTTTGGGGAAAAGCCAATTTTCATTGTACAACTTCAATTTAAGAGAATTCTGTTGTTTTTTTGTTTTTTTCATAATTCAGTGTTAATCTTCTATATTAATTCTGTAAAGGATGTGACAACAATATGATTGGAAAACTTAGTCAAATCCATATCTGAAAGTACAGTTGTCCGTTTTTTAAATAAACATCATTGTAGGTGTCCGTTTTAGATGAAAATTACTGCTTATTACAATATATGTAACTCACCTATGAATCTCAGAAATCAGCCGCAACTAATATTCTTACATATATCTTTAAATCTGGTAATAGAAAATCATTTAAAAGAGCGAGAAAAATGCTATAAGAATCAATTAATAACTCAATTTCGATTTAGATGACAGATATCCATCTTTGATATTAAGCCACTCATATGCTCAGCATTTACAAAAATTAATTACAGAAAATATTTAGATAAGAAAAACCAAACAGTGTTTTAACATTTTTTTTCTCTTCATCAATTAATGTAAACATGGAAACAGTTCCAGGTTATAATAAAGTAAACAGATTTAAACAGAGAAATAAATAACCATTAATAATTCATTTTATGTAAAAAAGATAAAATAATTTAATAAATCAATTTATTAAAAAACAAAGTGCTGCTGTATGCACTTAGAACCTTGTTATACAACAAAAATGCATTCTGGAATGAAAAATTTTTAACTGCATAATTTTAATAACCAAAATTATATTAATAAGTGGTAAAATTAAGTCACTGACAAATGCAAAATCAAGTTCATAGCTTCAAGATATTGCACAAACTAAACTGTTAAGTTTAAGTAACAAAATATTCATACTACAGTATATTGTAACTTTGAAGCTCTCTTTCTCAAAATTATAGTAAATGCAGTTAGAACCTTTTGAAACCAAGGTTATGCTATGTCTGCAAACAATTATTTTTCATATTGAATATAATTAACAGTGATCACCGATCACGTTTAAATGATGAACAGTTTTAAAAATAATTGGGAGTTGTGTCATTTATATCTGCAAATATAGACCAATTCAAAGCAAATAAGTAATGCTAACCTTCTCATTAAATACTCTTTTTTCACATATATCTTTAGCTATATTAAAAATAATATTTCTATTAATGAATTTTATATTAATTATTTATAGGTTTATCATGTTAATAACAGCCCATTGCGAAAAATAAGAGGCGTATCCCCAAACTAACCTGTATTAGTATAGAGATAAATATAAAAATTTTAAATTACAATAAATATCAAGGCAGAATAAATGAAAAAAAAAATCTGGTGTGTCCACTCACACGACTTTCCTACCTATTTCAGAAAAATTTTTATATCTTTACATATGTTCATGAAGAAACAAAAAAGAATTTGAACTAAATTTATTTTCCTGAAAATTGATCAAACAAAAGATTTGAGTACGATTAATTTGATAAATTAAGGCAATGAAACTGGCTTAAGGTAGATCAGTGTAAAAATTTCAATACTCTCTAATATTGCTGATCAAAAACTTTTTGTCATAGCTTAGTATTGTCAAACAATAATTTCTATTAAAAGTAGAGAAAATAGTGAAGGTTGTGTGATGCGGGCAACAGAATTTCTTAATTTCACTTAGTCATCTTTATTCTCTTATTCACCCCTTTCTGACACCAGGAAATGAACTCGTAATGTTTCATTGGGGATTGAATCGCTCTAACTTCGTTAATAGTTGTCCAAAATGAACGATTTTTATATGGCTTTGTAGGGAATTTAATTAACTTTCAAACAATAGGCTAAACGGCCTGGACTCAGGGGGCTGTGAAACGTATAGATCCATCGAAAACCGCATGTCGGAAATTTGACCCGATTGCAAAACTTTCCTTACCTAGTATAGGTAGGAAAGTAGTAAAAAAAATGTGTAAAAAATAGAATAAGCTGTATCATCGCTAATACTGGTTCGGTTCCGATTTTTGTTTTGTTTTGTTGGTAATTTAATTACTTTAATTTTTCGATGCGTGGGTCTGTTATCGTATGAGTAGTTTTTTAAAATAACCTCCTTTTTAAGATTACGTGACTGCGTTTCGAATTATTTAAGTTTTTTTGACTTATTCGATATAAGGGTGTATTTTTATGTTTCCCGATCAGTAAATTTTTAAAATGACATCTATTTTATGTTTACGCCACTGTGTTTTGATTTATTTAAGTTTTTAGAATTTATCCAATATAAAGGTCTACTTTTTTGTTTCCGGAGCCGTAGATTTTGAAAACGACCTCCATTTTAAGATTAGGCCACCGCGTTTCGACTTATTTGAGTTTTTCGGATATTTTTCATATGAGGGTGTATTTTTATGTATCCGGAGCTGTAGATTTTGAAAATGACCTCCATTTTAAGATTAGGCCACCGCGTTTCGACTTATTTGAGTTTTTCGGATATTTTTCATATGAGGGTGTATTTTTATGTTTCCGGAGCTGTAGATTTTGAAAATGACATCCATTTAATGATGGCGCCATTGCATTTTGACTTATTTAAGTTTTTCGAATTTATCCAATTTAAAGGTCTACTTTTATGTTTTCGGAACCGTAGATTCTGAAAATGACCTCTATTTTATGATTACGCAACTGCGTTTCAACTTATTTAAATTTTTAGAATTTAACAAGTATAAAGGTCTAATTTTATGTTTCTGGAGCAGTAGATTTCCCCCATTTTGTAAATGACCCAATTTAAAGTTTATGCCACTGTTTTGGATTATAAAAGTTTTTTTTTTTACTTTTTCGGTATAAGGATCTACTTATATGTTATCCGAGACGTATTGAAATTTTTCTAATCTTTAATATTTAAATTTATCTAATATTTAAGCTCCATTTTATGATTAAGCCGCTGCATCTTGATTAATTAGGCTTCATTTTGGATTTTTTCAATACAAAGTTTCATCAATATGTTTTCGAGTATGAATAAATAAATAAATATTATGAAGCTAAAGTAAAATTAACCACAGAATACAAACTAAAAAGCCGAAAAGCAACTGGTAATAAATTTAACCTTCCGTATTCAGATTTTTCAGCTAATTGTTCGAAATCTTATAATTTTGTGATAGGAGACCACAACATTAAAAAAGATAACTAAAATTAAATTAAAAATGAGACAATACATATTTTATTTATTTTGATTAGATATTTTTATTTATTTATTGAAAAATAAATTAATCCTTCGTATTATGTTTTTTATTCGAAGGAAAAATCAAAAACACTTAACAAAACCGAAACACAGTGGCCTAATCTTAAAATGTAAGTCGTTTTAAAAACTAAGGCTCCGGCATCATAAAAGTAGACCTTTAAATTGGATAAATTCGAAAAACTTGAATAAGCCGAAACGCAGTGGCGTAATCTTAAAATGGAGGTCATTTTCAAAATCTACGACTCCGGAAACATAAGAATACACTCTTTTATGATAAAAATTCGAAACACTTAAAGAAATCGAAATGCGGTGGCCTAATCTTAAAATGGAGGTCGTTTTCAAAATCTACGGCTCCGGAAACATAAGAATACATCCTCATATGAAAAAAATCCGAAAAACTCAAAGAAATCGAAACGCGGTGGCCTAATCTTAAAATGGAGGTCGTTTTCAAAATCTACGGCTCCGGAAACATAAGAATACATCCTCATATGAAAAAAATCCGAAAAACTCAAATAAGTCGAAACGCGGTGGCCTAATCTTAAAATGGAGGTCGTTTTCAAAATCTACGCTCCGGAAACATAAAATACACCTCATATGAAAAAATCCGAAAAACTCAAATAAGTCGAAACGCGGTGGCCTAATCTTAAAATGGAGGTCATTTTCAAAATCTACAGCTCCGGAAACATAAAAATACACCCTCATATGAAAAAATATCCGAAAAACTCAAATAAGTCGAAACGCGGTGGCCTAATCTTAAAATGGAGGTCGTTTTCAAAATCTACAGCTCCGGAAACATAAAAATACACCCTCATATGAAAAATATCCGAAAAACTCAAATAAGTCGAAACGCGGTGGCCTAATCTTAAAATGAAGGTCGTTTTCAAAATCTACGGCTCCGGAAACATAAAAGTAGACCTTTATATTGGATAAATTCTAAAAACTTAAATAAGTCAAAACACAGTGGCGTAAACATAAAATGGATGTCATTTTCAAAATTTACTGATCGGGAAACATAAAAATACACCCACATATCGAATTTGTCAAAAAAACTTAAATGATTCGAAACGCAGTCACGTAATCTTAAAATGGAGGTTATTTTCAAAACTAGGTACAGGACAGCATAATACTAGTCCCTAAGAAATCCGAATAGGTACAATAAATCGATATCCGTAAGTGAAAATTCTACTTAGGAGAGCATAATAATAGACTTTCATATTGGAGGGGGGGAGGGGATGGCCATTATTTAAAAAAAAATATAAAATTTACAAAAACTTAAAACATTAATTTGAAATGAAAACGGTTGAATTTGAATTGGAAAAGGTTTAATTTGAAATGGAAATGGTTGAATTGACTTGGAAAAAGTTTGATTTGATCTGGAAAAGGTTGAATTTGACTTGGAAAAGGTTGAATTTGACTTGGAAATAATTGAATATCACATAGAAATATCACACTGAAAAAATCTAAAATGTTAAAATAAATGGATATGCAACTGCGTAATCAAATTTTTTTTTGTATTTTTTAAAAGCTATGCCGTCGATAATATAGTAAGTGGCCTTCATTTCGAAAAAAATCGAAAATTGACAAAAATTCTAAAGTTGAATTTGAAATGGAAAAGGTTGAATTTGACTTGGAAAAGGTTGAATTTGAAATGGAAAAGGTTTAATTTGACCTTTCAAAAGTTTTATTAGGAGTTTCACCGTATAATATATACTTAAGGAGTTACGCCCCATAACATTTTTCTTTTCTTCCTGAATTTTTTCGGGAATTTACTCTATATACGAAAATTGAAAGGACAATGATTAGAACATCATAGAAAAGTTTCATCAAAATCGTTAGAGCCGTTTTCGTGCTACAGTCTATAGAAAAACATGTTTTTCATTTATTGCGTGCAAGCTATTGTGCATGGAGCAACGAATTTCTGTCACAGGCATCAGTAGTCAAACCCTACAAAATAAAAAAAGAAGCAACAAAATCGGTTCAGTAGTTCGCACGAGAAAATCTTGGCACATACAGACAGACAGACCAATGGCTAAAAATGTGTTTTTCGGACTCAGGGGGCTGTGAAACGTATAGATCCATCGAAAACCGCATGTCAGAAATTTGAACCGATTGCAATACTTTCCTTACCTAGTATAGGTAGGAAAGTAAAAATTTTGAAATTTTATTTTGTCCAAGAATTGTAAAGATAATGTAGGATGGTGATTATTAGTACATTCCTATAAACCATAGGGAGAAAACACGTCACCTATCTTCATTTCACAGGGGGCTTTCATAAAATAAATATTAACTGATCCCATTGAGAATTAAACCCACATCACCCAAATCGTAATCTGAAGATGAAAAAAATAATAATACTTTGGGTCAAGCATAACTAAAATATTCCATTATATAAGATATTTTAGGGGGAAAAAATTGTTATTCCTTTATTCGAAAGATATCTTAAAATACTTTACACAAAAAAAAAAATATTAATTAATGTTTTAAATTTACATAAAAGTTCTAAAAAATAAACTCACACAAAGTTCTACATAGCTGACTAGAGACGAGTTAAAACTTTTTTCTTTGCCAGAACTGTCTAGATTCAGCGATTTTGATCTTGTCAGCTTTTCTTTGTTCTTTTTTGAAAGCCTTGCGTAAACTGAGCCCTTAATCCTGAAAATGAAACATTATGTTAGTCTTGTGTTTCCAACATTAACAAACTAATATTTAACATTTTACATTAACTGAATATATCAATAAAAATTAAATATTTTGAAAAAAAAATAGTAAAACAAGAAATGCCGAAGGTATTAGTGACTTCAAAATTAATTCAGCAGAGATTGGTAGAAGCTGTGGGCACTGGTAAAATAAAACACAAATAAGAACAATTATTTTGATGTCAGCTGATATTTCGGCCGTCATCGCAGTAAGTAAAAATATGATAACAACGAATAAGAAAAGAGAGACGAGAATGATACAGGCCTAAATCTAGGCCCAAAACCTCAGGACTCATCAAAATATTTTTTCATATTTCATCAGTGACTGCACTCCCCAACCAATTTCTATAAGCAGTAATCTTCTATATAAATAAAATAAAGATTTTGTCTGTACATTGAATAGAATCAACCCGTTTTATGATATCTTTCCGTTTCATACATTGCAGACAACAAATTCACTTTTAAAATTTTTTTTGACTGTCCATATCTCCGCATTGCAACAAATTTTGTCAGGGGGTAAGCTCAGCAATGGCTTATTGTAGACTTTTGAAATTTTAACATTATATTAAGGTTTGCTTGACTTAAAACATAGGCTTTAAATGAAAACAAAATATTGTGTATAACCAAAGTTATGAATTCTTGAGCAATTGGACTAGAGATCTCTGTTAATGTTGATAATAAATATATGTTTACAGGTTAAAGAACATCTATATAAATAAAATAAACGTTTCGTATATACATTGAATAGAATCAACCCGTTTCATGATATCTCTCCGTTTTATACATTACAGAGACCAAATCCACTTTTAAAAAGTTTTTTTTGTCTGTATGGGTGTCCGCATTGTCCAATGAAATTTTGTCAGGGGTAAGCTCGGCAATGGTTAATGGTAGACTTCTGAAATTTTTACATTGCATTTAGGTTTGCTTGACCTAAAATATAGACTTTATATGAAAACAAAATATTGAGTAGAACCAAAGTTATGAATTCTTGAGTAATTTGTTTAGAGATCCCAGTTGGGCAGTTACTTCTATTCTACTCTCCCAACCTACTCTACCGCGAGCCACATTTAAAAGTTGTACTACTCAACTGACGAAAAAAATTATCATAACTCAATGGTAAAAATCCGGAATACCAAACATCTGTAACGCGTTGTCGCATAAAACGGGTAAAACACACTCATTTTTCAACTTTGTCCGATCTTCCCGTTCAAAGTGTCATTCAATACAACTTGCCGAGCCTAACAAATATTGTCATATACATTTTTAGGATTAACCAAATGGATTAGCCGGATATCAGGGGGAAAAAATCCAAAAATTTCACCCCGCCCGCCAAAATATTCAGATCAAGTTCTAATTTTACACGGATGTAGGTGACTCAATGTCTAATGTTATTTTGATTATTTTGCCATCGATAAACTCTCTTAAAAAGCGAGAGTTAAAAGAAGTGGAGAGACTACAACTCTTTTTGATTAATTAATCAACTCCACAATCTCCACACTTCATCAAAAATGAAAATTAAACACTTAACAAATTTTAATGGATTGGTAGTGGTCAGTTAAGTTGTATGGTACCTAAACAAATAGCCGAATAACAAAGTTTTTGTTATGGCTATTGCGAAACCCTGACTTCCATAAGCCCCGCCATAAAAAATTTCAAAACAACTCTCCTCTTCCCTCCCGACCCAATTTTATGAAATTGAATTTGGACCATCAATACAAACTCTCCCCATAATACAAAATCCATCTCAAAAAAACATTCTCAAATTTTAAATATATACCCGTCAACGACGGGTGCATCAGCTAGTATATAAAATAAAATAAATAACTTTAATAGAGAATGAAGGTATCTAAGATGCTAAGTAGCAATGTTAAATTGAATTTCAATGATAAAAAGATATTGAAAAATAGTGAAATGTCAATTAAAGGGTTACATTAATTTACATCAAATTCTGAAAACTATCAACAAACCAATAAATGAAACATTATTAGTTTAAATATCTTTAATAAATAATCGAAATAGAAAATGTAGATTATCCTACTGTCTAAAAACACCAAGTTAATGTTTTTTAGTTCTTCATTGTAGTTTGGATAGGAGAGTTCAAGAGAATTTTTCACATGAATTAGAAAAAAATTATACAACTTTAAAAGTGTTGCTCCATTTATTAATTCGCTTTCACTGTTTTTAGGTACAAATTTCCTTAAGTTCGATCACAATTTATAACTTCCACAAATTTCAAACTTCAATTAAAATCGAGTTCTTATTTAGGTTCAATTATATCACTGCTTCTGACTTCTGCTCCCTTAAAACAGAACACATCATCAACAGGTCTTTTTCAGTAAAGGTTTGGACTATACTAGAGGGTTTATTTACCTCCATCTACTTAAGGTAACACGTCCATTCTTGAAATTCCATTTATACTGTAATCATGAGATTTTGTGCCATCCATAAAAGTGGAGAAAAACTTGTAAAGTAGTCCCAATAAAGCATTATGAATACATATAAATTATTTGTAGCAAAGAAAACAAAAAATTAACAGCTATACTTTTAATGAAAACACATATTAAGAAAATTTTAAAAGATCTTGATAGTGATATACTTAAGTGACAAAAGTAAATTTAAATGTTCAATTATGTAAATATACATGTATTTAATAATCAATATAGTAAATAAATGTTACATACTCTTTCTTAGGCTCATTTTGCAATTCTGTGAGGGTCTCCACGGATTCTTGATTTTCAAATATTTCAATTGTTTTTCCATCAAAGTCATGTTCAACTTCAGGGATGGTTTCGATTGAAGGTTGTTGGTTAATGATATCTTCTAATTTATGCAATTTGGACCAACTACGAGCATTAAGAGTTTTTACCCTTGCTCTTCTTTCACTGGTTCTATTTTTAGATACTTTAAAATTAAATAAATCATAAATCAACATTAGAATAGGAGTAAAAATAAACCAGAATATTGATAGGAACCTACCTTCTAAGAGTTCAATATATTTGCTCCTTTTCAAGTTTTTCTTCCTTGTTTTTGGACTACTTTCTGAAGGGTTGGTAGAAACACTCGTGGAATAATGAGTTGTGGTGCATTCAAAAACATTTCCTGATAAAAAAAAAAGCATTATTCAGTTCAACGTAATTATTCATATTCACAAGAATCATTAAACAGAAATTAGATTTTTTTTTTAGCGAAAGGCAAACCTCCGATTATCTGATGTCTTCCAATTTTATTGCAGAGGGTACACTTTAAGTTATTAGCATGAAGAAATGACAAGTTGGGATGGAAAGCCTGATAGTTGTTGTAAGAGAATGAACTCACTTTAAGAATTCTATACATAATATGAAATCAATACAAGCTATTCTTCATTTCTGTAAATTAATAACAGAGGACAAAAATATCTATCATAACAGTATAAATTAAAGACAATTAAAAACACTCAAGCTAAAAAATACTATAAATAGAAAAACCGATAACAGTTTTAGAACCTCCAGGACACTGCCCCATGCTTTTCTTATCAAAGTCCTTGGCAGTTGACAAGCCTTGGCTAATTTCATATATAATTTAAATTATGACGATATAATTAGTGTTATAAATGTAATTAATTAACGAAGTTTCGGTATACATAATATTCAACAATGATTAGAACGATATTGGACGAAATTAGGATTTGATGCTGCAAAGCGGTTTGACTTGAGTAAAAAAATATGTTTTTATTAAGCACTGTATTTCTGTAGGATCCCATATTTTTTTTTTTTTTTTTTTATGGATCACAAGATTACTGAGTATGGGTATTGTGTAAATAAATTGGCAAGTTTCCACTAACAGAACTCAAGCGTTGAGCAATTTCATAAAGAAATTATGAATCTTTACTGAATTTTGACAGTGTGGACTGCTTTGATAAAATTTGATGATAACATTTACTTTATTTATAAATAAAATTGTGATGCCTGGTTAGAAAAATGACTTTTACGTATTACGATGATCAAATGGTGGAAATTCTACCAGCATTGAAATATTACTTCATACTCATGATTTATATATAGAATTTAAAAAGTAAGGTCGATGACAAAGGTTAATTGTTGAAAATAATAAACTAAAACATGTGTACAAAGGCTATAGGCAATTTCTTTTTATTAAATTGGTCCGATTTCGATAATTTTTTTTTCATTTCATAGGGAATGTAATTACCAACAAATTTATTATTTACATTATTACATAATATATTAGTTGTTCATAACTATTTTGCAACTGTTTCTGGGGGATGTACTGTATAAGTATGTATATGGACAGTTAAAAGCCTTGAAGAACATTTTTGACAGCCATTTTGCCACTCTTGAGTAGGGTAAAAGAACCAACCAATAGCTGCCAGTAAACCAGTACCTAATATCCTCATCTTAAAATGATATCCTCAAATATACATCTACTTCATATATTTTTGGTTTCTATATTATTACTCGAATAAGCGAAGCGAAACGACAGTTATGTGTTTGGGTCGTCCACCAAAGCTACATAACATTATTTTTAGTGAACCGCTGGATCGTTTTTTAAGTTTGATGGCTCAAGTTATTTGATGAGATCATCTGAGTGTTTTGAAACAATTTGAGCTAATAATACTGACCCTTTATTAAATAAAATGTATTTTATCGATTTGCAAAAAGCTTTGTGACGCGGTTTTGAGCGAGCGGCTAGATCAGTTTTTAATTTTGATGGCTCTAATTATTCGGTGAGATTCTCTGAGAGTTTTAAAACAATTTGAGCCAAAAATAGTGCCCCGTTATTATATAAGATGTGTTTAAGTAATTTGCAAAGAGTTTTGCAACGCTGTTTTGAGCGAACGACTGGATCGAATTTTAAGTTTGATACATTATATTATTCAGCAAGGTTCCAAAGCAAAACGATACGAGGTAATGTGTTGGGGATGTTCACTAAAATGTACGTAACGTTGTTTTGAAAAAACTGCTCAGTCGATTTTTAAGTTTGATGGCTAAAATTATTTGGAAAAATGCCGTGGGCGAACTCAAAATTCTGTAAAATTACTCTGTAAAGTTTGTTTAATCCACTAAAAGGTAGGTAAAGATTTTTTGAGTGGATGACATGATCGCTTCTTATACACTGGCTTTAATTACTCAAAATACAGAAAAAAATATGACGTGTCCACTCACACGACTTTCCTACCTGTTTCAGAAAAGTTTTTATATCTTTAAATATGTCCATTAAGAAACAAAAAAAAAAAATGGATTAGATTGATTTTCTTTAATATTGATCAAAGAAAACATTTGAGTACGATTTTTTTGATAAACAAACCAAAGCAATGTAAACGGGCTTGAAGACGATCAGCGTAAAAAATTCAATACACTCTAATATTGCTTATCAAAAACCGTATTATTACTATATAATATATACTTACCGAGTTAGACCCCAAAACATTTTTATTTATTTATAACTTTTTTCCATGAATTTTCTTGGGAATTGAGTACATGTACAAAAATTGAAAGGACAATAATTAGAAAATTATAGGAAAGTTTAATCAAAATCGTTAGAGTCGTTTGTGCGCTCAGTCAATAGAAAAAATAAGTTTTTCACTTATTGTGCAGCCGTTATTGCGTAAGGAGCACATATTTGTGTTACAGGCATCAGTAGCCAAAACTCTACAAAATAAAAAAAGAAGCAGAAAAATCGGTCTTCTAGTTCCCAAGATGATCTTGACACAGACGGACAGACAGACCAATGGCTGAAAATTTGATTTTCGGACTCAAGGGACTTTGAAACATACAGATCCGTCGAAAACCGCACATTGAAAATTTTACACGATCGCAATACTTTCCTTACCTAGTATAGGTAGGAAAGTAATAAGTTAAAAAATAGAATAAGCTGTATCATCGCTAATGCTGCTTCGATTCTGATGATTTTTTTTTTTTTTTTTTTTTTTTTGTTTTGTAGTAATTTAATTACCTTTCAAAAGTTTGTATATAAATTTTACCATATAGTATATGCTTAGCGAGTTAGGCCCCAAAACATTGTTCTTTTCTGTATTACTTTTTTCTCTGAATTTTCTCGGAAATTTAGTACATTTAGGAATGCCGCTATTGCGCAGAAAGTACATCATTTATTTCACAGGTAACAGTAGTCAAAACCCTACAAAATAAGAAAAGAAGTAACAATGTTGGTTTACTAGTTCTCAAGATAATCTTGACACAGAATGACAGCCTAAGGAAATTTGACCCAATCGCAATACTTTTCTTACCTTGTATTGGTAGGAAAGTAAAAATTAATCTGGTGCGCGCAACATACAACTTTCAATTACTTTGAAGAAAAGTAATTCTTGTCTGGCAAAATTTGGCTATCACGAGAAGTTTTTGAAGCTCATTTTTACTGATAAACATTGAACAATTTTTGAATGTTGGTCATATTCATTAATACAAAAACTCATCAAGATCACCAAAATAACATAAACTCTATTTATCATATCCGTTGTAGGCATTAAAAACCTTATAACTGCATCAATCTATTTGAATCATATAACGCCAATCTTTGAGCTCTATAGACAAAGAGAGATTTGAAAGTACATTTATTTAATTATAAATAAGTAAGGCCATAATGCACAATAAAAATTATAGGAATTAAAGCTCTATCACTTCTTAAATTCCTATTTTTTACTCTTCAAAAATTTACCAAAAAAAAAAAAAGTCACTTGTTTTTAAATACAGCATCTATAAGTCAAAAGTCGTAACACTGATTCTAAGTGTATAGTGTGATTTCACAAAGAGAATTAATTTTTTTTAAAATAAATTGACAATGTATACCTATTTGTTTAAATATAATATCGGATCTAGAGTTATTAAACTACAGTAAATTTATTTAAGGTTATAAACATGTTTTAGCCATCCATGAAATATCTTTATTCACTTCTTCTTTCACAGGAGTACAATGAAATAGTTTTTTAAACAATGTCATTGTCAAAATTTGTTGGGATTTATAGCCTTTTTATAAAACTTAAAAATGATTTTAAATGTTTATATTTAGTTAAGAAATTTCATTTCATTTCCTTGGAAAGATGTGGTTTCCATTAAATAATATTAGTTTTCAGAAATTATTATTTATAATTTTTTGTCACTTTCCATTAGCTTATACAACTTTTTATGTTAGTTATTGTTTTTCCTGAAATTTTCAATTTTCCAACGATATATTAGACGTATACATTCAGTCCCTTAATATCGAAAATTTGTTTTCAACCTAAAAACACATTTTCCTTTTCACTCTTTTCGACAAATAAAAAATTCTTTCATACTTTATATCCAGGGATTTTTTTATTTTTAATAATAATAAGAGACATCGAGTTGTTAAAATCAACCAAATTTAAGGTACTTTAGAGAAAGACCTATGGAACATTAGGCATTTAAGCTTGTGAGGTGACATCACTGTTGGATAGGAGCTAGCTGATCAGAAACACCACCAGGAATGCCCATTCCCTATAACTTATAGGGACCTTATAGGCTATAAGGTCGATGGCGAAAAAAACAACCTCCTCCTCTTCCAAGATATACTAATGTTCACCTTTTCTTAACAAACAGAGCAAGCGAAGGTAGAATTGGAAAAATCGTAGATAATATGCAATTACACTTACTACGGCTTGTTCCATATTTTCCCATTATCATTTAGTCCGAAAATCCATAACCCCGTCCAAATTAGTCCCCTCAAAAATTCAAAAACCCGTCAAAATATGACCCCCTCAGAAATATTGCGCCATGAAACTCCCTTCTGGACACTCCTGAAGACCACTTAATAATACACTGATTTAATAAATAATAATAAAGGGCTTAGCGAACCAGAAAGTTCGATGCCGACACCATCAATCGCTTATTACACACCTCCCTCCAGTGTTGGCTGTCCAAACCCAGTCCCTTAAGATCGGCTTTAACGCAGTCTTCTCACCTTCGCCTCGGTCTTTCCCTTGGACGTTTACCATTCGGTACAGCAAATATTAACCTTTTAGGAATTCTTTCGTTACTAAACCCAACAATTTTACAAGCCTATTTGATGCGATGTAATCACTTCAATTATATTAACCGGATACAGTTTACGCAATTCGGCGTTGTGTAACCGTTTAAACACTCCGTTAAACACATCCTTCTTCGGTCCGAATATTCTACGCAATAATTTATTTTCAAAAACCTTAAGACTTTGCTCATCTCTTAATGTAAGCGGCCACGTTTCGCATCCACAAAGAACTGTAAAACGGTAAGATAATGGTTTTATAGATTCTATTTTTTAGGTCCCGGGACAAGAGGCGCGAGCTAAGTAGCTTTGCCACATAAAAATAGCAAGCATTTCCCGCCTTCAGCCTATCCTTTAATATCCTCTCCAATTTCGTTTTTTCTACTATTCGTAGACCCTAAATAACTAAACTTCTCTACCTGTTAAAATAAATTATCGATATCACCAGCAATTTTGCTTTTTTGTAGCTAACCATATATTTTGTCTTATCCGTGTTTATTTCGAAGCCTAGTTCTTTACCAGATTTCATTAACGTTGTCGTATTTAGTTTTATAGTTTCCGTGTCTTCGCTTAATAGGGCCAGATCCAACTCTTTTTCGGTACGCATTACCTCCCTAATGGCATGTTCTAATGCCAAATTGAACAGCACAGGCGAAAGGGAATCACCCTGTTTTAAACCCGAACGAACCTCAAACTTTTCGGATAAATTATTACCGATTCTAACTTTATTGTGTGTTTCCGTAAAACACATACGATAGATTTAATGATTTTTTTGGAACCCTCTGCTCGATTAGAATATTATACAGTTTCTGGCGGTCAATAGAATCGGAAGCCTTTTTGTAATCTATATACAGTTGGTGAACAACACTAAAAGTATAATGAGTTTCCATGTGAAATGTATAACTAGGTAGCGTAAAATCTTTTCTCGGATGGCTACAACCCTTTTTCGGTATATATTACCTCCCTAATCGCATGTTCTAATGCCAAACTGAACAGCGCAGGCGAGAGGGAATCACCCTGTTTTAAACCCGAACGAACTTCAAACTTTTCGGATAAATTATTACCGATTCTAACTTTATTGAGTGTTCCGTAAAACACATCCGGACTAGATTTACTAATTTTTTTGGAATCTCCTTCTCGATCAGAATATTATACAGTTTCTGGCGGGCAATAGAATCGTAAGCCTTTTTGAAATCTATATTCACAGTTGGTGAACAACACCAAAAGCATAATGAGTTTCCATGTGAAATGTATAATTAGGTAGCGTAAAAGCTTTTCTCGGGTGTGTACAACCTACCCGATGAAGATACTACCAAGGATAAGATGGACCAGCGCATTGAAATACAAGTCCTTTCCCTTTTATTTTTTTATAAATCTATACAATTAGGTTCTACGTTTTACTATCCTCACTGAAGATGATAAAATATCAATCTTTTTCTATGAGAAGGAGTTAGTCGGGGGTGCGGTCAGATAAATACTAAATTAAAATATAGTAATTATTTTATTTTAATTTTGCCGACGTTTCGACCCACTTTGCAGGTCGTCTTCAGGGCTACAAAAGATACAAAACATGTTGAGAATAAAAATTAAATATAAGTAGATATAAAAAAAGATTTTTATATCTACTTATATTTAATTTTTATTCTCAACATGTTTTGTATCTTTTGTAGCCCTGAAGACGACCTGCAAAGTGGGTCGAAACGTCGGCAAAATTAAAATAAAATAATTACTATATTTTAATTTAGTATTTATCTGACCGCACCCCCGACTAACTCCTTCTCATATTATATCAACGGTCAACCATCTCTACATCATTATAAATCTTTTTCGATGTTTAGATAAGTAAAATAATCCTCCGGAAAATGATCGTATTTTGCACTTGTACCATTATTTGCAATGCTTGAATAATGCGTCTTCTAGATTCCTCATGCGCACTTACCCTCGAGACTGGGGCAAGTGCGTATCAAGTAGTCTGTATTGAGTTATCAATTAGATAAGAATAGACGCGATTAAAAGAAAATCTAATGCACACTTACCCCCATTACCCGACTTAAGACTCGAAAATATTCATAGTAATTTAAATTTGTTCTTTTTTTTTAACGTTCGTTTCCTATTCAAACAGGTTTTGGTGCATTACATTGTTATTTATATCATTTAAAGGAAAAATGTAATAGAAATAACATCGAGCATTTTTAAGTATTTAAATGGAATGTATTTTTCGTGGAATAAAAATTAAATGTGTAACCCATGGGTTGAATTATTCATGAAAGAATTTTTAAAAAATGGAGGAAGAGAAGATGTGGCTGCATTGATTCAACCGTGCTGACATCTGCTGTTGCTTCGGGCAAGTGTGACCATTCAGTGTTAAAGTTGCGGTGCTTGATGACAAGGTCCATTCACTGCTGTTATCGCTATGGCTATGTGATACTAGGAGACGAACATGGCAGAGTTTATCCGTGGTGGCTGCGGTGTCAGCGTCATGTCAAAGGAAAAATTACACGGTTCTCCGAGTACCGGCAGTGAAGAAGGGCACGATGGGGCAATAGCTGACGAATTCGATCCTTTTATGGCCGACCCAGAAGAAATTGTCGGAAATGAAACTGTACCGAACGCTCCGCCTGAAACCCAGTTAGTTGACAACATGACTAATTTTATATGTGACCCAAGTAGATTTTAAACGATTCAAGAAACCTGCTGAAGTTGGTTAATTGCAATGAACAGCAATTAAAATATGATTTGTTAGCCATTGATTATAACTTGAAACGAGATAAGAGTTGATGTTTTAATTTCATAGCTTCATTAGTGATCATTCCACATATTGTTTCTTTATTCCTTATATTTGTTTACTAGATTAATTTGTTTTCTTTATTCTAATATTCAGTGTAATATGATGACAAATATTGCTGTTGCCATACACATTGAATTAGTATTTTATAGCTGAATAATGTTCAAATTTCAGATGGTATCATGGCAGGTTGGATCGGTATACATCTGAAGAAAGACTTTGTCAAGCTGCTAAAATGGGAAGCTACCTAGTTAGAGAGAGTGACAGAAAGCCTGGTTCCTATGTGCTTTCTTACTTGGGAAAAACTGGTATAAATCATTTTCGGTATGTTAAAATCAAATTGTTTTTGTCACATTTATTTTTTATTTATGCACCATGACCTGATTGTTTCTTTGTTTTCAAAAAGAATTACTGCAGTTTGTGGTGATTTTTACATTGGCGGAAGGCAGTTCTATTCCCTCTCTGATCTTATCGGATATTACACTAACTGCTCCGATCTCCTGAAGAGAGAAAGGTTGGTGCATCCTGTGCCACCTCCTGAACCAGTTAACGACAAGAAAAGAGTTGTTGCAATCTTGCCATATACTAAAATGCCTGATACTGATGAACTAAGGTATTTTATTGAATGTTGTTTAAAAATTATAAATTCTTTATTAAATTTTTTAGCTTTGGAATAAGCCTTGACAATGTAAACAAAAAGCCTATTATTTATGTGCCTTTGCTGTCAAATTATTTTAATACTTTTTAGAATTAAATTTGATGTTTAACTTATTCTGCCTCTGAATCAATAATTAGCAAAGTAAAAATTGCTTGTCAATTTTCAAGTGTTAAATATGGTGGTTAAGTCCTAAATGTCCAGTCCTGCAGGAACATTGGTCTACTATTCAGTTATTTATCATTGTGTTTTTTTTTTTATTACATTTAATTAAATATCAATCCAATGCTAACAATAAATCCATGCTGAAAACTAGCAATTCATTTTGGTTTTCTTTAATAAGTTACAAGTAAACTTTTTTCCACCTGTTAACGTATTTATAATTTGTACTTAATATGTGATAAGTTTTTTTGCCACTCTAATCCAATTTTACCAACTTTTATTTTTACTTTATCAATTAGTATTTCATCAATATTTGTGCTTTTGATTTATTGATGGAAAGTTGCCTGAGTCAGATAAGCCACAGTGCATCAGTGAGTGGGTTGAGATAGATGATTCCTAGTGATATCTTAAATTAAAAGGAATAAATAAAAATTTCACTGCTATCTTTTATTAAACATGTTATAATTAAACACACACATATACACACATACACACACATATATATATATATATATATATATATATATATATGTATATATATATATATATATATATATATATATATATATATATATATATATATATATATATATTTAAATTTATTTATTATATATATTTATATAATAAACAAATTAAAAATATATACATACATCCTTACTAAATTTTAATTATTCTCCCTCAGATATATCATATTTTTTATCTCATTATATATGAATTTTTTTTTTAGTAATTTACTAAAATACTAAAAATATGGTTATGATTTCTAGATAAATAAAAAATGTTGCAAGTTCAAGGAAAGTATTAATATAAGAATATGGACTCATTGTTACTATTAATATAAATTATATGGTGTGATACATGTTGGATGTTTTTATTAATAGAAAAATCAAAATCTTTTTGTTTTTAAATAAGGATGATGAAAGAATGTATTGTCGGTTTATTGCATAAAGTCACTAAGTACCTTTTTGAGAGAGCTAAACTATTAAGTTTCTGTAAATTTTAAACTTATCTATCAATAAAAAAAAACATTGTACGTACTTTAAAATTATAATAACCTTTTTATCTATCAAATGTAGTTGCACTTTTTGCACTATGTTCTGATTTCACAGAGGAAAAATCTATCGAAGAACTTAGTGATTTAATTTCATGAAATGTTACTTAACTACTTTTTGTAATTAACCAACTATATATCATATTTATTTATGAATCTTTTTATATCAATTTCCCCCTTTTTTTTTTTTTTAGATTGTTAAAAATTTTTTGAGTTAATGTTAACTATTTATTGTGTTTTGGTAAAAGTTGTTAAAAAAATTCAGCTTTATTATTTCATGGCTGCAATTATATTATTCAAATCTATATTGATGAGTATATTTTAATTCACTGCTATAATTATTGCTTCCATAATATAATAAGTATTTAGTGTTCTTCATTGAAATAATTTATTTTTCCTGATTAATAGTAATTACTCATGTATTCTGAACTCATTTGCCATTTATTCCAAACCTTGAAAATCCTTATCATAACCGCAGAATTTAAATAAAACCTCAGCTTTTGAGGTAAATTTACATTCTTTCCAACAGAATTCTTTAATAATATTCCGCTTATCTCTATTCAACAGATCTGCTCTCTATTTTCCCTATCAAGAAAATAAAAGCACTGGACCTGCATTGCACAGGATGCCCTGTTGCTACTCTGTCCATTTTTCTTTCATTTTCATAGCCTGTTTATTTTGATAATGTTCAATTTTTAAGAATATTAGTGATCCATTATTGTTTGATATTTGGTTGTTTAGCAAACTTTCTCTAGTTAACCCCAAGTTTTAAGATAAACTGGTTTGTGGAAGATCAGTTTAAAAAATTCAACACACTATAACTCTAAAATGACTAATCAAAAACTTGTTTGCATTAGCCCAATTTTGTTTTTGTTTTTCTATTTTGCAGGTAATTTAATTACTTTTTAAAAAGTTTTTATATATATTTACTACAGAATATGTACTTAGGTAGTAAGGCCTCCAAACATTTTTCTATTCTTTATAACTTGTTTTCCTGAATTTTCTCAGGAATTTAGTATATCTTCGAAAATTGAAAGGATATTAATTAGAAAATTATAAGAAAGTTTCATCAAAATCATTAGAGCCGTTTTTTTAAAAATACAGTCTATAGAAAAATATATTTTTCACTTATTGCCCAGGGAGCACCCAAATTTCGTCACTCATCATTAGTTGAAACCTTACAAAATAAAAAAAGCAACATAATTAGTCTACTACTTCTCGAGATAATCTTGGTACAGATAGGCAGACCAATGGCTGAAGATGTGTTTTTCGGAGTCAGGGTCTCTGAAGCGTATAGATCCATCAAAAACTGCACATCAGATATTTGATCCGATCTCAATATTTTCCTTACCTAGCATAGATAGGAAAGTAATAAACTTTGTTGTTAATAAACAAAATAAATAATAAAAATAAATATAGATAGCTCTCAAGAGAGAGTCTCTTCCCAACTCCCCTGCCTGCCTATACCTGGCAATGCCGCACCAACCAGTTCCTTCACCTAAAGATTTTTATCATTATTGAGATTAAAAAGCAAGAACTATTTCATAATTTCTGACTAATTCAATTCACCTTTTATTGGACTAATGTTCTAAGCTACCCTGTTAATCTCGAAATGTCAAAACCTATGAAGTTCAGTTGTTGGATTTCCTGTATCCATAAAATTCCTGAGTTAAAGTTGTTAAAATTGGATACAACTTCAAAACTGGAATGAAAAAAAAATATATTGACATACATGTGTAAATTTAATTTTAGTTTTATATTATATTATTTTATTTTATGATATTTAGCTTTCAGAAGGGAGACATATTTTTTGTTCATAATGACATGGGCGATGGATGGCTCTGGGTCACAGCACATAGGACAGGAGAGCAGGGGATGATTTTCAGAGATCTAGTGGATGATCTTGATGATAGTATAGATCCAAATACTGTATTTAATTGGTTTCATCCCTCCGTTACAAAAAGTGAAGCTGTTGACATGTTAGTTAAATGTAAGTAGCCTCATAACCTATTACTAGTAGATTATTTCTTATTTGTAATAATAAACTAAGAATAGTAAGAAATAGTAAACTAAATATAATGATAACGATGCCAAATATTTTCTAAATGAAAACTTTTGAAAGCACAATTGTTTCCTATATTTACTAATGTGGATTAAGTTCATAATAGTCTAGTTAAATCCAAACTTGAAACTAGTATGAGCTAATCTTTATGAAAAATGAACTCTAAACACTGATGTTCTAAAATCAGCCTCAAAAATTTCTAAAAGATTAAATATAACATTTTTGTTTTCTCCAACCTCAACTTTTCGATTATACATATGGGAAATTCAATTGTTTTTACTGAATCAATTCTCAACAATTCAATCATTGTGATGAATCGATTCTTCGATACAATCATTGTAATGAATTGATTCTTTTCCTATTTTCTTTTTCTTTAAATTAAAAAAGAACTTTTTAATGAAAAAAAAAATGATCATTTATATTAATGAGCTTCCTCTCCTGAACTATCACTCCCAATACCATATCTATGCAGATAATTTCCAAATATATCTGTCCTTCCCGCCCACTTACATATTATCAGCCTCAGAAAACTTCAAGAAGACTTGGATAGGATTTGTGACTGGGCAAAAGCTAACAAGTTGAATTTGAATGCAGAAAAGAGGAAGGCTTAATAGGCTCTAATCATTTCCTTAAAACTGTTCCTAATATTCCAAATCTCTCCCTACATGATAATCCCATCAAATTCTATCCTTCCATCAAAAACCTTGGAATGATCTTTGATCAAACGCTTTCCTGGAAAAATCATATATCCAACATCTCCCACCGTACCGTTTTCACCTTAAAACTTCTAAATTACTCCCGTCATCTATTTCCCCTTGAAACCTCTAGGCTCCTAGTAACTTCCTTAATTTTTCCCCACTTTGACTATTGCTGTACGGTATATGGGGGGTGTCTCGGGGAATCTCAAGATGAAATTAAAACGCTTGATAAATTGCTTTGTACGATTTATCTTCGGGATCCCAAGGGATGCCTCTGTTTCCCATTTTTATCCAGAGTTGAAGTAGCTTTATCATTCCTACTGTCATAAGTATTTCCTGGCATCCTTTCTCTTTCAAGTCATCAAATCCCACCGTCCTTCATACATCTCCGAGCTCCTTCAATTCAAATACTCTGTTCGTTTCCGCAATACTCGTTCCCTATCTTCTGATTTATACATAAGGAGCCACAGAACTGCTGCTTTCGATAGATCGTTCATTATCCGATCCTCATCCATATGGAACTCCATCCCTCCCCACATCTGTCAATCCAAAATCCTTCCTAATTTTAAATCCCCCCTGTTCAATCATTTCTTATACAACCTGTCCTCATAAAATTGTAAATAGTTACTATTGTAAATATTTATATAAATTATTAGATCATTCTTCATTATTTTTACTTCATGTTTATTTTCAATTTTTTGTTATTAACTGATTTAATTAGAAGGTAACTTATAATTTCATTTATTATTTTGACTATTTAATTACTGTATATTTTTGTTTATGTATCTCTGAGGCTCCTTAGCCCAAATTTTTGTCTTTCTGTATTATTCTAAAGGGACTCGTCTCAGAATAAATAAAGAATTATTATTATTATCAAACCTTATGGCTATTCTGGCTAAAACTGGAAATCGCAGACTCGGAAGGAATTGCGAATCGCCGATTCCAACTGAATCCAGGTTTGTTCTAGGAAATATTTCAGCCTTATCGCATTGTTCGCTGAGTTGTTTTTTTTACTTTTCGAATCTACTCTTTCAGTACCATTCCACACTTCTTTATAAAAAAAAGAAAAAACCTGTACCACTCCAACCCCCATGTCTCTCACCACTACACTGAGTTAAGGTGGCTCTTCCCCTCCTTTAGAAGACAATATTTCCTAGGTCCGTTCCTCTATCAAATCATCAACAACCATTGTCCTTCTTACGTCTATAACCTTCTCCAATTCAAGTCCTCAGTCCATTCCCTTTCAACAAGATCTTGACCTGACCTCTACATCCCTTCGCACAGATCTGCCTCATTTCAGAATTCCTTTATAGCTCTAATGTCAATTTCTGGAATTCTCTACCTATCAAAATTCGGCATTCCCCCTCCATATCCACATTCAAATCTCTCCTATTCCAATTCCTATCCCAAAAACAGTCAGATACTTGCTAAACTTTCGATATTATACATTTCTAGTCATCATCAAACGATAGTACTATTCTATACTGTGAACTTCACTAGGGATATTACAATATCTTCCGGCTCTTAATGCCACTGACCACATCTATTGTTTGTTTTTTTTATTATTATTATTTTTTATTGGTATATAATTAAATCTGTATCTCTAGCATTTGAAAATGATGAGTCTACATATTAATCATTATTTAAAGATACTGATATTTTATATTGTCAGCTTTGTCTTTTCTTTGTTAGCAGAAACACACCTCATTTTAAAGAAGAACTCAATGTATTTTTTATTATTTTATTTTTCAAAAGAGTATAATTATAATTTTTCCTACTGTACATAGTCTTAAGTGTTTTATCATAGTTTTAAGTGTTTTGTATATAGATTTTTTTTTTTTTTTTTCGTATATAGCTTGTTTAACTAATATTTTCTTTGCTTTCTCTTTTTTATTATTGTTTTATTTTGGCCAGATGTAGTATTTTAATTATGTTCTATTTTGTTACTCTAAAGGGACTTGTCTCAGAATAAAGTTATTTTCTATTTCATTTCTATTTCTACAACCCATGAAGGGTCTGGGGTTCAGTACTATTTAGGGAAAGCACTGTTTCTAGGTCAACGGTTGTGCAGGGAGGTGATTTGACCGAGATCACGCTCAACCGCCAGGTTTTCCCCCTTAATCAATTATTTAATTAAGGGTACCCACTTTATAGAGGCTGGTTGTGCCCCAGGAGGGTCAGGAGCGTCCAATGAAACAGATATATAAATTTTCTGCCATGAGCCGGGGTTCGAACCTGGGACCTTTGCATTGGAAGCTCAGTGCCCTACCGCTGATCTACCCCACTCCCCACACTTCTTTATAACCCACATTTATTTACATTATTATTTTCTTTATTTGTTTATTAGTTTGTTTTATTTATATATGTATACAGTTTTTTCCCTCTTGTATTTTTATTTTTAATTACCTTTTATTATGTAAATATTTAATTTGACATTTTACACTTCAGATATTTACAACCTATGCTTTTTTATATCACTATTTTGTTTATTTCTTCTCTCTGTTTGTTTGATTTATATATGTATACAATTTGTATCTCTCTTTTACTTTTATTTCTAATTACCTTTTACTATGTAATTATTTAATTTAACATTTCAATTTTGTTTATTTATTTTCCCTCTCTGTTTGGTTTATTTATTTTAGTATAGAGTTGTTTTTTCTCTTTTGTACTTTTATTTTTAATAATACCTATTGAGTCAACCGATTCCGAGTGAATTGTGATTCTTTTGTGTGAATTGCTTGAGAACACGATTCTTTCAGAGGAATAGATTCTTGATTCACCTACCCATCTCTATTATACAGATTTTTTTTAATTCAATTTTTTTAATTAAAAAAATTATTAGTCTATTTCTATTTTATTTAGTAGAAACTAAATATTTCCATGGATACTAAATGGTCTAAGTTTAACTATAAGTAAGTTAATCTAAGTGCACTCTTGCCCCTCATTAACCCACGCTCCTTTGAAATTGAAACATCTTTCATACTTAATCTATAAGATTTTTTTAAATCTTGTAAAAAATCACTTATAATTTTTTTCAATCTATTTAAGAAAAAATGAACACTGCAGAGGTATGTAAATTCCATTGCCCGTTTTTTACTAGATAATAGAATTTTACGAAAAAATTGTCTGATGGCCTAATATTCTCTTGAAAAAAATAGATATTTTAAGTTCATTGTAGAACTATAAGTTAGTCATTTGTAATACTTCTTAACCTCAGTATTTGATTTTTTTACTAAATTGATTAAAACAAAGAAGAGTTAACCTGGAGATATAACTGTTTGTTTATGCACTTATTAATAATACCAATCTAAAACTTTCCTGAGAATTTATTTATACAAAGTCCTAAAAGAAAAGATTTTAGTTTAAATAAATACTCTAGTACTTAAATTTAGGTATATTATTTTCAATAATAAACCACTGTATTCATCCAAAATGTTAACCCTTCTCAAAATTTGAGGTTTTATCTTTAACGATTCGTAGAACTCCAAAATCGAATAAAAAAATGTTTTTTCGTTTGCTGTCCGCGGCTATTCTCCGAGACCACTGGACCGATTTTATTGAGATTTGGAATAAAAATCATGTCACCCAACTATGATCATCCTCCCTTAACATTACCATCCCCTTTTTCTTTCAAGATGACAGCTGAAAAATATATGTTGGTATAGACTATAGCGCCTCAATGAATGTATGGATTTCAGTGAAACTTGCCTAAAGTCGTATCTCTGATTCATTTTAAATATATATATATATATATATATATATATATATATATATATATATATATATATATATAGAACATACTTCACCGAAAAGTATTTCGCTTTCTAGATGGCAGTGGAGAAATCTGTGTCATATATATTGTAGCGCCTGAACGGATGTACCAATATTAATAAAACTTGGCTTAAGTATTCTCCTCGACACCCTTTTTATTTATTTATGTGATATACTTCTACGAAAAGAAGCTGGTATAAAATTTATGAGAGGTGGTTAAATTAGATTTCCGAACAACTCAAGAATTATACATTTTTTTTGTGATTTTTATAATCTGGTGTTTCAAAGGTATTTAAATTTCCTAAGAAATGAAAAAAAGCAGGGCTCGAAACGGAAAAAAAACTGTTATTTTTAAAAAGTGTTGGTATCACTGGAACATTTATTATCGATAGTTTTTTGGTTCTTTTGGAACTAGAACTTTTTTCCTTGCAGCTTTGCCAGACTTTTATTTACAATTCTCAGAATTGGGGCGTTTTTAAACCAGAGGTCGGAAAACTTTGTCTATTTAATAAGGTACTAAAAACTCATGAGTACCCATTTGCTTTCCACTTGAATCATAAGATAATATGATGACAAAATAAAAAAAAAAATGTGCCCTACAATAATATTAGGGTGTTTGGTTTGGTCTATATAACCTTGTTATTTTAACTTTTTCGGGATGAAGGTTACCAAACGGACCATTATTTTTGTAGCCAAACAGATTAATATTTTTGTAGACCACCTTTTTTTTTAGACTTTCATATTATTCAACTGATCATATTATCTTACGATTCAAGTAGAAAAGGAATGGTTACTCATGAGTTTTCAGTACCTAATTGTATAGACAAAGTTTGCCGATCTCCAGATTGAAAACACCCCAGTGCTGAAAATTTTTGTTAATTAAATATTTGTAGGTTGTGATGAGATGAAGCTATTTATGAAGTTTCAGGCAGATGTTAATAATTTGATAAAAAGCGGTATATACCACGGACCATAAAGATATCGTGGTTTTTAAATATTTTTGGTTTATTATTTTCAAAATTTGAGGTTTTAGGTTTTTCAATATTTAGAACTTATAAATCAAATAACAAAAATTTGTCCACCCTCCATACACCATCCGCCATCTGCTTCTTTTCTCTGAGAATACTTGATCAATTATTTTATTGTAATTAAGATTAGAATATATTTAGTATGTCCACCTACATGACTTTCTTAACTACTTTGCTGCAAAATCAAAAAATAAAATTATTTGTATTACGAATAGCACATAACTAATTATTATGTCACTATTTTATCGGAAATATTTTGATATTAATTAAACTAGTATTATAATTATACATTTTTTGTTTGTTTTAGGTGGACCTGGAAGCTTTCTTGTCCGACCATCTGATAATTCCCCAGGGGATTATTCACTTTTTTTTCATATCAATAATCAGATACAAAGGTTCAGAATCGAGAAAAAAGGAGTACGTTACCTCATGGGAGGAAGGACGTTTGAGTGTCTGGATGCTGTTATCAATCGCTATCGCAAGGAGCAAATTGTTGAAGGGCATACATTACTTCAACCAGTATGCAGGGTCAGTTAATTTCATTATTTACAAAGAATTATATTACAGGGTTCATGACGGGTGAATTGTCGAGAGCATGGGTTTCCAAACTTTTTGAACAGTGAAATCTCTAATAAGTCACGCAGGCTACATTGAGATTCCCACTAAGTCCTGTGGGCAATGCCTTGTGATGAAAAAAAAAGTTTGTTCTATAAATGACACTTCAGTTGTCAAGTGAGCTTTCTAAGAAAAATGATTCATGCAATAAATGTTGTAATCTTGTGTTTGCATGATTGACTAAATTTCATATTTTTTAAATAGTTTTTAAAATTTTACTATGTAATTTAAAAAACTTCTGTGGACCAGATCAGAGGTGCTTGCAGGCCGTAGTTTAGACATCCCTGAACTAGAACATAATAAGCATTTAATAGTTGACGAACATTAATAAATGTTTATCGTGGGTGAAGCCTTAAAAAAATAATAATTTAATAATATGTCTTTCAGGCAATTTTGATTAATAACAATTTAACAAAAATTAAATTTAACAATTTATTTGATTATTGTTAGTAATCATCTCTGGGTTGGGGGTGGTGTGTAAGGCTAGTTAGCATCCTTATCATTCACAAAAATATAATAGTTGTGAAATAAAAAAAAAAAAACTTAAATAAGATGTCAAAAGTTGAGTACCTTAATGAGTAAGGTACTGTGCTCACATCTCCCAGCCCTATATTTGAGTGCAGCTGTGGGAGATAATTATTTATTCATATCAGCAGTGGATACCCCTAGGGTCAGGAGGCTTTAATTTCTCTATTTAAAAATAAAATTAACCTATCACTAAACGTACATTCTAATAAACCATAATAAGTTGTCCTAGCTCTTGAAAAAGTTAAAAAATATGATTCTAAACAAAAAATTTTATTGAACAGTATTTTCTTTCCTTGATGCCATGATGGCCAACTTTTAAGGTGACAACACCTTTAAAACTTTAATTCTATAGGTCTGGGTTTGAATCAGGCCTGAGTGAGTTGGACTTTATTTTTTGGCAGACTTGTGAAATGAATCTTGATATTCTCACTCTATTTAGGATTGGTTGGTTATTTTACATAGGATAACACGTAAAAAAAATATATTCTTTTTCTAAATATTAATCTCAAGTTCTTCAATGGTTTTTAACACATATAGTGGGGTTCATGATAAAGTAGCAAATTTGCAAAAATTGAGTTTTTATGGATTTGAGATGTATTTTGCATCCTAAAGTCGTTTTGGGATATATCATAAAATTTTACCAATAGTTTATTATACATCTAACGATATACAGTTTTTGTATTTGTCAACTATTGTTACACTATGATTGAAAATATTCCCTCCTCCACTTTTTCAAAATACTCCTATTCTTCATTGTATTGAAAAAAATAAAATTTTGAATAATTTTATTTTACTTATTTTTATCAGTACAAGGGGTGGATTCTCAAACTCTGATATATTTTTAACTAATATTTTCTGTATTAGTTTTAATATGGACTGTATTTTAAATTAACGTAACATTAATTTTGTAGACAATGTCTGAAAGCGATGGTCCTGTTAAATCAAAGGAGGTGCAACATGCTGAGAAGATATACGCGACCTTAAGGGAATGCAGAGAACAAGTTGGACTTAAAAAGATCAAAGGTAAAACTTTATTTCTTTGTTTTTTTGAAATAATCAAAATAATTCCCTACTTATATACAGTTTTCTTATCATTGGACATCTTATTTTCTATATATATATATATATTTATTGCCATTATTGAACATTAGAACATACCCTACAAGGTTTGTAGAGCCAACCAAAAAAAAAAAAATATATATATATATATATATATATATGTGTGTGTATGTGTGTATATTTATATATTTATTTATTTTATAGGAATCAAGATGCAGGGATATTTGAGTAAAAAAAGTGAGAAAAATAAGAAATGGAAATCGATGTATTTTGTTCTTATTGTTGATGGAACTGACACTCACTTGATGTTTTATGATAATCCTAAGGTATCGCAGCAATTAGTTCTATGTGTAAACTAATTAAACTTTATGAATTCACATCCTTATATATTTATTTTTTTATTGTATAGAGAACTAAACCTAAAGGTCTGACTGATTTATCATGTGCTTACCTGTATCAAGTTCATGATAGTGTATTCGAGAGGCCGAATTGCTTTCAAATAGTAGAGCGTGCATTGCCCTGTTTAGCTACCACAACATACCTCTCTGCAACAACAGGTGATATCGCACAGGTAATAAATAAAAATGTATTTATTTTGTATTATTTTTATTTTCACTCTATATATGAAATATATTGTAAGAAAAGTTTTGTAACTATGAAAAATTTGAGTTCAACAGAAATATATACCTTGTAAGTCTGCCAAGTCTTGCGAAACGTACTGTGAACAGTCTAGCTCAAAAATGATTTTTAAAAAACTAAAATTAAATATTTATGGTTGGTATATGCCTGGGGTTTCACAGCTAAAATTACTTTTAAAATTGATTTACTGGAAGTCCTATTTATTATCATGAATTTCACAATTTTTTACCATTTTCTCAGAAATATCAATTAGTTATTAACAGTTTCCCATTGTTTGCAGTAATAAAAAACAAATTATAAATTTAAACTATAAAAGAATTGGATAATTATAGTAGGAAACAATGAAAAATAATTTTCCAGGTTTAAAACAAAATTTTAAGAAAAAAATAATGTAATATACCATTGGGGAGATAAAGATTGTAGAAAAATTAATTTTTAACTTATAAAGTCACCATTAGTGTTAGGTTACTGAAAGTGAAAAAAATAACAACTAATAATTGCTTTATTTATTAAAGTCTACTCATATACTATTTAATAGAAACTAAATATTTCCATGGATACTCAATGGTCTAAGTTTAACTATAAACTGTAAACTCAAGTGCACTCTTGCCCCTCATTAACCCACACTCCTTCGTAATTGAAACATCGAACATATTTAATCTATAATTATAATTATTAAATAATTATGATATATAGGTATAATTAAATGAAAACATTTAACACAGACTCACTGAATGGGTTTCAATGTATCATTTCAGAAAATCAATTTCTTTCGTGAGAGAAATCTATTGTTATATATCCCCAGTCTTCAAACTTTGAGCAGAACGGTAGTTTTTATAGGGGTAAGAATCCATATTGGCACAAAGGATAACATTGTTAAATTGTTACCATTTATGCCAATATGGCTGACAGAGCTTGCAACTGAAGCCCATTTCTTCGATAGAGTTAAAAGTTGGCTTCTTTCACATACTGATATTTTTCAGCCAATAGAAGAAGATATATGGAGTAAATAGCAAAATCTATGGGACCAACAAATATCAAATAAACTTAGATTGGTTAAACCTACTGTTACGAGGTGGGCATACTTCTGACAGTCAAGAAGAAATGAAGTAATTACTCATTTGTGGATAGGACACAGCCGCCTCACTATATCTGCTGACAAAAGAGCCTTCTCCAAATAGTCCAGGAGCCCGTGGCAAAAAATGTGTCATATTTCATACTAACGTCTGTCTTTATAAATTGACCATATCCACAGGCCTGACGAGAGAAATGCACGTCTGCCAGCATATAGCCGCTGGAATACAAAATGCTGGGCATCTGAAGATAAAGACCCTACATAGGTTGTCAGCGTATATTTAGAGAGGGCTTATAGATATATAAAACTACTAATCCTTTCAATTTATAGTATTTACAGTCTTAAGACATGAAATAATAGTCAGTTACTCCATACCCATGGATATCAAGTCGAAAAATTGAACTTATGATTCAAAAAGTTTACTTTTTTTGGTTTTTCACTTATATCAGTGAAACTATGCGTTCTATCTATAATAATGTCATATGTGAAATTAAAGCTGACAAAATTTGAAATAGAAATGGTTATATTAGTTTTTTTTTCTGCTGTATTCTATAGTTATCGTGATATCCATCCTCGTAATTCACTAATTTTGGGAAAAAAATTTTGCATCGCATATTTATCATTATTTGAATTGGCAACTCTTTATCCTTTCATTATATGAAAAAGTCATTCGAAAGAAAGTTGATATAATAATTTAATTATAAATTTTCTTTAAGAATGTGTATTACTTCACTGTTTTATCTTCAATCATTCAAAGGCTAGAGCAATTATAATTTAATGATTAAACTTTTTTTTTTTGTTATTACACAACTCTTAATCTGTATATAAGACAATATATATATATATGCATGTTATGCAAGCCAATGTGTACAAATTTATGTAAGGGCTCCTGGACTAAAAATGTCAGGATTGTCAAACAGCCCTAACACTGGCACTTAATCGAAGGTAGAAAAATGGCCATTTTAAGCATTCTTTGATCCCTCCCCAAGCTGCTAAGTGAAGATCGCACTTACTTTAACTATGTCACCAAGTTTTTAAAAGAGACAGGACTTCACAAGTTTTGAAAATTTAATGTTGACAGAAAATAAAGAAGATGGACGAGGATAACCATAAAATGTTTTCGCCCTTTAAAATAAAAAATAAACATTTAAAATTTATTTTCAGCCTGACAGATCAAAATATGTTTATAATTATTGTTTAAATAATATTCTTGAAGTTTATTAAGGTATTTATTATTCATTTCAATTGAAAGTAGAATGGTAAATGAAAGAAGTGATATGTGCACACTGCACCAAATGTTTTCATATTGTTATTCATTTCTGATCTTTTCTAGGATTGGATTAGTGCAATCAAGCCATTGTGTGTGGCTCAGATGACTCGCTCTCCGAAGGTACAACGATTACGGGAGCTGCGATGCCTTCAGTTGCATATTCTTGAAGCACACAGGTAGAAATATTATTGTTTTATTTATTTACTTCAGTGTTATCACTGCATATTTATTTTCACTGAACATTTTTTGAAAATGAATTCAAACAAATTTATTATTAAATATATGTTTTTTAAATTTATTTATTGATATAATTATTTGAAAAATGGAAAGGATCTATTCTTATTCCGATTCACAAAAAGGGTCCGAGAACGGTCTGTAACAACTATCGAGGAATTTCACTCCTTCCGGTATGGTATAAAATATTCACTTTAATTTTAACTAGTCGAATCACGGAATATGCTGAGGAAATAATCGGAGACTACCGATGCGGATTTAGACGGAACCATTTGACTATTGACCAAATATTTTCTTCACAACAAATATTGGAGAAAAAATTACAATACAACGGTGTTATGCACCAGTTGTATATCGATTTCAAAAAGGCTTACAATTCTATTGACTGCCAGAAACTGTATAATATTCTAATGGAGCTAGGGATTCCAAAAAAATTAGTAAATCTAGTCAGAATGTGCTTGTCTGAAACAGTCAATAAAGTTAGAATTGGTAATAATTTATCCGAAAAGTTTGAGGTTTGTTCGGGTTTAAAACAAGGTGATTCCTTTTCACCTCTTCTGCTCAATTTGGCATTAGAACATGCCATTAGGAAGGTAATGCCTTCCGAAAAAGGGTTGAATCTGGATGGAATAACACCCATGCTTGGCTATGCAGATGATCCGGTCCTGTTAAGCGAAGACAAAGAAACTATAAAACTAAATACGTAAACGTTATTGAAAGCTGGTAAAGAACTAGAGCTTGAAATAAACACAGATAAGACAAAATATATAGTTAGCTGCAAAAATGGTGATATTGCCGGTGATATCAATATAGAAGGTAATATGTTTGAACACGTAGAGAAGTTTAGGTATCTAGGGTTAGGGTTTACAATAACTAGAAAAAATGAAATTGAAGAGGAGATTAAGGTTAATGGCTGGAAATGCTAAGGCTGAAGGAGGGAAATGCTTGTTATTTTTCTGTGACAAAACTACTTAGCTTGCTCCTCTTGTCCCGGAATTTAAAAATTAGAATCTATAAAAACATTATCTTACGTACAGTTCTTTATGGATGCGAAACGTGGCAGCCTACATTAAGTGATTAGCAATGTCTTAAGGTTTTCGAAAATAAAGTATTGCGTAAAATATTCAGACCAAAGAAGGATGAGTTAACCAGAGAGTTTAGACGGTTACACAATACCGCAACATAATTAAGGTGATTACATTGGGCTTGTACAATTTTTGGGTTTAGTAACGAAAGAATTCCTAAAAGGTAAATACTTGCTGTACTGAATGGCAAACATGTGAGGGGTTGACTGAAGCGAAGATGGGAAGATTATGTTAAAGCCAATCGGAAGGGACTGGGTTTGGACGGCGAACATTGGATGGAGGTGTGTAATAAGCAATAGGTGATATAGGTATCAAACCTTCGGGTTCTCTAAGCCTTTCATTATTATTATTGTATCATCTCTAGCCAATTTTCAGGAGACCATTAAACAGTTTACATTTCACTATTAACTTCCCCAGTGCAGTTATATATTTTTGTTTCCTTATTATTAATATTATTATTTTATCAATTTTCTGTATCTATTAAACACATTTTATATCATTAAGTTTTTTTTGTTTTGTTTTTTCAGAATTCCTTATAAGTTTGTGCCAAATCCTTTTTGTGTCATTTCATTAAATCAAGTTAAAGTTGCAAGAACTAAGGTGAAAAATGGTCCAGAGCCTTTCTGGGATGAGGAATTCGTTTTAGAGTAAGAATTTACTTGAGAATTGCTTGTTTTAAATAAGGAAAATTTTGTTGATTAATTTACTATTTCAAATTAAATCTGTTTCCTCACTTCATTGTCAACAATAATAAAATTTTATTTCTTCAGTGACGTACCGCCGGATGTCATCACTTTCACTATAACTATCTACAATAAAGGAAAAAGATCCAAAGATACAGAAATCGCTGAAGTCACAGTTGAGCTTACCTCTTTGACCAATGGTGATGAGGTAATAAATTAATTCTTTGTCTTAATATACTAACAGTTTTGATAAATAAAGAAGAAAAAAATGCAAATGTCTAATTCAAATTTTACTCATAGATTTTTTTTTTGGAAATCGAGATTCCTAAGTAAATAAAATACCCAATTTATCCAATGGTGAATTTATTTACTTTATTATTATTTTTTTAACCAGCCTGTATATTAAAAAATAATTTGGATAAAATAAGTTTATTTCCAAAACTGTTTTTTAAGTTTTTTCTTCAAACAATTTAATGATACTTACATTTCTCTTGAATATTTAAAAAATAATTCATCAAAGCTTTTTTCACCTTTTTATTCAAAGGTAATGAAAAAATAAATTTATTTTACTTAGAACTTTTAATTTATTCAATTAAATTATTCTTATGGATAAGTTATCTTAAAATAAGAATTATTTTTTCATTTCATTAGCAGGCATATTATACATGACTGACTATTAAAAGTATCAATACTTTCTTGTTAAATGCTTAATTCAATTTGTTTTAAAATCATAGAGTAATTTTTTGTTATCACATTTTTCATAAATCTAGGTAGAGGACTGGTACTGTCTCTCTGGTGTGACACCGATGGGCGAATGGGGCTCTTTGCGATTAAGACTTCGCTATCTTCACGATCTCATCATGCCGAGAGAGGAATATTCACCAATACAGGAATTGATACTCGACCCATCGTTGGAAGTTGTTCGAGCATTGGCTGACGTTTGTCATTTAGACAGGGTGCCTCTGGCTAATTCTTTGCTTAGAATATTCAGGTAATGTTTCTTTTTTTTTTTTTTAATTATTTCTTGATAAAATATAATATTTACTTTATATCCCTCTCAAAACATTTGAGTCTATACACCAATAATGGTTATATTTAAATTAACTCTCAATGCCAAATTTAAAAATATATTTTGGAATTTAAAAGAATCTTTATTACTGTGGAATAAGGTTATTCAGATTAAAATTAATTATTTAACGACATGAGTTTTTTTTTGCCTTTGAAATATTAAAACATAAATATTTGTTTTTCTATTTTTATTCATATAATTAATATATATAAATCAAAAAAATAACTTTTAGCTAAGAATAGCAATAAATCTGTTTCTAAATATTTGTTTTTTATTTTTTATACTTATAATAAACATAAAATTATACCTTCTAAATTCAAATTTCTTATTGATTAATGGTTAATAACTGAGTTGTGTTATTACTTTGCTTGAATAAATATATACAGTGTGTCCCATAAGTAGAGAACATATTTAAAAGGCTTATAGTTGACATCAAGATATACAAAAAATGAGTGTAATAATCTAGCAATTTATCACCCTAAAACCTCTACCCTACCTACATCTACAAAAAAGTTTTTATAAAGGATGGCCCAATTACCAGCAGAAAAGTAGGAAATTCAAGATTTATGATTTTTTAAGTGATTCATATTTATTGTTTAATATAAACAATAACTACAAAATATTTAATTTAACTGAGTTCGGGCTTCAGCCCGAAAGCTTTGTTTTCATTACTTTGGAAAAGAAGAAAGAAACTAACTACCTACATGAAATGGTGTTTAAGTGATTCCTTAAGTCCTTTTAAATGTAATTATACGTACAATAATACTTTAAGAAATAATTTTTTTTTTTTTTCCATAAAACATGGTTATATTTTAACTGAGTTCAGCTGCTCAAAAGATTTCTTTAAATGATCTCAACAATGACAAGCTCTACTTTCATTTGAAGAAAAATTGTATCTAGTTTCCTATAGAATAAACTTTTATAATTATAGCAATAATTATAAAAGTTTATTCTACAGAAAACTAGATACAATTTTTCTTCAAATGAAAGTAGAGCTTGTCATTCATTGTTGAGATCATTTAAAGAAATCTTTTGAGCAGCTGAACTCAGCTAAGTTCCATTTAAAAAAAATCAAATTATTTGAAATTTTTTTTTTATCAGTATACTACAGATACCCTACTTTTAGAAAAACTTCCTCATTCAATAAGCTTTAAGTCCATATTAATGAAGTTAATGTTTACTTGGGAAAATTTTGAGATTCATCTGAAGTTCTGTAAAAAAATTATGTGATATATCCCGTCAATTAAGTCATATAAAAATATTTATAGGCATGAGAAACGTGAAGCAGATCTCTTGAAGTCTTTAAATGATGCTGAAATAGAAAAAGAAGAAGAAACGTCGACACTGTTTAGAGCAGCGTCTCTTACTACAACTCTGATGGATTTGTATATGAAATCAGTTTGTACCGGTTTCTTACAATCAGCTGTTCAGGATATAGTTTATAAATTACTTGAAGCAAAACAATCTTGTGAGGTATTTTAATTTCATTAATTTTTTATATATGTATTTTATAAATTATTATTATTTTGGCTTAAGTATTATAAATGAACCTTTAAATATTTGTTGGTTACTACTTCTCTCTCTGTGGATTATAGATTTGTTATTAGAAGGAAATTTTGAGCAGTAATGTAGATCTTTTGCATATGACAGAAAATGTAGAGAAATACAATATAGATTATAAGTATTGAATTATTATTGTTTAAATCCAAAATAGTTCAAAGTAATCATAGTTTAATGTTATATAAATTATTAATCATTCGAAAACAAAAGGTGGGATCCTATGATTATTTCATCTTATGTGAAAAATGGTAAATATCGAGACCTTTGGATGTTTATTTGAATTTTAATGTTCAATTTTTATTTTGGTAATAATATTAAGCAATTGAATCATTTAATTGTCTATAGGTATTGCGAATATTTTCTAATTTATAGTTAATTTTTCTTTCTATTTGTATTGGAAATGAAATCATAGGAAATAATTTTTAAATATTCCTGATAAATAAGGATAGATAAAAAAAAAAAAGTAACTTTAAAGCATTTATCTATCTATAATTAGCTTGTTAAGAAAATTTCATTTCTGAAATCAATTTATTAAACATTTCTTTCTGTGTTTCTTCAGACATACTTTATATCCGTCCCAAAACATTTGATTCTATACACCAATAATGATTATGTTTAAATTATTTCTCAATGCCAAATTTAAAAATACATTTTGGAATTTAAAAGGATCTTTTTATTACTATGATGTGGAATAAGGTTATTCAGATTAAAATTAATTATTTAACGACAATATGAGTTTTTTTGCCTTTGAAATATTAAAACATTAATGTTTGTTTGTCTATTAATGAATGTTAATGACTTACAGTTAAAACTGGAATTATGTACAACTTTCTTAAAATTTATTTTGTTTAAAAATTGCCAATAAATAAATAACTAATTAATTATAATGCTTCTTTCTTTAATCACACTTTTTGTCAATAGCTAAACCCAAATAAGATGGAGACTCCAGATGATGCTTGTGCTAATGCTGAATTTCTTTTGCAAGTACTGGATGAAGTAACTCTTTCAATATTTATGTCTGCTGATGCATGTCCAAAGTAGGTTTATTTAATGTATAATAATTAATAAAAAGTTAATAATTATTTAATTTTGATTAAGCATTATTTTTATTTCATTTTACAGAACTGTTAGATACATTTGTGGATGCCTGCAGAAATCTGTTATGGGTAAATGGCCCCATGAGAGATTTGTAAGGACAAGGGTTGTCAGTGGATTTATATTTCTTCGACTCCTTTGCCCAGCAATTCTCAACCCAAGGCAGTTCAATCTTATCTCAGAACCTGCGCCTCCTATGGCTGCGAGGTCACTAATAATGGTAGCTAAATGCCTTCAGAATCTGGCTAACCTTGTCGAATTTGGTGGAAAAGAACCATACATGGAAGTAGTCAACCCATTTATTTTGAAAAATAAAGAGAGGATGGTTGTCTTTCTCGATCAGCTATCTGTGAGTTTTATCATATAATCCATTATTTACACAATAATCTCGTTTTATTTGTCAGTTCAGTACAAATTACATTTTTAGTCAGTTATTTGCTCATTTTGGCCCATTAGTATGTTATAATTATTATGAAATAAAATATGTGATACCATTAAATTTTTATCACAGTGTTTTGTTAATTTTTTAATGGAAAAAAAGATGTTTGCCTCACTCTCTCATTGCTGTTGTGTTATATTCATAATTTGAAAACAAATAAAAATCATAGGAGGTATAAAATATATACTTGTATGAAATTTAATAAATTTTTAGCTTCCTGCTATATTTTTCCAAAACTTTAATTTTTTGTATTTCTAAATAATTATTTTTTCCACTTCCTTACATCTTTTTAAAATTCCTCATTTATTAATTTTTGCTTAATTTTGTTAATAGAGTAATTGCATGAATTTTGCATTTTTATTAAATAAAAGTGAAAAGTACTGAGCAGGTTGCTTGAGTTTGATACCTGCTGTGTCACAGACTGTGACTTCTTTGCTCAATCCTATGGTTGCTGGCTTAGCTTGATATAGCGTTTCTAGCATTGAATCTTCCATTCAAGAAATATCATTCAATGTTTTTCCCTGTGAATAAAACTCTGTTGTCTGAGAATAAAATTGCATTTATGATAAAGCTATTATTAGTTGTTTTTTTTTAAATCTAGCCATAAAAATGTAGAAACGCCACACTAAGAATAGAAGTCACACTGATTTCCACTCTCCATTCCCCGACCTTTACCATATCTTCTTGATGCACCTTTATTTCAAGTAAAATTATTAGCCGAATGAACTTTTTTTATTTTTAAAAATTTTTTCCTAACACTATAAATCCTATTGAGGGTCAAATGTTAATAATTTTTTTCTGTGCAAAAACTTACTAACTTACTGAGTGCAGATCTTCCTATCATACTTTAAATCTTATTATTGGGTCACTTTTTCTTCAAACAACAAATTCTACTCAATACTCTTGTTTTTTAAAATCTTAAATGTTTTTTTTCTAAATTAGAATTGATCATCACCTCACATTATATTATTATTGAATAATGTTGCTAATCAAAATCAAAATTTACTTACTTTATTTTCTTATGAATTTCTTTGTTTTAGATACTTTCCTACATGTTTTTCCTTATTATCACCATTTCTACATCTAAACACTAGTTTTTCTATTTTTATTTTTAATTTTAATAACTTAATTTATTAGCTTTTGCATTTTCATGAAGAAAATTTAATTCTTATTACAGTCAAGCAGTATTTTCCTGTTATTTTTATTATTATTATTTTTTTTAAATTAGAATATTACTGATAAACCAGAAAGTGAAGGTGAGAGAGGAAAGGGAGATCCAGCCAGAGATCTTGGAACTCTGCACCATATATGTGTTTCACATTTAAAAGAGCTACAGCTTTTAGGCAAAAATCACGTATGTTAATTCTTTTCATTTGATAGGAAATATTTTATATCTGCATACTTAGTTAACTTAAAAAATAATATTTTTCAGGCAACTTTGAAGAAATTGGTGACTGTAACAGAAATGCTTAGCAAGCATAAACAGAAGTATCTTGAAATGATACGGTAGTTTAATAAACTACAAAACAATGGTCTTCATGGTATGTTTAAGTTTAACATTTCTTTATCATTATTAATTTGCTCGAATTTCCTTAACAGACCTGGGTCTCTGGAACAAGCTTTTACGTCTTTTTGATTGTTAGGAAAATTCTTACTTTAGGGTTTTCTGAGGTGCGATAAACTAATATTAACTTTCTTTCTTCCTTTCAAAATAATTTACTCTAGATACAAGATCAGTTCTTAATAAATATTATATTTGACAGATAGCTAAAGTATGGGCGCAATTTGGACCAACCAACGTAGGAATATAGGGGTAAATATTTTTTTTAGATTAAATATTCATTTTCAGCCACTCAAAAAAAAAAAAAAAAATTTTCTGCATGAAATTTTTACTTGGTTTGGACCCTTCGAAATATATTCAACAATCACAAAACTGATCAGCATGAAAATTAGTAGGCTTTGTGTGCTACATGAAATGGTATTAACCCGACCTTCGTAAACAAATTAAAACTACAGATATAAAATAAATACGGGTTAGAAGTTTTCTCAATTTCTAGCCTGAAATAAAAATGAAATCCAAAAGGTATGGTTGTCAGTAGAAAGAGCATTAATTCAGCTTTTCAATGGTTATATTAAAGTTGAATTTGAATAAAATACTGAGGAGTTATGAATGCTTTAGTTGACCGCCAGAAAAAAATTCATCTAAGAAAATTAAGTACTAAAGATTATATTGTTTATTTATGTAAAAATTCATATTTAAGAGTTTTAAAGGGCCTTAAAAAGGAATATAATTTGCTTATTCATAACAAAAATTTACTTGACCTACATTACTGTTAGCCCCTTTTGTTTTTTGTAATTTATGATTTATTGTAACTCATTTAATACAATAGTTAAAACTTTTTTCTTATTCTGCCAAAAAAAAAAGACAATTGACATATAGTAATCTAAAAATCCTAGCAAAGCAAAAGCAAAAATAAATTTTGTTTTAAATTATATAATTTTTTTTTCCTTGCTCCTAGGGCCCATTGGAAAGAACGCCAGGATATGTGTCCAATATTTTTTGACGTAGTATCACAAAAAAAAAAAAAAAAAAATGGTTGAAATCTGTTACCAACAGACTCTCCTTCTTAGTGAAAAATGCTATCTATACTAGAGTATACACTGGATTATTGGAGTTTTAGTGTATTATTTTTGATTTAATCCTTTCTAGCCCTTAGTCTTAGTGCGACAGTGAGTGTAGGTTTTACAGCTTATTTAGCTTTCTGTTGTTCCAGCAGTGTATTCCTTTTGCTCCAATTGTTAAAAATATTCTTTTATCTAATATATTCTTATATCTCAAAATAAGGGTGCACAATGCTATGGTAAAGCCAGGCTGCGAAACTTGGATACTAACCAGTATTCTAGAAAGAAATATTGAAAGGTTTAAGAGAAAACCTCTCTGCACGATAACCGGAGCGATCTGGGATCAGAGTAGTAACACTTGGAGGGAAAGACCAATAAAGAACTGCTTACATGAATTGTTCAATCAATATCTCGTGATATGAAGTCGAGGAGATAAAGATGGGTGGAACATTTAGCTCGGAGCAATCCATCTGGAAGCCTCTATACTACAATAATAGGCAAAAGACCACTTGGAAGATCAAATCCAGATGGATAAATCGAATCAATAATGGTGCAGTAGAACAACATGCAGGAAACTGGTAAGAAAAAATAGCCCAAGATGGGTGAAGATGAAGAAGGCTGGTTAAGATCTACTAGTTCTGTAATGCCAACAGGAAAAAAAATCTTTAATTTCAAAAATATAAATTATAAATAAATTTATATCACAAATTGATCAATGAAAATTTGTTTTCAGTTATATATATATAAATGATAAAAATTCTGATTTTCATTAGTAACTGGTATTATGTCTGTTTCCTAACTTTTTTTTTCTACACTATCTCTGTTGAAATGTTTAATCAGTGTTTTTAGTTATCTTTGTTAATTATTAATTATTTTTCATAAATAATTAATTAAAAAATGCTGTTAAGGTTCTTCAAGATTCAAATTTTCTAATTTCAACCTGGTTCACTATTATAATTTTATGTCTTTCTCATGTTAATAAAACAGATATTCATGAATTTTTTTGTTTCTTGTTAACTAAACAAATTATTGTACAAAGATTAAAATTTGTTGTCCCATGATGAACTATAAAACAAATAAGTATCATTCCTCACTTCATATCTATTGGTGTTCATTTTTTATAAGCAAATACCAGTTATACTCACTATAAGTCACTGAAACTTACAATAATAATATTTTGTAAAAATAGTTGTCCTTTAAAGGGTTAAACATTGCTGTTTGTGTTATTATATGGTTTATTTCTATTCAGTTTTCAGGGAGAGGGAATTAAGAAATTAACTGCTCACACCACTTTTGCGCAGATCCCTCGCAGTCATAGCTGTATTTTTATATTCCAAGAATCTCAGTGTCGGCACTCCGATTTGAGGTAATTGTGCCGTTAGTTTTATATGTTATAAGTATGTGTATTTGTAAAAAGTCTGTTTACAAATGTTTAGTTTCTTTAGCTGTAGTATAAATGTATATAATATTAAGATGAAATTCAATTGGAAATAAGAAAAAAAAAAAAAAAAAAGCTTTTATATAATATAAAATCTGAAATCATGTTATTTTTTGTGTTATGAATAATGCATTTAAAAAAATCTACAAAATTATATATATGGAATTTTGGTGTTCATAAACATTTTAAGTGTTTTTAGAATAAAATTTCTGTGTGTTAGTTATAAATTGTTGTTTAAAAAGAAGAAAATTAAATATTCCTTTAAACCAGAAGAATTGGTTTCTAGTATTAAGATTGAAATTTTATTGTTTTGAAACTATTATAACAATAGCTAACTTTTCTTATCATATTCTATTCTTAATGAAGTTTAAAAAGTTAATAAACATTTAAGTTTTGTTATTATCATTTTCAAAATGGTACTTTATACTCCACTCTGTCGGACACCACTAGGAACTTAAATAAATGGCACTTTTTTAAAGAGTCTTTTAAACAAATGTCGTTCATTCTTACAAGACTTATCAGAATTATGAATCATATGGATATTATTGGATATATTTTAGAATTGTAAGGTTTATTCAAATGAAATTAATTTAAACATGAAATTTTAAAAGCTACCTTTACATTCATCTTGAGTATAAATTAAAAATATATATATAAAAATAGGTATGAAGAATGTTTTCAATTTAATATTTTTAATCCTACGTATTTTCGATACAAATGCTAACTGTTGAATATGAAAAAATGAAAAATTTTCAATCCTGTACTCTAGCAATTGTAATTGTAATTAAATATTTTTAAAGAGCGAATAGAAAATCTTCAAACATTCATAAAAGCACATATTAGTGTGGAAATTAAAACATCTTCGATAATGATATTAGAGTAGTTTTTCTCTTTTTTGTTGCCACTTTCCCCCTCTCCTCCCCATTAAACCTGTAATGTGCTTAAGTGTGTTTTCATGTGGGAGTCCTTTTTTTTCTTTTATTATTTTAATGGTTACTCTCTTCTGCTTTGACACAGTTAATATAAACAAATTCATTTACAAAAATAAGAAATTTCACCATCAGTATTTCTCAATACGTTAATATCTATATATTGTGACTAGAGACCAGATTTTCATGTTATTGCACATTTTGTTCGCTTTGGTGTAAAAACTTCAAACCTGACAATATATCCGTTTCATGATCTGTAGAATAATATATTGAAATTTCATTTTGCACAAAATTGTATGTTTTACAATTTAAGTACTAAATTTCAATTTTAACTGTATAAAGTAAGATACTTAACCAAATTTTCTTTATGACACATACATGGGTATGTATTCAAATATTTATTTACATTTATTATATATTATATTAAGTTGGCAGTTGAGAACAGGGATATCTAACCCATGGACAGTATAAAACTGGAAATAGTTTTTTATTTTTTGTTCTCAATTTTTTTATTCAAAATAATATTTTCAAGTTATCATTCTAGGATCAAAAGATATTTTCGACTCGTATTGTTTGATATAGGTAACAAAATTACTATCCAAGTACACACATTTTATTGTACAAATAACAGTATAATTGGGTGTAACATATTTAATAATTTAATTTAATGCAAGTTGATATAGACACTTATGAAGTCCCTCATCATCATAGTTTGTTATTCGCGATTCCAAAACATATGTATATATATTTATTTTGTAGTTTTCAGACAAATATGAAAGTATTTATAAACAAATGTTATATTTCTGCTTGGCTGTATGTTGTTTGACAAAATGCTGCCAGGTTAGGTGAGAGACTATGGATTTTAATAAAAGCAAAATAGCTTAACTCACGATCCACTTTTTTAAAAATTTAAATCAATCTACTGCAGTAAAATCAATCTTCAATTTAAAAATGTACCGTTTTTTAAAAATATATAATTAATTTTTCGTAAGCTGATTTTCTTTAATATTGATTTAGGTTAATCGTTGTTCAATTTAAATTAGAATTAGATTTTTCTCATGTTACTAAACGTTAACCTAACTTCAATTTAGAGCCTTTAACTCTTAACATAACAGTTAACAAGCATTAATATTATAAGTTAAACAAAAACTATGATTTTGGCATGTTATGGCTTTTGCAGTTTTACACTTTTGGAGTTTTTACTGCACTATTTTCAGTTTTATATTGCACATTTTTCAGTGTTTTACTAAACAAAAATCCGGTCTCTAGTTATGTCTAATAAATATTATGAATTTTAAATCAAAAGAATGAATTAAATATGGCTTCATTAATAAAAAGTAGAGTTAAATATATATATAAAAAAAGAGAATCAAAATCTAGAACAGATATCTATTATCGATATTCAATTTCAGTATATTGTAGATCACAAACAGATATTCTAGGTAATCATAATTTTTTTTCCTGCTGGTGTCTAATATTAAACCTTAAGTACCTTCTAAATTTTAATTATATCATAAAATTGTTTTGAATTATCATGATAGATTTAATTATATAATGTTCTAGAAACCATTCTGCTAGGTCAGGTTGTCACTCACAACTTTGATTTAGTTGGCTGTGATACTACACACAAAACTAAGTGATTAGTTGAATGTGTAATGTTTATTTTTTGTTTTTATTTCAGTAATTAATCTTTTATTTATTTATGAAAGTCTTAAGCTTACGAACTATAGTAAATAATAGATTATGAAGTTTTTTTAATAATTATGCTCAATTGATGGTGATTGAATTCTATATTTATGTTTGTTATTATGGAATAGCATTGGTTGTGGGTGACAACCTTTAAAAAGAGATGTTATAAGGCCTAAGTTGTTTTAATATTTACAGTTTTGTTTCTCAATTATATCATATTGTTGTGGATTTGTTTTAAAATTTTATTACGTATGTTTGGTCCATAAAGTTTATATATGCAATTTATACATAAATATATTGAAAAAGAGACTGAAGAACTTGGCCTATGTTGTCAAATTTCATTCTCTGTTATTTAATTTCCTTGATGTGTTTGTGTCCTATTCAGGTTAAATGGCATTTATTTATTTTATTTTTTATATAGCAGGCAGTGGTGATTATTATTCAGTCTCGTAAATAGTCAGATATATTTCTGTTTTTTTAAATGTTTTTTACATGATATATTTGTGTTTTTTTTAGATATATTACATTTTTTTTTTTTTTTATTCTATCTAGATATTTATTTTTATTATCATCCAATGCATAATTGATGAAGAGACATTACTTATTATGTGCCAATTTATCATAACCTTAATATAATATTCCCCTTCAGTGTTTGGTATTTAGATTTTTTAAAAATAGTATTTTAAATTTGACTTTTTACTGTTTCTTGTGTATATCGAAGCTTCTTTTCATGTGATAATGCATCCAATCATTTACTCAGAGCACTTAAAAATGAAACAGTATATAAGGTAATCTATAATGTCATTTATTAATAAAATGCTCAATGCTATGAGTTTAATCAATACTTATATGTTTGATTGGTAATATTGTATATTCTGTATAGTTGTGCACTAAAAGTTGTTTGCACATAACCATGGATTCACAATATAATAAATCGTACTCAGTAGCTTTTTGTATGGACTGCATGCCAATGTTCATATTTGTATTTTTGAGTTCATAAACTAAACTGTTTACATAAAGTTTACTTTTAACAAGTCAATTTTGTTTAATTAAAAAAAAAAAAATTCAAATAAATGCAGCGATTAATTTATTATTATCATGATAGTATACATATAAGTGAAATGTTAAATGGAAAATTTAACTTTTGTTTGCTGTACATATATGTTTTTTAGCGATAGAGGAGAAGCATTTTTCTATTGTATAGAGTATTCTTGTAAAAAGAATTTTATAAAATTATACTGCCTATTGCAGAGAAAGAACTGATGACTACAAAGTAAGATATTGAAGTCCTAGCTTTTGCTAAATCAAGTATTTTTTATGAAGTTGGTTTCGTGCAAAGAATCACTTCCAAGTTCTATGAGATAAAAATACAAAATTATAAAACACAATATTGCTTAAAATTTACTCTGAGAATGGTGTATATAGCTTTTATCATAGATGGAATTTAAGAACACATTTGTGTTGTTCAAATCCAATCGGAAAATGCTAAATTAGATTTGTCTCCCTCTGGATGTTACTTAATCAACTCTCAATTTTGTGTTGGTTTTCTATTTTTTTTTTTAAATTGAAAATATGAGGAATTCTATTTGTTAAATGTTTAAAGTATATAGTAATATAGTATTTGATTAACAATGATTTGATATAAAGTGTTGTAATCTTTTTATCATCAAATCAAATTGATAATTCATTTGAATAAAAAAATAATTGTTTTATAAAAAAATGATTTCAATAACTACTATAGTAACTACATTTATGGAGGTATGGCCATGTTATCAATTAATTTGAGAAATTATTTTTCTGAAGTCACTTATTCAGTTCAGTTATTTCAGAAACAGTACTGGTTTTTATTTTAGACTTGTTCTGGGTACAATGTTCATAGAATTCTTTTAATGATAAAAACAAATAGTGTTAAGATTGATTGTTAATGGTATATATTTTTTATAGACTTATCTTTGATAATTTTGGTATATAACAATGTTTTGGGTAGTTTTCAACATTGTGAAAATGTCATATATGTTGTTTCTGAAATAACCAATTCAAATCACTATTATATTAGTGGGTTTTAATTTAATTTTTTTAATTAATTGGTTCATTAATAGTTACAGTTGTTTTTATTGTTTTATATCCAATAGCATGTAGGTCTGACTTAACTATAACCGATTTCTTAAATATTATTAATTGCTTATTGCTAATACAATAATTATTGAAAAGAAAATAATTTAAATTTTTCTTGCACTTGTTTTTCCTCAACTTTCATACACAATATTAAGAATTGCATTTTTCTGAAAAGGCATCAATTTAAGTGCTTCCATTGAGATGTTTTCCCTTTTATTTGTTTTTTCTTGTGATTGTACAGCATGTATTTTTTTTTATTAATTGTAATTGTAAAACATTAAAATTGTAAAGGTTATTGTGTGTACAGTTAGTTTCATTTCATTTGCTAGCCATCATTTTGGAATGTTATTTAATTGCCTTTAGAATCATTTGTTATAATTATTCTTACAGTTGTGATGCTATATGCCAGGCATCTCCAAACTACGGCAAACACTTCCAATCTATCACACAAAAGTTTCTTTGATTACATAATATAATTTTTAAAAAATATGAAATTTAGCAAATTATTCACAGAAGTGGTTACTTATAACATTTATTGCAAGAGTTTTTTCTCTTAGAAAACTTATTTCACAATTTAAATGTCATTTATAGAATAAGATTTTGATTATGTCACAAGCCTGTGGGACTTAGTGAAGGTTTGAATGTGGCTTGCAGGCCAAAAAGTTTGGAGACCCCTGTTATATCATAGTTACTTTAACCCTTTGACTGCGGGAGCTCATTCGAATGTTTTACCTGTTTTTTTTTTTTTCTTCCCTACCTCGCCTTTTAGGCTTTACGGGATTTTCCTGGGCGGGAGGGTGAGGGCGGTGAATTTAAAATCCCCTCCGGCACCGGGATGCGAACTCGTACTTTTTAATCTTCTCAAATCTGTTATCCGGTTGCCAGGCAACTGCACACGCTTTAGCCCATTCGGCCACCCCGCCCCCCAACGAGTGTTTCTACCAGATGGTGGCTCTCGAAACCCATAAAGACAGAGAAAAAAAATTTTTTTGTTTGCATAAATTTGTTTAAAATACTATTTTGAGTTGCCCTGCACAATCTTGGCTTTCAAATATGCATTTTAGCCTTTTTATTTAACTTTTAACGAATGGGTCTTATGCCTTCCGCACATGGCAACTAAAAATTAAAGCGGTAATCCCGTAAAACTTCACTATCTTGCGTATTTGCTCATTTCTGAAAAACAAAATAACTGAAAATTAACATAAAAATAACTGTAAGTGACCGACAGCAGGATTCAAATTATATATTTCTTTGTATGTACAAATTTTTTTCTTACCTAAAAAAGTAACATATTGAAACATAGCACAATTATAAATTTTATTATTGCACTTGCATTTATTTTGAGTTTCAAACACTTTTATATTTTATGAAATATATGTATTGTTTTAGGGGTTGGAAAAATGATAAAAAAACTGAAGTATCATTTTAATTCTGTATATTTTTACTATTACATTTTAATTTTTGTATATTTTTACATTTATTTATTACATTATATGTATATATAAAATGTAGGAAACTTACATTTATTTGTTTAGTAGATTGAGATTCACATGTACCAAACTCAGCATTCAATCAAAATGTAAATTAAAAAAAATTATAAAATTAACTTATTTATAAAACATTTTACTTATAAAACATTTAAATAGAATAGAAATAAGTTCATGTATATGATACAAATAATAGGGAAAGGACATACCTTGAGTTCAGAATAAATCTGATAGTTTCCAAACGGTCAGAATCCTTATCGACCGCATTGAGTCAGCAACAGGAGAGTAATTAATGCATCGACCAATCAAATGGTAAAAGCAGGACTTGCCCCTTCCTCTTTATGTGTCAACAGCCAAGGCGGGAAATTTTATATCCCGGCCGCACCAGTGATTGGGTCGGCCTCACTGGCAGGAAGGCATATATGCTGTCCACATCAGTGACCCAACTCCTAACAGGAAGGCATGTATCCCATCCGCAGTCAAAGAGTTAAACAGCCCCAGTATTCAAATCTAAATCTGGATGCATATATGAGTGGCCTCATATCAAAGACGGAATCTGTCATTTTTAAAGTTGAGAAAAAAAACATTTTCATAGCATACCTTTAATTAAAACTAATTCAAATGTTTTTTTTTTTCATGATTCAATTTGAATGATCTTAAATAAAATCCTCAAAAACAGTGTGAGTTGAATCTACAAAACAAAAATTGACATTTTCTCTGTTTTCTAAAAAGGACAGGAATCCGTCGTTGAAATGAAGCCACTTCCACAAAAATGAACCTTAACTATGTATTATATGTTACTATGATAACACAAAAACATTCACTTACTGAAATATCTTGTTAGGCTAATTTTATCATACCTCCATTAGTTAATATTTATTGACTAAGTAGTCCGAAATTTACAATGTTTTTAACATTTCAGTAATTGCTTTGTTGTTAAAAAATAGTTATATCTAGTTACAACCAGTATCAACTGAAATTTCATATACTCAATAATCACTACAATAATTTATAGTGAACATGTTTGAAAACAAAGGTTGACAGAATGAGTTACTCCAATTTCAACATTTTTGAGTGAAGTCATTTTAGTGATATTTCTAGTTGGAAAATTGATGATGTATAGTACATACAGTGAGTAAGTTGATTCCAGAGAAACTGATTGCAGTGTTGAAATATAGAACTGTGAATAAAGGTATAAATTTTCACACAAGAAATATCACTAAAATTGTTGCATTTGGCATTAGTCATTCTATCAACTGGAAGGCTCATATATGTAAGTATAATAAAATAGAAACTTCAGGAAATTAATAACTGTATTTTCAGTGATTTAAAAAAAAAAATCTTATAAGATGCTGTAATTTGTTAAATGAATCTTTATCGTAATATGTTAAAAAAGTGTTTTACCAGATATATTTGGGAGAGGGGGGAGAGACAATTCAATTAAAGTTTTTCATTCTCTATCTTAAATTCAAGTTTCTTTTTTTTCATTAATCGTTGTCCTTAAATTAAATTTATTGCTATAGTAAACAAATAATTAATAATCTTTCTCACTGTCTAATCACACTGATTGAATCAAACTAGCTAAAGCCACAAATCACAACAAAATTAGATTTTCCATTTCAAACATTATGGATTCCCTTAGTCCAGTAATGAATACAAAAGCTTTAAATTTACTTCACATATATGCTAAAACGCACTGAGAAAGAGGGATGTTATAGCTCGGCCATAGTTTGTTGGTAGCCTGAGAGGAAATCATGAGGTACCAAGTTAAAACCAATTTTTTTTTTTTTTTTCCTAATTTACAAGATGATACTTTAATCTTGTTATATATCATTGCTTTGGTTTGATAGTGGCATGACTTGAAAAAAATTTTGTTTTTTTACGTTTTGGATATATTGCAAAATTCTTTCAAGACAGAGAAGGGCACATTCTCTAGTTGACCGAGAGCAATTCATGGTGCTTAAGATATCCTAAATATTTTGTAGTATATATAAGAGAAAATATAATATATTAGTTTAAATAAATGTCCCATTTGTTTGCCAACATATTGCGGTTAAGCTTCAATAAGTTGTTTTCAATTGTTTTAGTTTTTGTTAATCTTACTTACCTTATATACTCAATCCATCAAAAATATTTAAGCTGTACTTATAACTTTCATTCTTACTGGTTGAATTATTCTGTATGTTTCATTAATGTACATTTATTTAAATAATTCATAAAAATATAAATAATTATGTTTCAATTTCTTTAAAAAAAATATTAAAAGAATAAGTCAAAATTTGTCTGTTTTAAGTTTTATTGCAATGTAATTATCATCTATTTAACCTAGTTGTCATAGGAGTGAATAGGCTTCATCGTAAAGAGTGTTTTTGATTAATTCTCTTAGTGATTTTCTTTGACTAAATTTTTTAAATATTTCTCTTCAAAAATGTATAAATATTGTTGTTATGAAAGTAGTTTATAAAAACAGTTTGTTACAAAAAGAATAATGACATTTGAAATAAATGAAACTTATGAGATTGTTGACATAGTTTTTAAAATTTATTTATATGAATTTTTTTGTTTACATAATTTAGTTATTTTTAACAAATAATACTGTTCATTTATGATAAATTATATTTTCAAAGTTGTTACATCAAATTTTTTTCACTGTATGGCTGCTGTTTCTCTAATGGAGAACATGCTTGATATTCACTGTTCCACTGCTCTATTACTTGAAAGACTGTCACTAACCTTCGACATAATTGGGAAATTCGATTTTCTATAAATGAACAGTATTATCTTTTTAGTTTTAAGTACATGTTCGAAAATGAGTAAACTAAAGAATTTATACTCGTAAATTAAAAAAAAAAAAAAAGTTGGCAGTCTATGAAGTTTCATTTAATTCAAAAGTAACCCATTCCTTTTAAGCCACCATGTTTAATTGCTAAAAATTCTTTAATCTCATGTTCTGAATTCATGGGTAGGCTTATTGATGCTAATAAATAGTCTTCGAATGGATAGATAGTTACCTTTGATTTGATTTAATTTAGTCTTATTATTCCATTGTTCTGTCCCACTTTTATGTCTTTCGCTTGATTCTTCCATTTGTTTCATATTGTTTAAACGAGAGTTTTATAGATCTCTGGAAGTTGTGTTTTATTAGATTTTAAATAAATAGTTTAAAAATTTCTTTAAATTATTTATCTCATTTCATGAACAGAACTTCTTATAAGAAAAAATATTAGACAATATGCCAAAACCTTGCCTGTCAACCTAATTCTAGTCTCCAAATAATTTCATATCTATTTTAAGACTTTCAAACCAAATAATATGGCTTTAACTAAATAATTAAATATTGGTAAAAGATACTTAACACCAATTTTATATAAATTATATAGATAAGAAAACGCTGCATTTTCTGAATAAATACTGACACAGTATTTATATACATATGAGAAGAACAAAAATAATAAATGACTCTTACGGTTTAATTTTTATATATAATTTATAACATTTTTTATATTTTGTAGATAATAAATATAACTGTATATTAGAAAACCTCTCTAATGTGATTCTATTTTCTTAAGTCTTCTTGTTTATAAGGATGGAATGTATAGTTCTTGTAACTGTTGTAAACTCAATAGGTGACATAGTTGTATGTAAGTGTATACATAGGTATTATTATGTACAATATTTCAATGTGACATGGCCAAATTAGTGTATATTTGTAATATAAATTCAAATAATAAAAAGGTGCTCAACCAATTTTTTATCTTTTTACCTTCAACTTGAACTAGTGATGTATGTGATACCTGAAGATCTTAGCCCAATTAGTGATCAGACCTGTAAGGTGTCTATAGGGTTTGTCACTAGTCGAGGAGAACTTTTTCTATTCTTCAGAGTTCTTTATTTCTTAATTTTTTATCTCCCAAACTCCTAGAGTTATACATATAATTTTATTTTATTATACTACGTATCAAAACTTTAGAAAATACTTCATGGTATAAATGATGCTTCAGCTGGATGAAGTTGTTATAAAACATGATTACATTAATTAGCTAATTTTTAATCACTCTAAGAAAAAACTTAACATTATTCACTAAGCTCTTATCAGTAAAATCTAGAAACTGATAACATGTTTATATATATATTATTTTATTTCCATCAAAAGAAAGTGAAAATAACTGTTTATAGATAGAAACAAAAAAAAAAAAAAAAAAAAAAAACTTTTACTTTCTAACTTGTCGGTAACCAACAGATTTGTATTGATAAGAATTTTCGTTCCAAAACTGCTATAAAAGTAATCCGTTCCAAAAATGCAATTTTTCACAGTCATTGTGTGAACATGACTGTAACAATTTGTTGACTACGGTTCATCTTTTGTTGGTGAAGGATGCTTGAAAGTATTTTCAAATATTATGGAATTATTTTTGTTCTAAATCAACTCTATGCTAGAACTTAACCCTTATAAATAATATTAAAAGTCAAGGTAGATCAGTAAAAAAACAATAATAATAATTTATTCAATTTACACAATATACTTTTTTAATAAACAAATCCGATAACATGTCATCACCACACTAATATGCTTAGAGCCATTGCAATACAACAGAAAGAGACATAAGGACTTTTTCTTTCACCTATTCGTGCACACTTCCAAAAAATTCCTAGAAAACTAAAACAAACAATACAAAATCATAATACAATATTATGATTATATGATAAAAAAAAAATAAAGAATAAAAACTGTGAAAAATTGGCTAGTTTTGGGAAAAAAACAAACAATATTTTTATTTTTCACTGGGTAGTGTAATTTTAGGAATGTCTTCAAGCTCAAATAGAGGAAGGAAGTTAATTTAAGTCTAAAGTATTAGATGATGTAACAGTAAATCTAACTTAAAGAATTTTCTGAATTTCAGATGAATGAAAATGCGCAACTAGTGAATTAATATCGATTGCTGCTGTTGAGGATTGTTTGAATTGGGAACCAAGACATCTCACATCTCTCTATAATACCCATTTTTGACGTATGGGATGTTTCAAGTTCACTTGTGCCCTTCCTTCAACTGGTTGAATTGCGACAATGACCATGATATAGTTCTAACCATCCTATTTTGATCACATTTCATAGAGGGCTACAGGTTCTAGAATCATGCTAAAGCATCAGAGGTTGCTTGATTACTTCTAGTAATTCCTTTCTAGTGATGTATTAACAAAAAAAAAATTGTTTCTTGATCTGGAAATAAGAACAATCAAGATCTTCAATAATAATTGAATGACGGAATGGTTTTTATGGTGAAAGCTTGGCTTTTATCATCTCTTCATGCATTGATAGAGAAATGAATCCATCTATCTATTTCTGAATGATATTGTTCATGCCATGATTTTGGTATAGCATTACGTGTTGTTTGTTTTGTGTACAGATTATCTTCTATGATAACATTTTGAAACTCTGGATCTCTAACTAATCTCAAAATGATTTCCATTTTTTTCTTTTCACCTCTCGTAGCCTAAATCGTAAATAAAATTGGTCACACTTTCATCCTTAAATTGCAGCAACACATTGTATTTGGTTTATTTTTCTTTGGTCTCAGTGAAAATTGCTTTTGTTTGGAAAAATCGAGCAATCACAAAACAAAAAAAATACTGTTTCATTTATCTGAAATGGAGTAATAGGTTGAAAATACACTAGCATGAGCAATTACTTCATTTTATAAATTTCATTCATTATGTTTATGTCCTGAAAAATTAAGTTCATTGAAGTTTTCCCAAATACTAACCAGTTAACTCATAAGTTGAATATAATTTATATTAATCACATACAATTTAATTAGTTATTTCAGAAACAAAACATATAATTTTTAAATTTAAGAAAACCATAAAAAAACTATTTCATACTGAAATTTTCATAAATAAAATTATGCACAAATACATAGTGTAATCTTCACACTATTTATGTAATATGTTTTCTTAAATTAAAATATGTGTCAATGAAAATTGTATGCAGAAAGAGTTTCAATTTAAAATTGTTAACAATTAAACATGTGCTAGCTTTAAAATAATTCAATAAAATAATTTTACATTAAAAAAAAATATATATTAAAGGTTTGAATTGAATGAATTTATCCACTTTAAATGAAATATTGCGAAAACCCAGTAATATGTTCAAAAGAATATTTAGTAAATTCAAGGATCAACTAAAAAAAAATTAGATATTACCAAGCTTTATAGAAACTAAAAAGATAATATTAAACAGTAACACACTTTAAACAGATTGTTATAAAATTATGAAAGCTGGAATATTTATAGGCTTGGTTATTATAGCCAAAATAAATGATTGGGGACTACTAACGGGGCATCAACCATTTATGAAAAGTGAAAAGCCTTGTTCTCTTGTATGTACGTTTTAATGATTTTGGAAAGTAGTACTCAAGCTCAATGACGGCTCATTTGGTGGTTTGATGGAGGCCTTAGAAATTTTATTAAATGAAAATATGATTTTGTCATCTTATAAAACATGATTATATTAAATAATTTCTCACTAAAATTAACAATAAAAATATTAAATTTGGCATTAGTCATTCTATCAACTAAAAGGCTCATATACGCCTAGAGATTTAAAGTACATTTGTATATTTAACCTATAAATGATTATGGATTTTACTTCTATTAGTTATTAAACTGTAATTTTTCATTGCCTGCCATTGATAGTTTAAAATTTGTCAAAATGATTATAACTGGATAATGTTGAGATTTCACAAAGGAAAAATTCATCATATTATCCACCAATTTAATTTTCGAAAAGGTTACATGATGATTTTTCGGAATAAACTGACGATAGATACCTAATTATTTAAATATAATATCAGATCTGGAGTTATTAAACTACAGTAAATGTATTTAAGTTTATAAATATGTTCATGAAATATTCTTATATTTCACTTTTTTTTTTTCACAGGTACAATGAAATAGTATTTTAAACAATGTCATTGCCTTGAATTGATGAATTTTAAATACATAGTTTTCAGAAATTATTATTTATATTTGATTCAGCACTCTTGGTAAATTTCTACAACTTTATTTATTAGACATTATTTTTTCTGAAATTTTCCGCTTTCCAACGATGTATTATACATACACCTTCTGACTATTATTTCCAGAGATTCATTTTTTTTTTTTCTCCTTAATTCAAGTATCAAATTCTTTCAGAAGTTATATTTAGCCATTTTTCATAACTCCTAACAATGAGACACAGTTCCTTTTTTTAAATAAACCGAATTAAAGGTATTTTAGAGGAAGACATTTTGAATGTTGGTCATTTAAGTCCTGTAAGGCGACATCAATGCGGATAAGACCTAGCTGATATTAAAGACTACTTGATAATACAATGGTATACAATGTTTAATCAAAATCATTATGAGCCGTTTACAACAAAATCATAGAAATGTGTAAAATTGATTATATAATGTTAGCCGATTTTGATGAAAAATTTGCTGTAACATCCCACATGTATAAAAACGTAAATATGCAATTTTACTTTCATACGACTTTTCGTTTTTGAGCTAGACCGTTCACATGCAAAAAGACACATAGACCATTTTGTGGGACTTGGTTATTTGGACTCAGGAGAACTCAAAACATGTATTTATGTTGAAAACTCAGATTTGAAAATTGTATAATCGCAGTATTGTCCCTTACTATATATTTCATATATAGGTAAGTGAAAGTAAAAAGTACTTGAGAAAAACTAACTTAATAATACAGCAAGACTTCTATTTAAATAGTATAAAGTTCTTTTAAATTTTAGGTAAGTAATTATGGTAGTAAATGGAGTTTTATACTGAATCAAGTAGTTTTATAAGATTTTATTTAAATCCTGTGTTTTTTAGTTCTATCACTTCTCTTGAAGGGTTAGGATATATCCCTATCATGCCTTCTTCATGAAGTACTGAACATTTTTAAGCACTGCAGTCAGGAGCATTCTGGTGTTTTCTTTATAATAGCTTGACAACTCCCATTTGTAGATGTGAAATAAGTAAGATGAATCGTTTTTTAGGATGCACTATCAGATCTAAAGCATCTTTCAACATAATGGCTTTCTAAGTGCTTGTATCTGTGACAAAAATTAAATAGTATGCATAATTTATAAACAAAGGAGACCCCCAAAACAATTTCTAGCAGCACAAATAAGGCTTCATATTCCTAGGAGAAGTAATAATCAGCTTTTAAAAACCTTAATTTAAATCTATAAAAAAGAAAAATACATATAATAAATATTAAACTGTATTATAACTAATTACACTTACCCTGTTTTATACTTGTCAAGCAATGAAGGAAAAAGAGACCTTAAGTAGGCACAGGTACAAATAAGAAGGAGAACAACAGTTAATAAGCTGTTAAAATTGAACAAGGCCGACTGTAAATGTTAAAAATATATAAGTTATTAAAAAAAAAAAATTGTTTACAATACATTTCATGATTAAAATGCTATGTCTAGTTTTGTGGTGTTTACTGTATGAAAATTAAGGAATTAACTAACTTAAATTGTTTAAAAGATTAACTAAAAAATGTACATGGAAAAATGAAAAAGCAGTGTTAGGAAATAGTTCTCTACCTAGAGAAAACTAATAAAATATTGTTTAGCACAAATACCACCAAAAAATGAGAAAATACAAGTAAAGAAGTAGGGGTGAGAGCAAGGTAATATTACTCCAAAATTGAAATAAATTTTTTTACAAACAATATTCAACTTTCTAGGCAACTATCTTTTAGTTTTAGGGAAACCATTCCGAACCCTTAAATTGTTTTTCTCTTTCAAACCACCTAGTCATTTTTGTTATATGGAAGGTTATCAAATAGGTAACCATCCTACTCTAAACAGAGTGAGAAAGTCAAGATTTATTCACATGGGTCTACAGTGAAATAAATCCATTTGGCACCACTAGACTCGAGAATACTAAAGTGGACAATGCTTTAACATCCTCGACCACCATGGCCTCACCTTCCCCAAGTGTGTTATTACATTACCTTTTGCCAATATCATAAAAAAAAAATCCAGTTTTTTAGTAATTTTATCCATCAGTTGTAAAGTTCCACCTGATGACGAGAATATAAAATATTTTTTGATAAAAAAATTCCATGACGTTTGAAGATATCTAGCCATATTAACGAATTATATACTCATATTAGCAAAGATTTCATTATGAAACTCACAAATAAAAGAAAAATTGATGAATTTGCTGCAATAAAAATCAAAATAGGAAATATTTGGGAAGAATGAGTGCTTCGTGGTCTGTGAATCTAGAGTCAAACCATAAACAATGGTGTACATGTATGTCTTGGAGCCCAAGTCAGATATATTTTTGAACCTAATAAGAGGCAAATATTTTTTTTTTAATAATACATTGTCATCTACTTAAAAAAAAAAAATGTAGGGGATCCAGACTGTATTAGTAACATTCAGTATTTCGGGGCTAGTGATATCTTATATACAACTTGTAGCATATTTATACCTCATAACGGTCTCTGAAATGTATAATTGACATATGCATTATTATCATTTGATCGGACATGAAATACCTAATCCAGTTATGACAATTAACTCATTTTAATAAAAAGTTGAGTTAGGCATTCACAATATGGAGACAAGGAGGTTGAGATTTGATGTTTATAGTTCACATGAACTCAAATGATAACAACAACCTGACTCCTGGAAAACAAATATCTGTAGTCTAACAAATTGTTGAGTTTGTTAATAGTATGAGACCAATTTAGCAAATAATGCTTCATTTATTGAACATAATTATCATTTTTCCTTTGTCTCTTAAAGACAAATAAATGATTTTTCAGAATAATGTAATTTCAAATTTTAAAATATAGAAGGATACGTTCTTTGTATCAGAATCTACAAACATAACTAAGTAATTCACAATTTATAACTCACAATAATAAACATTTCTTTAAATGATACAAATCACTTCATGAAATTATAACTCTAAAATTGTAATCTAGCAATGTCAGCTGTAAAATGTTATTTTAAATTATTGAACATAAATAATTAATCAATTAAACTTTAAAAAATATAATAAGTACAAAACATTTAAATTCTAATTTTAACAAAAAAAAAAAAAAATAAATTAACTGACCATGGTTTATTGATTAAATATAAACATTCCTTAAACACAAATGAATTTTTAGTTATCAGCCAACTACAACATAAACCTGCAGGAGGTTATTTAACATAGAGGTAGTTGCTAAAAGGAAACAACTTTCTATAAAGTTAAAGTGCTAACAATCATTCATGGATGATTCTCTTAAAGCTGGGTGTTTTGAATGTTTTGATTTCATTAAATAAAATTTCATCAGGTTTTTCATTTCTCGAGATATTTCATTTACGGATTATTAATTGAACAACAAATTAATGACATAAAGTAAATGAGTAATGTCAACATTTTCTTAATTTAAAAAAAAAATCCAATTTTAAATAAATTTTTCTTTCTGTTTGCTTTATAGACCTTGTAGATCTTTGCCCGCCTGAATCCAGAGATGGGAATTCAATCACTACTTCAGTTAATCCTTTGACCTTAACTGAAGTAGAAATTAATTTCTTTGTTACTCTAAAAAAGTCAGTATTTGAGTAAAATACTTGATACTCAGTACTCAGAGTAGCAAATGCCATCTTTGCCTGAACCAGCCTTCTACATCAATACCTTCTTGGAATACTGCTTTCTAGTTGCACAGCTCTGTATTATGATGACTCTATTTAACTATCCGATTTTTCTCGTGGTCTCTTGCCACGCTATTGAGGTATTCATTGTTGTATAAGGCTTCCTCATTTAAAATTATTTTAATCCCCTTGCTTTCATATCATGCGATATTGATTGAGAAGTTTCTGTTAGCAGTTTCTTTCTACCATATTTTATTTCCATACGTTAGAACTCTCATCCCAGATCGCTGGAGTTATTGAGAGGAGAATTTTCCTCTAAAATATTTAAATAATCATTTCTCATCGAAGTATTTTAAGGTGATCTGTCTTCTGAACGATTAACTTTCAGATTATAAAAAAATACTTAAGACGTACAACGGGATCATTTGGAGAAAGGAACCTGAGATTTTTTAAGTATTAAATTTAGTGGAAAGATGGACCGAAATTTAATTATAGACTTCGTTATACAAAATGTAATGAAAGAGGAAGGGTTGGGTTATTTAACATGGAACGAGAAATAATCATTAAATAAAAAAATATCAGATACAAAAAAGTAGAAGTATCAATTGTATCTGGATTAAAAAATTCTTGTATCAACCCATGTCTAGTTTAGACTATTTACGACGAAATTGTTGACTTTTCGGTTGTAATCAATCAGGATAAACAATTTTTCTTAATAAAAAGTGAATCATATTATGTTACCTACCTTTATTATTGTCATTACTACCTGTATAAATATTTAGTGGTTAGTAATATTAATATGAAATATCATGAATCTTGTAGAAAAAATGCTTAGGGATAGTCGAGACGTAGTAACGTTTAATATTATAGTTTAATACTACAGTTAAACAGTATGGATGAACAATTATATTTTATACCAGTAGCTCAATAAGTTCCCTTCACTGACCTCAAAAAGATTTCTTATAGCTTGGTTCTTCAGGTGCTTACTTTAAAATGTTTAAGGTTCAT